AGGTCCCCCATGAGTCAGGTCCCAACGATGCATAAGTAGGTAGGTAGGTAGGTAGTTTATATAGGTGGGCAATAGGTAAGTGTACTCCCGCCAGGCCACAGCCGCAGGGTATGGGCGGTTCCTAGGGATGTTACTCGACTTGAGTAGCAGTATTCAGATGAAATCATTTTTAAGCATACATTCAGGCCTGTCGTGCGGCTGCTAGGCAAGACATCGTGGGTCGATAACTTACCTAACAACATGCCCTCTCCAATGCTGTCCTTTTGTGTGGCTATTGTGGTTCTGTTGCGGGACTCCAGGCCTATTATAGCTCCTGACACTTACAGTAGTTACAGCTGCTGAGGAAAACCATATTCACGGGGGAGAGTTGTGTTTTCGGTCTTGCCGTATCTATATTCAATGCAGGCATGGTTCCATTTGACCAAATGGATCTCCCCGCCATCGTCTCACATCTCCGGCCGCCACTTTTTAGCACGAAGCTTGGTGTCTCGCGGTAGGTACCGATTTTGTCTTAACATGACCGAGACCACTCACTGCATTTGGACGTAATGCGCAATTAGTCGGAACCCAGCAGGCCGGTTAGGGAATAGGGTAACGGAGAAGAGAAGAAGGAAGCAAAATAGAGCAGCCAAAAGGGTAAATACTTGGATAAAAATCATACCTCCAATCTAGCTGCAAATTACACCACACCCTTCGGCTACTGTAGGTAAAGTCCCGCCAGCAACTGCCACCGGTGCTAGCCTCGCCACAGTCAACCCAGCTTGCCTCTGCCTCAAACTTTTTTTTTTCACCGTTGCAAACTCTCCCTCGCAACCTCTCAACGGTTACCACTCTCATCCCGATTTTTATTATCCTTTCGTTTCTGAGAGCGCCATCGCTCTCAGATTCTTCCTCAATCCTCTTCATCCTTCGTTTATTTTACACTCTCTTTACCGTTCATGGCACTTCTATAATCCCATCTTACTCCCTTGACCATGACTGACGCCAAAACGGAAGCCGCACATGTCGGTGCAGGCAGCAGCAGCCGCCCTTCCGCTGGCCCCGACGACGCACAACACCCGCAATCTCCCGCTCGTGATGCCGCCGATAACACCGGTCATGCGGCCGGTGCCTCAACTCCCGCTGTGCGATTTTCCTCGGCCGTCCAGGAATTCTCCCCCGTGCAGGTCAACTCCTCGGCTGCTGAACCCGACGCCCCCGCCTCCGCCGAGTCGCAAGAGGTCACGCCCGAGCAGCTCAGGGCCTTTACCAAGTCGCTTCACGGGCCGCTTCTGCAGGAGCGCCGCTTGAATACATATCATTTTGAAGCATTTTCCCTCCCGGCGTCACGGGTAAGTCGGTGCCACGCTCAATTTTTCCCCTTGTGACCCGCTGCCACTCTGTTGAGGAGCCGCGACAGCACACGCCCCCGCCGAACCCCGCGATGACACTAACGTCAATGCTCCCAGGTTCCTTCTCGCGAGGAAGACTCGCCCGACGCAACACGCATCCATACGCCCAACTCGATTTATCAATCTCCCCATGGCAGCCCCCGTATCTCAGCGCTGGCCTCGCCACCTCTCACGCCCTCGGACTCAGCGGGCGACCGACGGGCCAGAGACAAGCGCCCCGTCGGCGCAACTGGCAGCGACTCGCACATGATTACGCCGCTGCCGTCCACGTCCCAGGAAAACATCAATCAGGATCGAGGGCCCCTGGTACATCGCCCAATCTCCGACCATACCGGCCTGCGTCGCTCCTCGTCCGTCGAGGAGCATCTCGGTGATACCCGCAGCCACCGCAAGGGCATGTTCAGCGTCGGAGGCGGCTCCGTTCCCGTGTCTCGCGAGTCCAGTCCCTCGCGCACCTCGGCCTCGCATTTCTATTCAAAGCCCGCCACCCCAGTCGGTGACCTTAACGATCCCTACGCCAAGAACCGACGACCCCCGCTGCAATCTCATCCTAGCCGCGCCTCCATTGACCCGCGATTTGTCTTTTCAAAGAAAAAGAAGCATGGCTCTCCGGGTGGCTCTCGCTCCAGCTTGGCTGGCTCTGGCGCTTTTGCCGCCACCAAAGACGACTCGAGCGACGGCGGCTCGGGCCACGGCCACCATGCTCACGGATCCATGGCCGACTTGAAGCGCTTCTTTCGCAAATCGGGACATCACAAGAAGCGCGAGTCATCGCCTGCCGCGTCCAAGACCAAAACCCAGACACCCCCCAGCAGCTCACGCAGCTCACAGCTAATCCCTTTTGCCGATGACCACGGACTCAGCTCGAAATACGGAAAGCTGGGTAAGGTGCTTGGCGCAGGCGCGGGTGGCTCTGTTCGTCTCATGCGCCGCAAGGAGGATGGCACTGTCTTTGCCGTCAAGGAGTTTCGAGCCCGCCACACCTACGAGTCTGAAAGAGAATACGCCAAAAAGGTGACGGCCGAATTTTGTGTCGGTTCCACGCTCCACCACGGTAACATTATCGAGACGCTCGATATTCTTCAAGAAAAAGGTCGCTGGTTCGAAGTCATGGAGTACGGTCCGTACGACCTGTTTGCTATTGTTATGACTGGCAGAATGTCGCGAGAAGAAGTTAGTTGCTGCTTCTTGCAGATTCTCAACGGAGTGACATATTTGCACAGCCTCGGACTGGCCCATCGCGATCTCAAGCTCGACAATGTCGTGGTCAGCGAAAAAGGCATCATGAAGATTATCGACTTTGGCAGTGCTCATGTGTTCAAGTATCCGTTTGAGTCGGAATTGGTCCTAGCCAAGGGTAAGTTGACACAGTCTGCTTTCGATAATGGTCACTGACAAGATGTAGGCATTGTTGGATCCGACCCGTATTTAGCCCCCGAAGTATACGATCAAAAGGATTATGACGCGGCTGCGGTGGACATTTGGTCGCTGGCGATCATTTACTGCTGCATGAGCTTACGTCGTTTTCCTTGGAAGCTGCCGCGCATGACGGATAACTCCTTCAAACTTTTTGCCTCTGAGCCAACGCCCGGCCACGATCCGAGGAGACTGATTGTTCCCTCATCCTCTGCCAACACCTCGTCGGTCAACCTCTCTGCCCTGTCCACTGCCGAAGTTGAGCAGCGCCACAAGAGTCAGCATGAGAAGAAGGAGAATGGCACAACCAACTCGAGCGCCACGACGGGAGACTCGAAAACGCCCGAACTCAAGCACGAAGTTAAGCATGAGGAAAAGCTAGAGAATGCTGAAGAGAAGCAAGAGTCCAAGCAGGAGACGAAGACGGAGTCGAAACCCCCAGAGGGTGAGAAGAAGGAGATTATCAGAGGCCCCTGGCGCATTCTACGTCTGCTGCCTCGATACAGTCGCCACGTGATACACCGGATGCTGGAGCTCGACCCCAAACAGCGCGCCAAGATGGAGGAGATACTGGAGGACCCTTGGGTTGCCGACACGGTTATCTGCCAGCAGCTGGAGCATGGCGAGGTGCTCGCGGCCGACGACCACACGCACGTGCTTGAGCCACCCAACAACCCCGGCACCTAGGCGAGCTCCGGTGGGCGCGCGGCCAGCCTGCGCAGAGTCACCAGTGTCCGACAAACGTCAAGAGGACCTACAATGCATCAACGAGGAAGCGAAAAATAACACGTGGGAAAAGCAAAAAAACTTCTTTTGATTGTTGGTTAACATTATTATTCTTAGAAAGGAGACGGGTATATACAAGTCAAGCTGATACACAGAAAAGGGCAACTACATGTTTAGGCTACAGGAAGGGAGCTCAGGGTATGGGTTTCGTGTCTGATTTATTGATTATTACGAATATTGGATATACTTTAGTGTTAGAGCACAATTAATGAGCAATTCATGTCTTGGTAGACCTCATGCATTAATTGTCATGGACTCGCAGTGCACTGACTGGCTAACTTACCAGTGAGCGGTTGGTGTCGGAACAGGAAAAATGGCTTTGCCGGGCGGCGCAAATTTCTGGAAGCTGTTGGAACAGAGAGCTCCACCCAGGCCGCGGGTGTCTTTGACCAAGGTTCCCCAAACAGAAGAACTTGACCCTTTTTTCTTCTACCTTGTCCATGAAGCTCAGACTCAATTAAGCCAACGACTCGACATCAATTGATTGCACCCGTTGCAGTTTCTCATACCTTCATCCACAATGGTACGCTTGGATTATTCCTTTGCTGCAAGATGTTAGAATGGTCGGATTCGGGAGCTGCGCATAGTTGCCCCTGATGCGATATTCGCAGGCCCAATGCGCGCAGCAGCGGAAACAAAAGGCAACAAGAAGAAACGTTCGCTAACGGAGTACACACAACGGCAGGCCACTTCCATCCGCTCCATTCGCGCCCTCGCGCCGCTCCTCGACCGCGTCCTCGTCCAGCGCATCAAGGCCGAGACCAAGACGGCCAGCGGCATCTTCCTGCCCGAGGCTTCGGTCGAGAAGCTCAACGAGGCCAAGGTCATCGCCGTCGGCCCCGGCGCGCTCAACAAGTCGGGCTCGCGGCTGCCGATGGGCGTGGCCGTCGGCGATCGGGTCCTTATTCCCCAGTTTGGCGGTTCGCCTGTCAAGGCGGGTGAGGAGGAGTACCAGCTCTTCCGCGACAGCGAGTACGTTATCCTTTATGTGATTTGTACTAGGAAAAGGGGTTTGATGCTAACGATACTGGTGTAGGATCCTCGCCAAGATTAACGAGCAGTAAAACTGCAGATCAAAATACGCACATGGGGCAAGAGAACGAACGGGGACCAGGAGATGTGATTCTGCGGTACATGTCAAGATGCTCACGAATTGCGAAGCGAAATCCCCGTCCTCATCTTTCTCGATGACGTTTCGTTCTACCCACCAGTGTGACAGTCAAATCTTAAACTTCGATATAAATTGGGTGTACTATATGCTGTACAATAACAAAAGAAACCAACTGGCAGTGGTGGAGCAACAAGAGAGGAGACAAAGATATGTTTGTACGAGTGGAAAAGAAGAGATCAAAAGAACTGTATCAATTTTGGCTGCGGGGGGGCAAATGCACGGCTGCTGTTGTAGAACGTGTGCAAGTGTACTCGAGGCATCACGACTCGCTTGGGAAGGAGGTGGGAACCCGAGGCAATCCGTTTGTCACTGTAGAATAGCATGAGATGAGCAAAAAGAAAAATCCCCGCTCCAAATAACGAGAAGAAGAGTTTTGAAATTATCCAGATGAGGGAACATGTTACGAGGTGCAGAGAGTAGAGAAGCCAGCCGCACAACATGGCGATAAACGCCGACCTCCGAAGTGCAGTGACTTTGTTTGTTTCATGTGTCTGTCACGAACTCAGATCGACGTACCCTGCAGACGCCAATTCATTTTGCAAACGTCTGCTCGCATCGAATGGGCCGTGGAGAAAAGATTGATTGGGTTCTTAATAGCCGCCGTCGTGGAACCTCAACCAAGCACCTATTAAGTTGGCGTTTCATGTTTTGGGGGAGGGGGGGGGGGGGGGGAGGCCCGTTTGGCTCGCTTCTACGAGGTCTGTGAAAATAGAACAGACAAATATCGTGGCACACAAGGATGGGCAAGCGTTTGGTCGTACCGTCACGGGCAACTTGTGCGGTATATATATACCTGTGCCGCAGTCGTTTGCTCATGTTCACCACTCTTGGCTCCCCCCCAAGCACTCGGGTTCGTTTGTCCTTTTTCTTTCACCTCAGCTGGTGCTGAATACGCTCCTTTCTTCTCACAGGTTATTGCTTCTACAAATTCCAACTACGATTCTCTCACATTCATTTTCTTTACCCGTTTACATACACCACACTCTCTTTCGAACCCTTTCGCTTCGTGACTCCTGCTTCGAGACATCATGAAGCTGCTTCACATGCTCGTGATGGCATCTGCCGCCACCGCCCACACAATGTTCACGACGCTCTACGTTGACGGTAAGAATCAGGGCGACGGGACGTGCGTCCGGATGCCCATGAACGGCGCTACCGGTACCGCGCCCATCTATCCCATCACCGGCGATGCCATGGCCTGTGGTACGTGAATAACCTTTCTCTCCCACTGACTCACACATACACACACACACACATGCGTAGCATCGCTGACACAGTGCCGTCCAGGCTATGGTGGCCGCGACCCCGTCCCCTTTGTCTGCCCGGCCGCCTCAGGCGCCAAGCTCACGTTCGAGTTTCGCCTGTGGCCCAACGCGCAGCACCCCGGCGCGCTCGACGTGGGCCACAAGGGGCCCTGCGCCGTGTACCTGAAGCGCGTTGACGACATGTTCTCGGAGCCGGCGGCCGGCGACGGCTGGTTCAAGATTTGGGACGATGGCTACGACAACAAGACCCAGGAGTGGTGCTCGGATCGTCTGATCAGCCACGATGGCCTACTCTCCGTGCGCCTGCCCACGGGGCTGGCACCTGGGTACTATCTCGTGCGGCCCGAGATTCTGGCGCTGCATTTCGCGTATAAAGGTGATCCGCAGTTTTACCTCGGCTGCGCGCAAATATTCGTGCAGGGCGGCCCGGCAGGCGCCTCCGTCCCCAAGGAAAAGATGGTATCGATTCCGGGCTACGTCAACGCCGACACGCCAGGTCTGGGCTTCAATATCCACAAAGACGTGATCCCCGCGTATCCAATGCTCGGACCCAGCGTCTACGCGCCCTCCTCTTCTTCCTCTTCTTCCTCATCATCGGCCAAGTCGCTCAAACAAGCGACGCTGTCCAAAGGCGCCGTACCGCAGAATTGTCTCTTGAAAAACGCCAACTGGTGCGCGCAGGAGGTGGCGCCGTACACCGACATGACGGGCTGCTGGGCGTCCGTCAAAGATTGTTACGACCAGAGCAAGAGCTGCTGGGACTCGGCGCCGGCGAGCGGCTCGGCCAACTGCTACACCTGGAGCGACTACTGCACGGCCATGAACGACGCGTGCGAGAGGAAGGAGTGGCGCGGCCCGCCGGCGTTTGACGGCAAGGAAAAGTACGCGACGAAGCCGAAAGCAATCCCGGAGCCGTGGAACGTCAAGGGCGGCCCCAACGAAAAGGCGAGCAAGGGGGGCAAGGAGGAGGCGGCGACGACGATGACGACGGTGGTGCGCAGCTCGACGGCGCAGAGTGCCAAAGGGACAGAGACGCCAGCCGTGAGCACCAAGTGCCAGAGGGGCTAAGCCGACGCCCGCGAGTAAGACGGTAGAGAGCGACCTCCGGGGTACGGAGGCTGGCAAACAAAGAACGGAATGAGTTGGTGACGGCTGTGAAGGTTTCGACGCCGAGCAATGTGGTCCGGAGTTTAGGCAGACGTGCGCTGGGAGCGCGTTTGGGCAGCGCTGCCGCAAGGCCCGGTACTGCTTTTCCTGGTGCGTTGCCGAGTATGGATGCCGCTGGTCGCCGTCATGTGAGTTGTACACACGAAAGAGCATCTTCTGTAGAAAATGGTTCAGGAGACTACCTCGTACATTTTGTCAGTTACATCTCGTGAAGCTCGCGTGTTTGAGGTCCGCCGATTCATATATCAGCGTAGTTGTGCACTCCATAAGCAATGCCTTTTGCTCCCTCTCCCAGAGAAGTTGCTGATGGGTGATTTGCGACGTCAATCTGTTGTAGCTTGCAAAAGATGCCAGCCTACGGATAAGTAGAAATGACGAAGTTTGAAAAGTCGAGACATAACGGTGGCGGCCTTACAATGCCAAGCGGTGTACCTGATACGCAACGTGGCCGCATGGAGCGGGTGGCTTGTGCTGTAGAGGGTACCTGGAGGGGCAACAGGCAATGGGCCCGGAGCTAAAACGGTGTGGTGGAGGATCTGACGTACAGCTATTTGTGTACCCGATAGCAAAGGGTGAGTGACTTTACTTGTGTGCGGGTAAGCATCACATTCTATGTATCTAATCCGTTGACAGTAGGTACCTTTTAAATATCATCTACCTACCTAGGTACCTACCTAGGTGACAGTTTTACTTTGTGATTTTGACGCTGCTGAAGCACAGGCAAAGCCAGCAAATAGGTTATTATTTCTGTCAAATTTTGTAACATCTTAATCATTTCCTTGTGCTGCGTGTCTTTACCAGCATCTTGGTCATCTCTTCCTCGGTTTGCTCTTCATCTCTACTTGTCCTTCTCGATTCTATCCGCCACTCTCTGCCTCCACCATAATCAACCAGGACAAGCCTTTCCCCACGCCCACGGGTCCGCTTCCTTCCCCTTCACCCTTTCCTGTCGAAACTCTACCGCAAGGCCAGCTCAGCTCAGTCAAACCCCCTCCGTCATCGCCACGAAATCCCGTTCTCGCTGTCTGCACGCAACTGTATCCTCGCCCAACAGCGCCCAACTCACCTTTTACCTCCCGATTCTCGTCTTCTTCGTACTAGAACCCCCCAACCCGAGCGAATCTGATCGAAGACGCGGCCGCCAACTGTACATTCTTCTGCAACCGACACGGGAACCCTCAAACCCGCCCCTCGCATAAACGCCTCGTCCGCCGCCGCCGCTGTCGCCGCCACAGACACCATCGACCACCCAGCAGCTAGTCCGCACTTTGCCAGACGAGCACCAATGACGATGCCAAACAATCGCAACTATGACTTCCTTGTACGATATTTTCTGAGTTCTTCCTCTACCCTGGGGGCTGTCACGTCACGGCTTTGCACTTGCGTCGTCACCCCAACTGTCCGCCGACTCCTGATTACTGAATTGCGCGGCTTCGTCTGCGCGCTGTCTCCGAACCTACAACACACTCGCAGATCCAAAATGGAATGACTCGGCTAACCATGCGCGCGCTTGTCGCTGCACTTTCTACAGATCAAGCTCCTGCTGATAGGCGACTCGGGCGTGGGCAAGTCTTGCTGCTTGCTGCGCTTCAGCGAAGACTCCTTTACACCCTCCTTCATCACCACGATCGGCATCGACTTCAAGATCAGGACAATCGAGCTTGATGGCAAGCGTGTCAAGTTACAGATTTGGGACACCGCTGGACAAGAACGCTTCCGAACCATCACCACCGCCTACTACCGTGGTGCTATGGGTATTCTGCTCGTCTACGACGTCACCGACGAGCGCTCTTTCAACAGTACGTCTGCCACTGCACTTGCTTGGAGCACGTCGACGCCCTTTTCTACTACGAGCGCAATCACTGACCAACACAGACATTCGCACTTGGTTCCAAAACGTAGAGCAACACGCTACCGAGGGCGTCAACAAGATTCTTATCGGCAACAAGTGCGACTGGGAGGACAAGCGTGTCATCTCCGAGGAGCAAGGCCAGGCACTCGCCGACGAGCTCGGCATCCCCTTCCTCGAGGTCTCGGCAAAGAGCAACATCAATATCGACAAGGCCTTTTACAGCCTGGCTGCGGACATCAAGAAGCGACTCATTGACAACTCAAAGAATGAGACCGGCTCCTCTGGGGGTGTCAATGTTGGCGACAAGACGGAAGGCGGTATGGGTAGCAAGTGTTGTTGAGAGTCGACGCCTCCGCGAAGCGGATAAGAGCCAAACATGGCAAATACACGGAGTAGGAGAAGACAGGATATGCGGGAGGATATGGATTACAAGCGAAAGATGGATTAATTTTTTTTTTGGCAAGGATAGATGCACAAGAGAGACAAAGGGAATGAGGAATGAAGCAAACTTTCCCGTCGACATTACAACACCACGACACTCGACAACAAACAATACTACTTACTACCCCAATTTTCCCAGCCCAGGGGGCAAAGGGAGACATGCTACAAACACCCAAGAGAGCCTTTTCTGTTAGTTTACTATTTATTTACATTTTTCCTGTCTTTAATTTAAACGGTTCAAGTGATTTGTCTTTCTATCTATAACGGGGATTCTTGACATTTTGACAGCTATCAGCAAAGTGCCAAAGTAGTGAAGATAAAAGTACAAGGCTATATTTTACATCTTTGGATTCTGTCTTTCTGCTCAAATATTACACATGATACAAGATATACACGGACTGCGTCTATCAATAGTCCACCACCTCTGTTCTCACAAAGTGTCGCGGCGCCCCGGCCGGCGGCGGCACGTCGTGCCCGCCCAGCCATCGCGCGTTCCACATGCGATGAAAGCGCTGCGCCTCGCTCACGTCCCGAAACGCGATGACGAACCGGCGCAGCGCCGCGCCCTCCATGTGCCGCACGACACGCCGGAGGCCGTCTCTCTTGCGCAGCGTCGCGTGGCGCTTCTTTTCCGCCGCCGCGTTTTGCTTGCGGGCACTGTCCCACTTGTTCCATTCCAGTACGCCCTCATCCTGCTCTTCGTTGAATTGCTCGTCGTGCTCCTCATGTCCGTCCGTGGCCTGCCCGACGGCGCCGATTTGGGCGGTGAGGCGCTGCAGCTGCGCGTGCAGGTCGGCGGCGAGGGGATACGCGCGGAGCTGCTCGGCCGCGGTGTCGTCGCCGCCGCCGCCGCCGTACTGGCTCACGGCCGAGCGGACGCGGTCGAGCGGTGCGGCTGGCGCGACGTCGAGCAGCACGACGGGCGGGCGCTCGCCGAGGCCGTCGTTGGCGACGAGGCTCCGAATCTTCTCGCCCACAGGGGCGGCGGCGACGCGGCGGTGAGTGAGTGTGACGGGCTGCACGCCGGGGGTGACGGTGAGCCCCGCGAGCTCCGCCTCAAGATCGTCCTGCGTGGCGTCGTCTGGGATGAGCCCGGGGGGCAGCTCGCTCCGCCAGAGGCCGGTGCGGGAGCGCGCGCGGACCTGCGCCAGATCGCAGAGGCGCTGGAAGCGTACGGCGTAGGCGGTCGCGGCCAGGGCGCTGGAAAAGGTCAGGTTATAGGTGCCGGTGGGCTCCAGCGTCGTGCGATCACGGACTTGCTGCACTGTGAGGAGAGGGTTAGTAGGGGGAGGAAAGGGAAGTCGGCGATGGGCCTGCATAAGTGGTGGCGACTCACCCTGCTTAATGGATTGGTTCCATTTAGACAAGTCGTTGTCGGCGATGCGGTAAAAATCGGAGGCGTGGACACTGGTGCTTAGACCGTCGATTCGAAGCATGGTGTACGCTTTCGAGACTGCGAGGCCATTCTTCTTGGCGAGAGCCTCGTGGGTCGCGGCCACCAAATCCGTAGAGTCGTCCGCAGGTTCTGCAACAACGTCCGTCGAATCGTTTAGAGGGATTCCCGCAGGATCCATGTATTCATAGCTACGACCCCGCCTCTTTAGTAGCGGCCACTTTTCAGCGCTTGCATTCGTCGTCTCGCCCTCTTCAAAGTCTTGCTCGTCCCTTAAATCGTCCTCTGGCTCGAGGCCTCCTGGACGTCTCTTCAGCAGCGACCACTGACCCCCATCACCCGCCCGCCTGGTACCCGCGGTACTCTCGCTATCTGTGAATTTTAGGCCCTCAAAGCCTGCGGCGGCGAACTGCTCCGGTTCCAGGCCCTCAAGCGCCGCAGCCATCTCCTTCTGCTGCGCCGGCGACAGCTTGCCCTCCACCAGCTTCCTGCGCAGGTTGCGCTGCGCCTGCTGCCGCTGCTGCACCGCAGGATTCGGTCGCGGCGTCCAGTCATTCCATGTGTTGCGGCGATCGTTGGTCCTCGTTCTGCCGCGTGGCGCGACGGTGTAGTTTGGCCTATCTGGAAGGGTGCGGCCGTCGCCGTTGCGTGAAGAGTACAGCCGCGTGTCCCTGGGACAGCAGAAGGTGGCCGCACTCCGTAAGCGCGGCCATTTCGAATGGAGCATTCGGGCTACTTGTGTATTTGAAATCGGTGGCGCATTGGGACAGTAGCTGTCGAGGTCTGCGAAGCTCGTTGTGCACTGGACGTCGAAGGTGCTAGTTGGAGAGAAGTCAGTGGCCGCAGATAAAAGTGCTTGCGCAGCGCCCCACCACCGCGGCGTCGAATGCTCTTCCAGTAAATCTACAGTCCTGCAACGTTTCATAGTATTAAATTACTTTCGTCATCTATAACACTGGTTTCGTTGTTTGCATCAACTCGGAATGCTCTGGTGCTATTGTGATTTTCGCACTTTTTGCGAGCTGACGCAGCTAATGATCTGGCCCGTATGAGCTGTGCGAGCCAAATGAATAGTGGTGTCTTCTTCACTCCTCCGCATTCTCAGAATGTCAGCTAGGTGACGAGTTGTCTTATCACCGGCCGCGCATGGCTCGCCAGCTTCTTCGCAGACTAGAAGACGTCACTCGTGCAACATTCTGACATGGACATGGCGATCGGCCTCACGAGCCTCGCAGTCGTTGCGCTGCTTACGCGTCAATGTCTGCGTGTCAGAAGTAGAGCTGGCAAGTCGCGTCAGCTCTATCAGGATAAAGATGGGGTTGCCACGCAAGACTTGGAGGCCGAAGCGCGCAAGTCATTCTCAGTCGGATTCTTTCTAAATGCCGCCGCTGCAATTGGAGCCTCCATATCAATACTAGATGTGAGGCGCTCTAGCAATACTGGGCAATGGGGTTTGCCAGGCGCGGCCGTCTCGCGAGTTGGCATATGGGTATGAAGTTGGAAACTGATCTCGCAGATCTGATGCTAATTTAACTCAAGCTTCTCCTTGCTGCTCAAACTCTCACGATTGCTAACGAGGTGGGCACACGTGAGCGATACAGGCATGGCATCTGTGCAGCCATATCGGCCGCTATTCTTACAATATATGTTACGTATTCGGAATCAAGGATGGAACTTGATCTCTCAATCCGGACGGCAGAAAGAGGTTGCGCTCTGGCCATTGGATTTTGTTCCTTGACCCTGCCTCGAAGCCCGGCCGTGTACAAAGACGGTCGTCTTGTCGATCATCAGAGTGGCAGCTCCATCATATCTCTACTTTCATTCTCTTGGTATCCTCTATACCGACCTGAGTTCTTAGAACTTGAGAGTATAAGTTTGCGTGCCTTGCCTATTCTGCCTCTTTCTCAAAGGATCCGAGCTGCACAGCGAAACTTTATGCAGTGCGCCTCTAGCGACAGACTCTTATCGCGACTAATATGGACATGGAGGCACACTATCTTTCTCCAGTGGTCCCTTACTCTGCTGCACAGTGGATCTCAGTTTGCAGGCCAATATCTGCTTCAGCGGTTACTAGGCTCCCTCGAGCGACCTTTTGCCCAGCAGCAGTACGCCATGGGTCATGCGTTGTCCCTGGGCTTGGCTCTTTTGTTGGAGAACATGTTGGCAGGGTGGACTACTTGGGTCACCCAGGCAAAACTTACCATTCCTATGACTGCGCTCCTCAAAGGTGTTCTGTTTGAAAATATGACGAGACAGCGAAGCTCACAGCAAGCTGCGCCACAGACTACAAAAAGCAAAGCCATGCTCTCTTTGGGGAGCTTAATGTCAAACGACTGGTAAGTGCGGGCTCTCGCAAGGACAAATAGGGCTAACCATTCCAGCGCGTCGGTATCACAGGCCTGCAGCTTGAGCCAGCATTGTCTGAAAGCTGTTTTTAAGCTTATATTTGACGTTACCTACCTTGTCCACCTCATCGGACTCAAACACATTGCTATAGGCAGTCTATTCCCTTTCATATTATTCCCCATCTCAAAAATTCTTGCCCATCAGCATAGGCTGGCAAAGTTGGAGCTGTCAAATTTGCATACTGCTCATTCCTCCGCAGTATCTGAGCTGCTTCGAAGTCTCCGCCAAATCCGTCTGTCTTCCATGGAAGAGCTCTGGCAACAACGAGTCGCCGAATCTAGAGCTCGTGAGCTGAGACAAATATGGCATTGCGGAATGATCTTGGCAATGCTGACTCTAGCGACCAACTTGGGACCAATTCTACTAATAGCGGTATCGCTGTCCTCATTTGCTCTTGAAGTTGGCCATCTCAGCCCATCGCTTGCTTTTGCTTCCGTTGGCCTGTTTCGTAACCTTCATGCGGTTTTCCAAGAATTGCCTGCCGCGGTGGCGAGTCTGCAAGAGTCTTTCACATCGAGCAAGCGCATCGAAAAATATCTGCACCGATCCACCAACATGCGAGTTCACGACAGCGTCGATTTGACTACCTTTGAAGATGTCAAGATCACCTGGCCAAATTCACGTATCGCTTTAGGCTCATCAAGCTCATCCTTTAGTCTCAACAATGTAAATCTGCACTTCCCGAAAGGACGGCTCAGCATCATCACGGGCAAGACTAGTTCCGGCAAGGGCCTATTACTCTCCGCGATTCTTGGCGAAGCTGAAATCGAAGCTGAAAAGGCCAATTTCGATCTCAGATCAGTGGCTACGAAGCAAATGAAAGCATCTACGCGCAGTTTTGCGTATGCATCGCAACCTCCATGGATAGAAAACCGAACCATTCGAGAAAATATCATTTTCGGGAACGAGTTTGACGAAGATCGATACATGGCTGTCCTACGTGCCTGCGCTCTGGAGAGAGATCTCGAGACCCTTCCCCACGCAGACATGGCCATGGCCGGTGTCAACGGCGGAACTCTCAGTGGTGGTCAGAAATGGCGAGTCAGTCTGGCCAGAGCTCTGTATTCTAAGGCCCGGGTTCTTGTGCTCGACGACGTTCTCAGCGCAGTTGACCCCCATGTCGCGAAATGGCTTTGCCAACATGCCTTGTCAGGCCCCTTGGTCCGTGGCCGCACAGTGATTATCGCGACCCATCACCTGGCTACTTGCGTGCACCTGGCGAGTTATCTCGTTACAGTTGATTCCGGCACCGCCTCGGGCCGTGCTGTTACGCCCCGGCGTAATTATGGATTGTTGAATATCGATATCATGCCTAGGTCCGCGGCCAGCAGCCCCAAACCAGATCCTCTGGCGCACTCCATCGACGCACACAAAAAGCATCCCGCCGTCTCTAGGCGCCCGGTCCTGCGGACCTTTACCATTTATATCTTGGGAAGTGGACCATGGCCTGTTCTGCTCGCTGTCTCGACAACCCTTGCGTGTCGGCTTCTCGCAGCGGGAAACTCATGGTGGTTGACTAAATGGACCTCGAATAAAGAGCTTGACGATATGAGCCTCCGGTCCAGCTTGTACATCTACCTAGCTCTGTCGGTCTGCGCCGCCGTTGCCGTGGCGGTGCATGCCATGGCTGTCCAGGGAGTCAGCCAACGTGCATCAGACGTGCTGTTTCGAAAAACAGTGCGGAGCGTAATATGCAGCCCTTTGCGATGGATAGACAGTACGTCGCTAGGGAAGCCGTTGCACAGTCTGGCTTCTGACATGTACTTGATCGATCACCGAGTTGCAGCAGGTTTGAGTGATCTGCTGCGGATCGTTATGCAGCTCATCCTAGTAATTTTCACTAGGTACGTCGCAAACTAGTCTTGACCAACAATTTACTGACAATAGCAGTGGAGTTGCTACACCCCCGACTATTGCTATGATGGTTATTATGATGAGCTTCTACTTCAAAATAACGACCAGACACCTTCGAGTGTCAAAACGCCTCAACAAGCTCGTTCCGCTGGCAGCACAGCCTGTTCTAGAGCACACAAACTCTGCCGAATCCGGAATCATGATAATTAGAGCTTTCAAAAAAGAACCGACATATGTCGAGCGTATGTATGATCTATTGGATGTGGACATGGGTCTGAGCTGGCACATCACTCTAGGACAGAGATGGATTCATGGCCGATATGGCATTCTCGGCTCTTTATTCGTCTGCGCCACCGCAGTGTCTTTGGTGCTTGCAGGCGCCAATGCTGCAACAGCAGGCTTTACAATCAACGTGGCCCTTCAATTCAAGGCCACCATGAGTGGCTTGATGGGCAAGATTAACCTTCTCACAAGTGGCGCTCGCGCCATTGACCGCGTACTGAACATTGCAGAGGCCCCAACAGAGAGACAAGGTGGCGAGGATGTGGCCGCGTCTTGGCCAGCTTCTGGCAGGCTTGAAGTCAAGAATGTGACTGTTCGTTATGATGCAGACCTGCCACCAGTCCTTCGAGGTATTACATTCTCACTCGCGGCACGTGAACGTCTTGGGGTTGTAGGGCGAACAGGTGCCGGTAAGACAAGCCTTGTCAATGCTTTACTTCGCTTTGTCGACGTCGAAGAGGGAAGCATACATGTGGACGGGGTGGATACCGCACCGCTCAAGCTTGCTCATCTTCGAAGCTCCATCTCTGTGATAGCGCAAGATCCATTCTTGTTTTCAGGCACACTCCGCGCTAATTTGGCTATCCGTGGGCCCAAAGATGACGAAGAGCTTAGAGAAGCTCTGAGAAAAGTTGCTGTGCAGACCGCAGACGGGCGAGATGCAATCAATGTTCTAGACGACCTGGACATGGCTGTCCAGGCGGGCGGTGAGAATCTCTCTCACGGCCAGAGACAGATGGTCTGCCTTGCCAGAGCAATCCTAAACCCGCGGCGGATCGTGATTCTGGACGAAGCGACCAGCGCCGTGGATCGGGCGACGGATACCATGGTCCAGGAAGTAATTCGTCGGGAATTTGCAGAATCTTCCATGATCATCGTGGCCCACAGGCTGGCTACAGTGGCTGACTTGGACAAGATTATGGTTCTGGATGAAGGCATGGCTGTGGAGTTTGGATCTCCGGCTGAGTTGATGCAGAAGAAGGGCATATTTTGGGACATGGTGAATCAGAGCGGCGATGCCGACAATATACAAAGAGTCATTGAGCAGGCGGGGGGTTGACTGCCATGCTGCGCGAAGTGAGTTTGGGCCCTGCAAATGTACATGTCACCTCGGCATAGAATCACAAGGATCTCGTGATTGGTTGCATTTGCTTTTGTAATAGAATTTGTACAAATTACCCTTGTTTTCCTTTGACTTTTTCGCTGTTCTCAATGCTAGGTAGATTTTAATCTTCAAAGTGCCCTTGCTGCAGTGACTACGAACCCTGATAGCTGGCAAGAGGGTAGTCAGAGAAAATGATAAGAGAACTGATGAGAGTGAGATCATGTGACAGGAATCCAAGATGAAAGATGAGTAAAATCAACACAGATGATATATTGGGCGTATTTCTCGTGACCACCTCGCTGGGACGGCTGGTGGTGGCGATGCTTCAGAGGTGCCAGATGACGGCGCACAACTCCACCAAAAATCCACAATCTGCGCTCAACTCTGTCAAACCTCACGACTTCTTCACACCACCAGCGCACAACAAGACGCCGACGCTGCGCGCAACCAGAAACACATGCACAGCTCCGGGCCACGCCTCAAAAATGGCGTCGATCTCCAGCTCCAGACGGCCTTTTACGATCAGAACTGGAGCACCGTCGTGCGGCTCGCTGAGAAGCGCGCCAAGATGGTGAATGACCCATATTATGAGGTGAGAGCTGGCGCGGCCTCATAGACTCCAATATCCGGCGTTGGACGCTAGGAAAATATTTCTTCAACAGCTGCTGACCTTCCGACAGGTCCTCAAAGTATGCGCAGAGAGCCAGCTCGACGACCCGGCCGCCAAATATGGCGCCATGACGGCTCTGCTCACCTACGCCAAGGACGGCACCGTGATCAAGGACGCAGACGGAATAGATCTTCTTGAATGGGCTACGCGGGACTTGTTAGAGGAGCAGGATTTTCCAAAGACGCTGGGGCTTTTGCGAGTCCGAGCAGCCAAGGCCTCATCCAAGGATAAGAGCCAAACGACGAGATGTCTCGAGTCTTGCCTTTTACACTGGGACCTTGTCAGCGCGCAACAAGTAAGGATTTGAAGCTCTAGAATCATATCTGCACTTACTAATGAACTAGATTTCTGCCCTGATTGATAAGTCATTTTCCCAAGAGAGGGCATTTCTCTTCTGGAACATTGCCATTACCCACCTTCTCGCTGTATGTCCTCTCTGGCGCCAAAGCAACCAATTGCTATTGACATTCCATAGATATCCCCACAGTGTCCGCCTGAAAAGAAGCAGCTGTATGGCATGTTGGCGCAGAAACAAATCGAGCGCGCCGCTCAGGCCACGGAGCAGGCAAGTTGCTCCCGCTCGCGAGAATTGCAGCCGCTGACCGTGCCCTAGGCCGAGGACAAAAAGGCGCTTCCTTCCCGTGCTATCCAAACAGAAGAGGAAATACTGCTGTTGTACGAGATTGTTGGCACCCATGGCACTGCGGCAGACTTTGCCAAACTTGTCGACAGCGCCTTTTTCAGTCCCGTCGAGCAGCTCAAGCAAGGTCGCAAAGAGCCCCTGGTATACGCTATCAAAAAGCTGCAAAAGGACGAAAATTGGCAAAGTCTTTTTGATATTTGTCAGGCTTGTCTATCGGTTTCGGATGACAAGGGAGTGCCAACACTACAGGCGTCTGACTGGGACGTCTGGCGGCAGTTCATTACAGCTGCTAGCCAAATACAAGATTGTTACGCGCAGTAGGTCTTTGCACTCTTCTCCATTCCATGGCCCCTTCTTACATCTCATAGAGCAACTGCAGCGGTTCAAGATTTGCTTCTGAAACTGTCCAAGGCGGCAGACTCGAAACCCATGTATAAGCGAAACGTCATGCTTGCACGGGTTTCTGCGAGCTTCCAGCTGCTGGAGTCTGAGCATCCCGATGCGATAGACTCTAGCCCCTCATCGCTGCGACTGCGCGAACTCGTCAAATACATCAACAATCAGGCGTCTTATCCCTCATGCTTTGATGATATCCGCCTATTTGCAGAGCAGCTCGACCCTAGCGGCATTGACTACCTCGCCCACCACCACTTTTTGTCACAAGAGCCGAGTGACGATCTCCCAGAGCTTAGGAGGCAGATTTTGGCCCTCAAGCTGCAATACTTTGCTGCAACGTGCCCGCAGACTTGCGTCACTGCCGGCACAACGAGCGAGCGGCGCTCATGCCGGGAACCACTATTCAAGAAAGTCTATCAAGCTAGCATGGCGTTGCACAAATACATCAGCACAATATCCTCCTACGCGTCTCAGTCGACAAAAGATGTCCAGTCCGAGGTCGCTCTCGTTGCCGCATTCTGCCTCATTGGACTGGCCAATCAGCTCCCGTCTTCACTTCCCACGACCGAGGCTACGCAGTATCTGGTGCAAGCGCTTCTCCTCCTTCAGCAGCAGCTCAGCTCATCCCCAAAGCACAGCCAAATATCTCTGCTGCTCGTCCAGCTCCATCTGCGCGTCGGATCCGCCCCCGAAGCGCTCGCCGTCTGGGACACGCTGGCCGTGAAGCGCACCATCATGGACTCGCTCGCGCCGCTGTTCTACGACCGCCTGTCCACGGTGGCGCCGGGCATGACCTCGCCGCTGACTGACGCCGGCTGGCAGCTGATGACATCCATCAAAACGCACTATCAAACATCGCTCAAGATGCGTATGCCGCGGCGGTTGATTGACGCGTTCCAGGATGGTAGTTACAGCAGTGTCTTGGCGGTGCCAAGGTATATTGAGAATCTGCGCGTGAGCTGTACTCGGGCCATGAGTCTGGTGGAGAGTGTGCGATCCGAGCGACTATTTGGAGTTACAGACACGGACTTTTTCAGTGATTCGAGATTCAGTAAGTGTGACTCATGAGGGAAGATTGTTGAGACTAACCGGTTCGGCTTCAGCTGAAGTTCGCGACGATACGAGCATGAACGAAATCATCGACTACGGATCATTCCCATCATGGAGCCACAGTGCCACCCCCGCCATCTACGAACGGCTCAGGCTTGGGCCACCTCCAAGTGTATGTACTTTTCTGTAGATAGTCAGACAGTGCTGATATCCTATAGAATCGCAGAGCCCATCTCTCCCTGCTCGCAGAGGCATTCCAGCAGACTCTAGCCTACACGCCGCCCTCTTTCTACAAGGTGCCCGTGGCAGGTTCCGTGGCAGACCAAGGATATGTCATCGAGTCCCTCGGACAAATCGCCAACTCTTTTTCGAAATTCCTCCCCGACGCGGCCTCTTCCTTGACCGAGTCGGAGCTGCACTATTTCCAAGTCGTCAGTCTGCTGTCCTCCCTCGTCCCGCTCTGCGCCGACCGCGCCAGCGGCCTCCACGAGCTCGTCGGCCAGCTCGCCAGCGCCGTGACCGCCTCCCTCGACAGCCAGCGAGACTACCTCGCCGCGCTGGCCTCTGGCACTGGCATTGGCCACGCGACATCGCTGCTCCAGTCGCTGCACCGCGTCGTGCTGCTGCGCGACACGGCCGTCGCCGTCCGAAACGCGGCGCAGTGGATTATTGGCTTCCACGAGAAGCAAAAGGAGCGCGACCGCTCGGGCCAGAGCAACCTTCCCAAGGACGTGGTCGCGCAGACCAAGGCGCTGGGCGCGGCGGCGGACGACGCGCTCAGGCAGTGCAGGTCGTGGATCATGCGGCTGGCGCAGGACACCAAGTCGGGCGGCGTGGTGGAGAGGGAGATTAAGAGGTTTGTGTATGGCGGAGAGGAGGGAAGGCTTCTGCAAGGCGTCGTGACGGACGGCACCGTCTTTGATTTGGTAGGTAGCTGGCGAAAGAGTCTGGCTGGATGGCAGGGAGTCCATTGGCAGTAGGACGGGGAACTAAGCGATCTAGATGGAGTGAGGGCAGCTATCAACGCTTGTTCGAATATAGAAAATTTATTATAGATCGGTATTTGAAGAAAGTATATTCAAATAAAAGTGTTTGCGCTGGGCGCAGCTTTCAACTGCGTGCGGAATCAAAAGCAAGCCGGCGAGCGATCTATGACAACGTAGGCACACTGGTCGTACAACGTTGTTTTTGATCAATCGGTATAACTATTTCTAGTCTCGTAAAGGCCCAATCTCATCATGACGATTCATCGCGGTGGAGTGAATGGGCGACGGCATAAGCCCAACATAACATTTACCTCTTTAGGACACCAGTTCCACGCTGTAAGCTGACAACACTACGCATGACATGCAAAACCAAATAAATACCCCGGCGCTGCAATAATTTCAAAAGTGGTATGCCAACGGTGTATATCTTTCAGTCTCATTGTTTTCATTTTCATCTACTAGGTCTGATTCTTCAGCCTCGCTGTACCACAATGTCTTCCAGTCAAAAGACTGTCCTCATCACCGGGTAGGAGCCCCCTCCCCCCCTTTCAACGCAGAACAACCAACGATGATGGCCCGACTAACACGCTGGCAGCTGCACGCCCGGCGGCATTGGCCACGCGCTGGCCCTACAATTTCACGCGGCCAGTTAGTTGCGTTTTTTTTCTTTTCCCTTTTTCATTTGAAAACTTCAGATTTAGTCCAAAAGAACAAACTGACAATATTTTGTTGCAGACTACCATGTCATTGCCACAGCCCGCCGCGCCGAGGTCCTCGATGAACTCGCCGCAATGGGCATGAGCGCCGTTTCGCTAGACGTCACCTCGAGCGCCAGTATTGAAAAGTGCAAAGCGCAAGTCGCCAAGATAACCGGCGGCACCCTTGACATTCTCGTCAACAATGCGTGCGTAACCCCCCCCCCCCCCCCTTTTTCTTAAAACTTCCATGTCAACGATAACCCTCGCTAACACGCATGTTGCCCTTGCCTCCCTGCAGCGGTCTGCTGTACATGCTACCCGCGACCGACATTGACATGGACGGCGTGCGCTCCACGTTTGAGACCAACGTGTTTGGCGTCATGGCCATGTGCCAGGCCTTTGTCCCGCTGCTGATCCCCGCCCGCGGGCTCGTGCTGCAGATATCGTCCATTTCCGCCGTCGCCGCCGACCTCTTTGCCAGCGTCTACAGCGCGACCAAGGGCGCCCTCAACGCGTACTCGCGCAGCCTGCGCCTCGAGCTGCGCCCCTTTGCCGTGCGCGTCATGGTTGCCGTAACGGGCACGGTCAAGTCGCGAATCGCCGCCAACGTGGCGGCGCAGAGCCCTCTGCGGCTGCCCGAGCATTCGCTGTACCGGCCGGTCGAGGACGTGTACGCCCAGCGCCACCGCTTTAGTCAGGAGACGGTCCCGATGGATACGGATGTGTACGCGGCGAGGATTGTTGCGCAGGCGGTCCGCGGCGAGGGCTGGATGGGCGGCTGGCTCGGCGGCTCGCCGGACTGGTACTGGACGGGGGGCCTTGCGCGCAGGACGTGGCTTGGGCAGTACTTGCCGACGAGCTGGACAGAGGGCTTGGTAGCGGCGCTGTCGGAGAATGATGAGATTACGAAGCGAATTCACGCGGCGCAGGAAAAGACGGCGTAAGGGGCGGCGGCATGTCTGCATCTTCATTTCTCTTTGTACATGTAATGAGCGATTCTTCGACTCTTTCCTTTCCAACATAATTTGAGCAATCCCAGAAGAAGCAAATGTCCAGAACCAATTTTGTACATGAAAAGCAATTTGTAAATGAAAAGCAATTTGTAAGTGAAAAGCAATTTGTAAGTGAAAAGCAATTTGTAAGTGAAAAGCAATTTGTTAGTTGTAAATGAAGAGCAACATGTACATGGAACGCAATCTGTACATGAAAATCAATTTGTACATGAAAACGACAAGCCTCGAGTGCAGTAACCCGCGGGCAAAACATCTTTCGACACAACTTTTTATCTTCACTCCTCGCGCTTCTCCGAGTCTTCAAGCAAAATGGACGTCGTCCTCTGCAGAGTCTCAATCGCGACAAGCACTTCCTGCAGCGACTGAATGGACCTGTCGTTCGCCTCGTGCAGGGATTGTCCCGTGGCCCTGGCCCAGTTCGCGTCGTCCCGCTGCGCCCTCTCCAGCGCCGCCAGTCGCGCCTCGAGCCCGCGCAGCCTAGTCTCGTACAACTGCCTCTCCTCAGAGGCCATGATACTATACTCTACGCCAATGGCCGGCGACGGGGCCATGTAAGCCGCCGTCCTCGTTTCGTCCTGCGCGCGGAGCTCCTCCCGCTGACGCCGGGTCTGGCTGGCCATGCGCCTCAGCTGCACGGTGAGATCCTCCCGCCGACGCCGGCTCTGGCTCATTATGCGCTGCGGCTGCACGTTTTGCTCTTGTTGTAATTGGTCTGGCGCGGCCTCGGCGGCGGCCGCGTGGCGGTCGGTGTACTGGGTCAGCTTGGACTGGATCAACGCCCGCGCGGGCTTGGGCGATGGCGGCAGGACAGGCAATGATGCATCGCCCGCGTCAGTTAAATCAATCATGTCGAAAGAAGCAACAGTCTCGGGGACAAAGTGATGCTCAGAGGAATCGCTGTTCTTGAAGAGATGGGTTCGCTTTGGGGTATGGTCTGTAGGTATGGAATATGCCAATTCGTCCTGTTTAGGTTCCGAGCGAAAAGTAAAGTGGCACTCGTCAAAGAAGAAGTTGTCGCTTGCTAGCATGGATTTGCCCTCACTAGTTTCGCTTGGAGAGGACGAAGACTTTCGCTTTCGTTCCATTAATGGCTGGTCCACTGACGGACTTGCAAGTTGAGTCTGGACGCCGGGCATTTTGGGCGTGCCGGCTTTATGAACCAACGTCTTGGACTTTCGAGAGGACTGAATTTCTTTCAGCAGCGCCCTGTTTGAATCTACATTAGTATGTGCTGCGTAGAGTCCTCCAGCGCATTGACTCACACTACCTCTGGATCCGTCTCCCAGAGAGACGTGACTTTCTTTTCGGGGGGTTCAACGCCGGCCAAGCAGGGCGGTAGCTTCGCGTCCATGAGCATGTCAACGTGCCAGTCACGTATCTTGAGCCATGCCGTACGCGTCGCGGCAACTGTGGCCTCGTCCACTTCTGCCGAGTGCCCAATCTCCGGCCGCGGCCGGATCAGAAGCCACTCGGTTACCAGTCGCACCAGCAGAGAGATCCTCTGCTCGGCCTTGCCAAACGCCGCATAGCGAGCGTCCGAGTAGAAGTTGGCGATACCGCTCACCGTGTCACGCTTGTCCCCCTTGGCGATGCCCCAGTCCTCTGTCACCCACTTCCAGAAGCGGGCGTCGTGCATGAGGGGCGCGTAGAACAGCATCATGCGAAACAGGACCACGAGGTTGGCGTAGGAACGGGCGGCGCGGTTGCCCTTTTGAAACCGGTTGTTACCGAGCATACCGGACATGACATGTTCCACGTCGGGCGGGATCTTGTTGCCGGAGAAGAAGGCTTCGGAGAAGCCGCTGATGCGCGGGAGGCGCATTGAACCGGGCATTGTAGTACACGGTGGATGGTATGAAGGCAGCGAGATGATGGCTCTGACAGGCTTTCCAGGTCGAGAATGATGAAAAGGATGTTGAGATGGCAAAACAAAGGTGCGGTCAATATTATGTGGCTACATAACATGCCCATGTGCGCGTGCGGCGTTTGCACCAGCTGGCGTAAGAGACGCGCCAACTACAAACGGAACGCGCCGACATCATATCCAGAGAAAACAAATCCCCTGGCTTCTCTTTCTGCTTTAGCCACTGGAGACTCGTTGTCTATGTGTTTTGCTTGGATCTTGGTCGCAGTTCGGCAAACAAGTCTGCCCTAGCAAGTTGTTTCGAGAGCAGTATGCGTAATTTTGAATGCTGAACATGTTCGGAAATGACGTGCAACTGGAATCCTTTCTTCGTGTCCAATTGTCTGCTTCTTCATCTAGGTAGCTTGTCTTCGAACGTAACGGAAGCGAAAAAGTCGGCTGCCTTAATCATGATCTGGAGGTATAAGCTGTTGTAAGCCTAACCGTGAGAAACACAATCCGAGGTGGCTATGATTTTCAGTTCCTCGGATCACTACTTAGTGCTACTGCATTTTATACACTAACTCTTGCGGATGCTTTGAGTGCGCTTGCTCCGCGAGCTCATTCGCTGTCCACACGGCACTTGCCGATCAACCACCTCCTCGCCCTTGTACCCAAAATTGTCACTCATGTTATATTTTCTCATCTTCGACTCCGACTCCGTTTATCCATCCACCGTTATCCGACTGTGATATCGTCCTGCGCCCCGTCCCCACCGAGGACCATCTGCCATGTCCGGAGGGCGCCCGCGTGACTCGGACCTGCTTGGTGCCCGTCATCGGAGGCCGGAGCAAGTGGGACAGCGAAACAAGCGTGACGAACATATGATGGCGCCCTAGGGCGTGGTGGCTCTAAGATGGAAACTATCCGCTATTTGAAGCAAACGTTTCCTTCTTTCTTCATCATCGTGACTTGTTTGTTCTTTTTATACACCGGTATGCTGAGCTTTGTGCTTGCGTGCGCGGCTGCTGCCCTACTGTGGCTGTCTTATACACTCGTAAGCCTTCCCCTAGTTGATCCTGTCGTGTAACACACAGCACTGATGCATCCCACCACAAGATTCGAACAAGACGGGTCGCCAAAGTCGAACCGACGCGGGCGGCAGAGAAACATGCCAAGACACAAGAGATTACACCGCTGGAGGGTCTGGATTGGGAAAATGAAGAGCCGAAGCAGCTGAGACCGTTCAAGCCAACCTACCACATCACAATGGGTACACATCCATCTCTTGGCCCCCAAACTTTTCAACAGCCGCATTCTACTTACACGCGCCCAAAGCCTTGCGAGCAGACACTCCCCAGGAGCTCATCACCATAGACCGCGACTACCGCTCCCGCGTCCTCCTCCGCCGCTCCCTCCTCGCCCAGCACCCCTCCACCGTGCACGGCTGCACCGCCCCCGGCGCTGCCGCTGTCCGCGAGCTCTACACCCACCTTCTAACCAACCACCTCCCCGCGCGCTACCCGACCATTTTCCAGCTCGTCGGCTCCGGCTCGCTCCTGCACAACGCCGCCACAGGCGCGACTCATCCGACCACACCGCCAGACGACGACAGCGGCGGCGCCGAGGCGGCACTGCGGGTGCTCGGGGAGACGGTGGAGGAGGACCTGTTCTTGCTGCGGGAGACGCCGCGCGGCCACGAATCGACAGCGTTTGTGTGCTGCTTCCCGGCCGGCTTTGATCCGAGCGAGAAGCTGGGGCGGCTGCTGAGCGAGATTCACGCGCCGGTGCCAGGGTACGACAAGATTGGGGCGAGCATGGAGAGGTTCTTTGGGAAGCTCGAGGTGGGCAAGAGCGTGAAGCGCATGAATGTATGACCCCCAGTCTTCTTCTTCTTCCTCTCCTAATCATGATTGTGGTTATTATTGTTTATTCTCTTATCGACCACTCGGGATAATTACTGACTAACATTGCCGCAGTGGACTGTCCAGACGCACGACCAGCTCTTCAACTGCAGGGCCAACCACGACCTCGCCGGCCAGGACTCGTCCACCCCCGACCAAGACGTCGACATTTCCCAAGTAATTACATCTTTGGCTCAATTTTCTTGTTAATAATATACAAAACAAACAGCTAAACTAACCAACCCCGCAGACCTTTGTCCGCATCGAGCTGCAGACCCTCACCCGTCTCCCGCAGACCCGCGCCATCCTCTTCTCCTTCAAGACGTACATGTACCCCGTGCAGCAGATCAAGAGCGAGGGCGGCGGACCGGCCTTTGCCGACGCCGTCGAGGGCCTGGCCACCGGCAACGCACCGGGCATGCGCACCTACAAGGGAAGCGTGCGCTGGGGCAAGGCCGTGTGCGAGTACCTGCGGTCTTAGCTGCGTTGCGTTGGTACTGTCATTCACGATTACATGACAGTGCACTGAAAGAGTAAAGTGCTACGACCAAGAAAGATTGGTCTGCATGATTTTTTCTTTTTTTTTTCTTTTTTTCATGTACACCGCTACGCTCGCTCTAATCATCAACTCCTCGTCGAGACCAATGTTGTCTACATCAATCGCTCTTTATATTCGTGTGAAGAAAACTCCCCGTGTATGCTTTTGTACTCTAATAAACAAGATGCAAAAAAGAAACAACAAAAGAGTGTATGCCGAAACTCTCATCAACAATGTAGGCAACACGCTTTTAACCCCACGACACGAGCACCTTTTTGCCCTTTTTACCCTTTTTCCCTTTACCCTCCTCCGCCTCGGCCGCTTCCGCCGGCGTTGCATCCGTCGCCGCGGCACCACCACCCCATTGAAAGTTGGACTCGGCATGGCCGTAGTCGCGCCGCACGCCGCGCCCACCACCATAACCGAAAATCGTCGTCGTCGGCTTCGGCGCTGCCGGCAACGCCGGGAAGCTGTCGTCGCCGCCGCCGCCGCCGCGAGTCCCCGCGCGCAACGTTGTCGCCACAGACGCCGCCGGGACCCACGATGGTCGTGACGACGACGACGACGCCGACGTCTTGGATGCTGCGAGAGAGGGGTACGAGACGGAAGAGGAAGAAGAAGCAGGCGCGCGAGCCGTCGAAGAAGCGGCGGGCGTCCAACCGGGCGGCGTCGCCGTATTCACCGGCGCCGGACCGCCCAAGCGCGTGCTGTTCTTAAGCTTGAGCACGCGATTTGAGTGTTTCTGCGCAGGCGCGCCGTGCGGCGCCGCCGGGCTAGCGGCCGCCGCATTCGCCCATCCACTCGAGCTCGACGTCTCGCCCTCCATGCCGCTGAGCCCGGGCAAACTCGGGTAGTCTTCGTTGATGGCGCGCCAGTCCTGCCACGCCTTGCGGAGGCTGTCCGCTTTGGCCTTGTTCTCGAACAGGTCCGCCACCTCCCGCGTCATGGTGCCGAGCGCATTAGAGGAAACGTCGGCGAAGAGCGTAAAGAGCGCGTCGATGAGCTGCGGGGCGGTGAGGGCGCCGCGCTGATACGACGAGATGTGCTGCCGGAAGAGGCCCAGCTTGGCTGCGTCGTTGCCGAGGAGGTTTGCGGCGCGCTCAATGACGGAGCTGTGCCGGACCAGGCGTGCGCGGTCCTCGGGCGTCATGTTGGCTGTATCGGTGAGGGAGAGCACGTCCATTGCATCGGCGAGGTGGGCGCCGGGGACGGCGGCGCGAACGGTGGGCGTGCTGGAGGAGCTGCCGTTGCGGGGCGAGCCACGACCGGCCGAGGCGGCGCCGGACGTGGGCGTGGCGGCGGAGAGCTGGCCGCCAAAGGTGCGCTGCGAAACCGACTGCGCAGAGTGAATGGCCATTTGTCGCTGAAACGCAATCTCGTCTCGACGAAGCGGTTGCGTGTACGGAGGAGGCACCGAGTCCTCGTTCGGGTCCCTACCCCGTCCACGACCTCGTCCCCTCGCGCGACCTTCACCGTCTCTGCCGCCGCCGCCACCACCACCACCGCGCCGCTCCTCCTGGTATGACGGCCTGAGGTCAAAACCAGCCATGTCCACCACCCGCGCATCACGGCCGACCGTCTTGCCGCCGGCGTGCTCAGCCAGGTTGTGCGCCTGCAGATCCATGTTGGACTCGAACACGACAAACTTCTTCTCCATGCACTCCCTGTCATTGCAGAGAAAGTGGTCCTTTTTGAAATGCTGCTCCAGCGCGTTGTAGTCTACAAAGTAGTGTGGCTTGCGGGAGTCGCGGCGGTCACAGAGGAAGCAGCGTTCGTGCTTCATGCGGCAATGCTCGTACAAGCGATCGTCGTCGTAGAAGCGTTCGCCGCAGAAGCCGCACAGCGGGTGGCCCTTGAAGCCCGTCTGATCGGCCGCGCCGGGCTTGTCGTCGCCGCGTCGCATGTGCTTCTCGAGCTCGCGGTCGGTGAAGAGCTCGTGCTCGTGCGTAAAGACCTTTTTGTTGCGCGTGCACAGGTCGCACATGCGCTTGCGGTGCGCTGCCTTGACGTGGCGGTGGAGGTCGGGCCAGCCGAGGCCGGCAAAATCGCACGAGGCGTCGGGGCAGTTGTACCGGAGGAGGAGGACCGTGTCGCCGACAATGTCCTCGTTGGTGTATTTGATGCCAATGTTGGTGTCGATGGTGGTGAGATCGGCGGGCTTGTAGTCTTCAAACCGTTTTTCGGCATCGTCTGTAAAGATGACGTACGGAGCCTCGGTCTAGCAGGCGTTGTCAGAATGCTGTGAAAAATATGTAGCTTGATTATATATGACTTACTCGGCAATGTGCACAGTCCTTGGTCTTGTAGAGTGCTCTCATGCGCAGTCCGCAGATGTGGCAGGTTTTGTGGTTGCAGGGGGCAATGGAGTGGTGCGCCACAGGGTTGGCGCAGATGAAGCACACTTCTTCGTTGTCGTCGCCGTCCTTATCGTCGTCGACGTTTTGCGTCGCCCTGTGAGCCGGGGCCGCGATGCCAGCCTCCTCCTTGGCCGCTCGAGCAGCGACGGCGACGTCTTGCGCGGCGGGCTCGGCGGGCAGGTCATCCTGTTTGGGGCCGCCCCGGTGGCCTCCACCGCGTCCTCTTCGACCGCCGCCTCCACGGCTGTTTTGGCCGCCACGATCGCCGCGGCCTCTGCTGCGATTTCCTCGTCCGCGCGAGGCTTGGCCGTTGCCGCCGCCTCCCGTTAAGGATCCAGCCGCGTCCGGCATCGTCGTGTTTGCAGGCGGCAGTCTCAAGAGTGCGTAGTGGGTGATTGAGTTACAGGGTGCGTGAATGGGAACAAACAAAGCCTCAGTACTAAAGGCTAGCTGGCTCCCAGTATGGTCCTCGTTTAATGGAGCTGGGAGAGTCGTGATGACGGGCAATGCGAGAGAAATATTTTCCCGGATCCTCGCGGAACTGCGAATTGATGAACGGTGTCCCAGAGGGCTTCCACTAATTTTAGAGGGGCATAGCTGCCAGAATCCATTTCGAGGCCCCGAAAATGAGACGAGGGGCAAATCAGCGGCTGAGATGTAACGATGACTCAGCCAGGCCGCTCGAAAGCAGCGGGGGGTCCTTCAGCTAAGGTACAGGCGGTAAGGTACCTACCTACCTTAGGTATCACGCGAAGTAGGTATCAAAAAAAGAGTCATACGCCGCGAGCAGGGCTCCTAGTCGCGACACAACAATGAGATATTCTAGAAATTAGTCTTCCCATTCAAATATGCCGTGGCTTAGGAATTGGGTGCAGTTGGTAACCTTTTCCTTGACCAATCCGTATAGTGCCGTGTTGGTATCTAGCCAACTCGTAACCAATCAGCCAAACCACCAATAAATCATCCATCACCAAGATTGTTAACCAGTATATTGTAGCATTGAAAAACCTGTGGCTTCTTGCCCAACGGACTTCCCATACGCCAGTAGTATCTCCGCGGCCCATTTCATTTCCACTCCGCCCACGCATTTCCCCTTTTGCTGCACTCGACGCCTGAATCCTGGCATCTGCATAACCTGTTCGATTTGTATGATTCCTCGCTGCGCCGCCCTTTACCCCAGCGAATTCGAGAAAAAGCAATAAAAGAGACTAAAAATTATGACCCACGCAATTGAAAATGACAACCAATCGCTGTCAAACACAGGTGCCCAACGCCATTGGCATAGCACGTCGCGTCGGCGGACCGCAGTGAAGCAGTCTGTGTAGGCCTACTTGCTACTCCTCGCCGACGGGGTAGAGATGTTGACCAATCTCCTTGTTCATCTTAAACATGTCCACCCTGGGTTGCCTAAACACAGCAAACATTCGATCGTCGCAAAGGATTTGGCGCTTATCCTTGGGATCCTGGAGTTCGTTGGCTTTGATGTGTTCCCAGAGCTTCTTGACGACCTGGGGACGCGAGAGCTATGCTGGTTAGAACAGAGCTAGTCACTCGTGCATGATCGACATACCTGTGTTTCTCCGCACAGAACGGAGAGGCTGTCGCTCAGGTTAAATGGCTTTTGAAACCCTCCACCAGCCTTTCGTTTGGGAGGAGCGTCGCTTCCATTAATGTCGCTATCGTCGTCGTCGCGGACGCGCTTGGCGCTCTTCTTCTTCGGGGCACGCTTCTTTTTGCCGCTGCTCGGCTTGTCGCCACCGCGCGTAGTGCGGCCTCGAGCCAGTCGGTTCTCTTGCGCCTGTAGCTGGGCCGCCAACTTGGCGTCGGCGTCTTCCACCGACGATGATCGCTTCGCCTTCTTCTTGGCGGGCTCGGAGCCGGCCGAAGCATCCGAGTCGTAGTGGTTGTAGCCATTCGTGGCAGAGCGCTTGCTGGGTGTGGGCTCGGGGTCAGGCGAGGCCTGGGCGTCGTCGGCGTCAGCACCCGAGACGGCGTCAAAACGTGCTTCGATTAGCTTCTTGACAGCGTCCTGTTGCAGTGGGTTAGCGACTTGCACAATTGGCGGGACAAGGTTGCGCGCATGTGATACCTTCTGCTCGCTGAGGTCCTTGCCGCCAAGCGAAGTTTCGAGACCCTGCCGAATCTTCTTGCGCGAGATGGTTTCGAGGTTGGCTGTGGCGAGGATACCGTCGATGATGGCCGTGTACTGTCGCAGCTCTTCAGAGCTCACTAAAAGCAAAGCAAAACACGCAATTGTCAGCCTGAGCGTTGAACTGGGCGGCCATGTCTGGCCGGGGGCAGCTGGTTAAGCAGCCGATATGGAGCCGTACAAGGGGCGCTCATGGTGTTTGGCCTATATCGCGTGCCGATAAGGAACAGCGCGGGGAGGGCCCAGACGACGACGTCGAATAACACGCAGAGACAAATCGGGGGACGTCAGCGAGTCTGCGCAGGCGAATGTGGGCGGTTGCGAACACCGTCAATCAACGATGACGAGCTTTTGGCGGTCGCACGAGGAAGCGAGCGTATGCTGAGGAAAGGGAAACAGACGTGTTGGCAGAGGCGCGAGCGGGACGAGTCAGTGCATTACCCCCCAAGGCCTAGGCAGGTACGTGCGAGGGCAGCGAGCAAGAAGAAAAAAAGCGAGCGAAGAGGAAGGGGAAAAAAAAAACAAGAAGGGATTCCCAATGGCGCTTCTCGTCCGATGAGCTAGATTGCCGAATCGCAGGAAGCCGGCCAGAGGTGTTGGCTGGCAGAAAGAACCAGATGGCGATATGGAGCTTGTCTGCGTTTGCGGAGGGTTGAAGTTGGGCGACGGCCGTCACCTGATGGACTGACACTGGCGTCGGACAAGGTTACAACGGAGAGCCAAGGTAGTTACCGTAACACCGCGGCGGCGCCAATAAAATCAATGGTCGTACGAACCGGGCGTCACACACGCGCGCAGCGAGCAAGGCCCAGCCAAAGGAAAGAAGAAGAAAAAAAGACGGTGGCAGGGGATCCGCGGCACGGTCCGCCAAACGTCGAGGTTGACCGCGAGAGCGACAATGGCAATGGAAGGAGAGAGACCGTGGGAGGAGCTGCGACCCAAATTGCTGATTCAATGAGGGGGTAAGGTGTAAAACGGTCGATGGATCGAGAAGTTGCACGTTCTTGGCGAGATGAGTGCTGGCGTGGAGGGCAACTTTGGATGATGATCAAGGATCCGGTGACACGGCCGAAGCTGGGGCGGTCGTGCCGAGCATGTGGCTGGTGACGCCACAGAGACACTGTACAGTGGGCCCAGGGTAGTTCAGAGCAAGATCACCAACGAAGAAGGCCCATTAACCCATTCCCGATTTGGAGAGATGGTGAGAATAAATACCATTGCAGGATCCGTTTCTGCTAGAAATCACCGGAGGCACTGGCTGCTGTGGGCGCCTAGGGCCTAAATATAGAGGCTCGAAGCGCCATGACGCGAAAACGCTGGTTTCCAGTGCTAGAGGCCAGGAGTTCATGCGCCACACCTACACCACCCAATCTTGTCAGGAGTACGGATACGATCTAGGTAAATATCTGAAGTATCCTGGTCATAAGCTAGCTACAACAACATTAACACGTACAACATCTTTCTCTCCACTCCAACAGTCGTACACAGCTCTCGGTCAAGCTCCATGGCAGTCAGATCCATATCTCATTGTTGTAAATATATACCTCTCTACTGTACAAGGTCCGTATCGCTCCTCGCGACTTTACTGAATCACTCACCTCCACAAGATCGAAACCCCCTCTCTGTATAAACTGTGTCTTGAAAGAATGGTTCCAAGAAGATGAAGAAAAAAAATGAGATGACCAACCAAGTAGTTGTGCTGGAAAGAATTAAAAATTTTGTGTGATCCCAATGTATCAGATTGTCCCCCTCAGGAGCCCGCAGAGGAGGACTCTCGTACATGTTTGTTCCATGCCGTGTGTAATAGTTGTGAGATGATGATGTATGCTTTTTTATGGTCTTGGCCTCCGGGCCAAAGCCATGTAAATTCGAGCCCGAAACCCGTGTTAGGAAAAAAACGCCGTAAAAGTATTCCAAGATTGATTCCCAAGAAATGAATGTTCTTTGCATCTTACAACATTGTTTCATTTATATGCCGACAGTGCATCACGCTTTGCCCGCGTTGCGGACCGCCTGTATGAACTTATACTCGGCGCCGACCTCGCCCACAGCGCGCGGCGCGGTGCTGTTGTTCGACGCCTTGGCCATGACGGCCCAGACCTCGTCTGGCGTCTTGCTGCCGAGCAGGGCCATCTCGCGCTCCATCAAGACGGCCACGGCGGCGCGGACCAGTAGCGAGTCTCCCTCAAACACGTACACATCCCAGAGACGGGCTGCCTCGTCAATAGCCAGCAGGCTGGTGAAGAGGCTCGAGAAGAGATCGCCGAGGTACAGCTCCGGCGTAAGGTCGGGAACGCCGCTCGTCAGGTGATTGTGCAACGTGACCGACTTGTGGCTGAGAGTGCGTAAGACGAGGTTAAAGGCGGATGCTTGCGCGGTCGCGTCGGACGTTTGAAAGGACAATGGCAGAGGTCGGTTGAGTATGTTGGCAAGCGCGACAAATGCAGTGCCGGCGTCAGGAAGATTGAGCAGTAAAAGCGCGGCAATCGTCTGATCATGTTAGCAGGATGAGACGAAAGGGTGGAACAAAGTGCGTTGGGACATACATTGCATCCAGAAGCGTAGCCGATATCGACACGGTACATGGAGTACGCACAAAGAACATCTACAAGAGCCGCGTGTAGAGGGCCTCCCTTCTGAAAAATTCGAAGCTCGGTCCAGGTGCTCTCCGAAGCAGCCTGGCGAATGTCTTGAAACCACTTGGCCTTTTCTTCATCGCCCTCTTCCGCCCTGTTCTCTTTGATGCGCCGCTCCACCGCGTGGACACGGCCCAGGGCGGCGTGAAAGGAGCCAGCGGACAGTCCGAGTTCATTGCCAATAGCCTTGGACCAGACGGCGCCTCGGCTGCGGGGGGCTATTCCGCGCCACCACATGTCGCGGGTTCGGCGCTCCCGAATAGCGTCGTTCCAGCGCGGGATGATGTCGTCCTCCCAGAGGTGCATGAGCGTCTCAGCATTGTTGTCGCGATGTGTAGTCTGGGCTCTTCGGGCAGCTTCGCGGCGCTCGTCAGCCTTAGCGCTGGCGGCCATCATCCTCTGATACTGCTTGACGTGCCGACGTTCTTCTGCGGGATCTTTGGGGGGCAGCCATGATGGACGGGTGCGGCTAAGAACGGCTTCCTTTTCCTTGGAGATGGGTAGAGGGTCGACCATGTTGTCGGTTCGGCGCAAGGGCGGAAGCTCGGGGGTGGAAGATTTGCCGCGCTCCTTGCGGTCGTATGCATATTCTTGTGTTTGAGATGAAGCCCATGTGTTGGGGCGGGTGGCAGAGGGGCGGCGCGATTGCATCTCTTCCAATTCATCGGCATGCTCCTCAAGTTTCTCTGTAAGAGCGCGGGCTTCGGCATTGAGCTCGGCGTGAGCCATGCTCCAGCTGTGTGCGCGCGTCTTTATGGGACTTGTCGGACAATTCTCTGCATCCGACTTCCAGGTAGGCGATCGCAGCGAACCCTGTGCTTGGGCGACGGCAGGCGTGCCATTACCGACACTGCGAACTCGCTCCTTTGTAGTCCTCTCAGGCGAGGTGCTGGCAGACGGTGCTCTGCTTGGCGGACGTTCATGCTGAGGGCGAGGAGAAATGGGAACATTGTCGAGGACCAAGCCCTCGGGAATGTCGTCACCCTCATCTTCGTCACACTCTTGCTCGAGATCGCTAATGGACTTGCGATCAAGATTGGCTTGCCAGCTGCCCCGACGGGGGCGAGGAGGGTAAAAGGCGTCGCGAGAGCGACTTGAGAGAGCTGGGCTGATGCTGCGCTGGCGATGTACCTGGGGCAGCGAAGTGGTGGAGAGGCCCTTTTTGAGGGTCATGGGACGGGGGGCGTCGGTCAGGGCAGCGGTGCTGGTACTGCGGGGGTTGGTAGAATATACATTATTTCGAAGATTAGGAAAAGAGCGTTTCGGGGCGGGTGCTCTTCTGTTGGCGACGAGGGTGCGTCCAGACTGGGGTGGGATGTTAACGTTGATCGAGGTGGGCGAGGTGATGCGGCGGGTGACGATTTGGGTCGAAGCCTTGGGTGTGGCGGCGTGGTCATCGTCAAGGCCAATGTCCTCAAAGTGGCCAATGTCGGCGAGGACGCTGCCGTCGTCGCTGGTGAGGGAGTGAAAGGACGACGACTTGGAGCTCTTGGAGGTTGTCATGCCTGGAGGAGAGCCAGGACTTTGCAGCATGGTGGCGACGGCGTAGGTGGAGCTCATGGCGACATGTCAGGCTGAGAAGACGCAGTATATGTGACGAATTAAATACAAAGTCGTAAAAATTATCGAGGTATCGGGAGCAGAGGACGTTGGTATTGAACGCAGAGTGTGGCGTTTGTGAGGGCGGACAGAGACAACGTTCGAGGGGTCGAGTGCCAGACAGGGGCAAGCGGTGGGAGCGAGTGACGACGGCGGTCGGTCAGACGAGAGAAAAGGAGAGAAAAAGATATACGGCGAATATAGGGAATACAGCGAGTGAGATTTTGTAAATATGCAATAGGGAAAAGGGGTAAAGAATGAGTAAAACTGAGAGAGAAAAAACAAAAGTGAAGCCAACGAGAGAATGGACTGCGGAAAGACAGCGGAGTAGGGGAACAGGGAAAAGAGACTTGTCGATGACGGCGGTCATGAACATCCATCCGCAGATGAACTAACCTGTTTCCTGGTTAGCACTGTTGACTGACTGACTACCAGAGCCTGTAAATAGGTCAACAGGTCAAAGGAAAGGTCTGTCAGGTTGCATTCAGCGGAGCAACAGAGACAGCGCAGGGGTACAGTGGCCTTGCAGGGTGGTGGACGCTGGAGCCTCCTCTGCTGCCCAGAGCTTCCAACTTTCATTCAACTTTCATGTCAGCTTACACGCCAAATTCCCAGTCAACTTCCAAGCCAACCTACCACCATTTCCTAACCTGACTGATCAAATTGAAGCCAAATTGCCTGCCTGTTCAACCAATTTGATTATCTAGATAGCCAACTACCTGGACACATTTTTGCACTCAGCGGTCATGATTTACCGTCGCGAGGTCCGAAAAAGCACCTGCAATCACTGGTGGGGTCAGCACGCGCCTCGCTGGAGCCCGCTGGAGCCGCTTGTTCTGTCTGTTCTTGCCACTTGCCAATCACTCAGTTTTGGTACCTACCTAGGCACCTAGGTACCATGGAAGTTTGCCAGACGCGAATAAGGTAGGTACCTATACCACCACGGCAGAAAATCAAAATTATAAGCAGCATGTTACATGCCAATTCTCTTGTCTCTCGACGCAACAATGAATCGAGAATCTCCTCTGTCAGATTGATCGCTTCGTTTTGTTTTGTTCTGGCCTATCTGTACCCTCTTTCTTTCTCTGTTTTCTTCCCCACCGCGCTCGCCGTCCTCGCTTCGCTCGAGTAGCTGCTGCACGTACAATCAGTGCATGTAAGCACCCCCTATCGTCTCCTCTCATAAATACACCTAATTAGCGCTCCATTTATTGGGGGGCCGCCGGTCTAAAAAAACGTGCACACCGTCCCTCCATCCGTCTGTCACCTCAAACTTTAAGCTCGCCTTCCCATCCACTGCAACTCTCGGGCAACCTTTTCCGGTCAAAGTGTCACTAGACCTTCAACAGCTCATGTTATTCAAAATAGGTAGCAACTACTAGCTGGCCATCGTGTCTCTGCCACAGAACCAAAGCGAGACTACTAAGTAACTCCCCGCCGGCAGCAGCCTCACCCTAACTAGAACGGATCCTGGTGGTGTCACGCCAATGGCCTCGACGCCTTGCCTTTTCCCAGTCCACTCCCTCCGTACGGAGCCAAAAAACCTCCTTTCGAAATCTCCTAAGAAATAAATTCTCCTTCTCCCCAGATGCAACACGGCAGAAAATGTGGCGCAAGCCACCACAGCTGCCCAGTTTCTTTCCCATCGAAACACGCATGGCTGCTCTTATTGTATTGCCCTCGAGCCGCTCTATCCGGTTGGATTTGATTGACATTGCGGCCCTCATATCGTTCTTTGTTTCAATTTCTTTCATCAATCGGTAATAGAAACTCAGAAATCAACACACGACAATTTGCTCGAGCTCTTTGTCAAGTCTCGGGGCACTCACTGCTCAAACCACCCGCGAACCATCGAGTCACTAGTCGCTCACCATCCCCCTTTCTTCCATGCGCATTTCTCTCTTTCCAATGGACCCGGTGGATGCGCTGAATTTGGTCTAGAACTTTGTCCGCCCCATCTCCGCTGATCCTATCACCCCTCGCCTAGTCTCGCCGATCCGCCTGCTGGTTCTCATGATGGCACCACGAATATGTAATTACAGATTATTTGTTGACAATCAACAAAGTTCACAGCCCTGGTTTAAACCTTAAATTTATAAAAAGAAATTTGAACAGAATCATGTTGAAATCGCGCGTCGTGTCAGCAGCGCGTATCTTAGTGATACCACGACGCTGGCTACGATTGTCAAGGTTTCCCCTCATCTGTCCGGTTCATCCAGAGACCTGTTTCACCGTGTCCGATGCGGATTGTCCAGCATGTCCGTATGGCCGTCTTGATCCGCGCACGCGCACCGCGGCGGCCTCTTCACGCCGGTCCGCTGCCTGCCCACCGGTGTCGCGTGCCTGAGTAAGCCTCCAAAGGAACCTCACTGAGCCTGGCCGCTGGACATTTGCATCATTGAGCCTGCGTGGTTCGGGCATGCTTTCGACGTGCCAAATATGGACGAGAAAAATCAATCATTGGTCTCTTAATTTTGACCCCGCTTTGCCAGCCCATTGCAGTTTCCTGGCTGATGATATCCGCTTCGTCATTTGCAGTGTTATCATGCCGAAATATTCGCTCTTATACTTCTTGTTGAATAAGTCCAGTTCATTTCCTTTTTTTCTTCCTTTACATATTTCTCCTTTCTTCATGCGACCTCTCAACTCTGATTACCATCTTCTTCCTCTTGATGTACCCCATTAACCTGTTCGTCTCACCTTTGGCCATGGCAAGACAAGCATGAGACACTCGGCGTTTGCCCTGCACAACGAAGACGGCATCCATCCTGTCATGCATGACGCTGCGCATTCCCCCACATTACTACTCCAGGTCTTTTCAACATGATTACCATGTCAGTGCATGTGACAAAATCAAGCGAAAAACGCAGAGTTAATGGACACGTCCGCTTCTCCTCGTGCAAGTTCGGCAACTAATAGGGGCTACCAATCTTCTGCAGTCATCTACAGACTACTGCATGGTAAAGCATGCCGCCCGCCACTTGCCATTGTCCTTTGTCACTTTAACTCGGCCTCAGAAGGCACAAAAAACGGGTTCAAAATTGTAAGCTCTAAGCAAAAGCACAGGCAACTAATCGTCTGCATCTCCTTCCCTTTTCGTGGTCCATCCCTTGCCCAATGTAGGCGCCTCAACCGATCGTGGTCGTCTGTCCAAACTCAGAGCTGCAGCATCTGTACCGGCAACTTGCACACGAGATCCAAAGTAGTGGCCATTACTGTTTATTCTCTTTATCCCATAAAAGCTCACCGTGTCGCATCGTCGTCTGCCTGCCTCCGAAACAACTGTCCCGGGCGCCGCCACACCCTCCCCAAGTGCGCCATGACCGCCTGCAACGACGCTGGAAGAGCAGGCGCAGTATTTCCCGGTCTAGTGTGCTGCTGCTGCAAGCATCTCGACTTATGGAGCGAGGCCTGGCTGGGCGACTTCTGCAGCGTAAGAGGATCGGACGAGTTTGCCACAGCGCTGGCCGGGAGGTGTGGTTCCCGATCAGACCCAGTGGGGGTTGGCTTTTCGGCTGATGCGATGGTGTCTGGTAAAGAGGGTTTCTCTGCGGCAATGGGAAGGACAGGCAGTGGCTGCGTTCCCTTATCTGCGCGGAAGCGGGGTGATGCCGCAGACGATGGTGCCGTAGACGATGGTGCCGCAGACGATGGTGCTGTAGACGATGGTGCCGCAGACGATGGTGCCGTAGACGATGGTGCCGCAGGTGTTGCCACTGCCACTACGGGTGCTGCTATCGGTGCAGGCACCGTCATCGGGAAAGGGACATGCGGCGAGTCGACGAAGGCCTTGTTTCGGACGTCGAGGGGCCTCTGTCGCTGCTCGCCTTCCTCGACCGCCGGGCCCGACGGCACCACGATCGCATCATTGCTTCCACCCCGCGTCGCCTGCGGCTGCTGCCTCCGCGTATGCTTTCCTTCTCCAGGCTGTCGCTCCTTGTCGGCGGTCCGATCTTCTGCGCTCACCAGTCAGCCTCAGCTCCGTCTTTGTTTCGTAGACCGTAGCTCGCAAAAGTCCATGTTACCTCGTGACTCTTCGACCGCCGTCTTCTTGCTCTTTCGCGGCAATGTAGCTTCGTCTACCGTCGGGAGAGTTAGCCATGTACCGATTGCACGCTGAGAAAACGTCACTTACCGCGATTTTTACCGCGTGCTTCCTTCATTTGCTCACGATAAAATGTCGTGCGTCGCTTCTTGAACGGGGGCTGCGGCGAGACGACGCAGTCTGAGTCGGAATCGGAGCTGATTTCTATCACATCCATCATCGCGAGCGGAGAAAAGTAAAGGGCTGGCTGTGATTATGAGATGCGCGATGGAAGCTTGCTAAGTCAGTGTGCAAACGGCACTGGCTTCTGCCTGAGTTTGCGCTTCTTCCTCACGTGTCAGTGCCATTACAACATTCACTCTGCTCTCACATTTGCACGCAATTAGAGCGCATGTACGGCATTCACTATACCGGTCTTATCTATGGTATCATTACAGATTCATGCCCACTCCCCAATGATATATCAAACTTTTGCTTCTGTTTATATGCATTAACCCTTTCTACATCTGCTCGCGGCGTCGCGGGGCCGCTCTGATAATATCATCAACACGGAGGAGGAGCTGCACATAGTTAGCACGGTGTGTCATAATTCGTCGGCAGCCGTGATAAAACTCACCTCTGCAGCCTCGCTGGCTGACGACACGACAGCTCTCTTCAGCTTGTAGCTCTCAATAACACCCAAATCTCGCATGTCGGCAAGCCCGCCGCCCGGCGTCGTCAGGTCAAGACCATATGTAGACATGCCCTTGTACACTGTATTGCGCAAACGTGCCACCAAATCGCTTGAGTCCAGACCGGCATTGTCGGCCAAAATAGTTGGCAGCTGTGTCAGGGCGGTAGCGAAGCTGTTTACCGCCATTTGGCGCTTGCCCTCAACTCTTGTAGAAGCGCCCTCTACGGCCTTGGCCATCAGCATCTCGGCGCAGCCACCACCAAGAGTGGTGCGAGGTTCCAGGACAGTCTGTGACAAAACGGCCAGGGCATCGTGCAAGCTTCGTTCGGCCTCGTCCAGAAGCTGATCAGTTGCACCGCGGAGAACAACGGTACAAGCTTCACCCGCAGAGACGCCAGAGAACTTGATCAGTGTGTCTTCGCCAATAATAACCTCCTCAATCAGGTCGCATTGCCCCAGCTTGACCTGGTCCGGGTGATCAAAAGTGGAAGCAATCTCGCCACCAGTGACGAGAGCTAGACGCTCGATGCCGTCAAAGTCGGCGTGCTCAATCGACATGATGCCGGCGTCCGTAAAGAGCTGTTCGGGCCAGTTGTAAATAAGCTGCCGGTTGATAAAGCAGTTGATGCCGTGTGCCTTTATCTTGTCCACTTTGGCCTTCATCTTGTCCTTTTCGGCCTTTTCGAGCTCGGCAAGCTTGGAAGTCGAACCGACCTTGACGCGAGCGCCGAAAATCTTCACCTTATCGGTATCCATGGAGGTGTTGGCGACAAGAATTTTGGCCTTTTCCAAGCGCTTGGGCTGGTTGACACCAATCTTCTTGTCCAGGATGAAACCCTCATCCAGATAAGAGTCACTCAGTTTTCCGCCAGCCTTCTTGATGATCTGAATGTGGCTCAGGTCGGAGGACTTCTTCAATCGGAGAACGGCATCGGTAGCGAGCTCGGCAAAGTGCTCGCGATCCTGCGCGAGGACCTTAGAGCTCAGGGTCGTGCGGGCAATGGCGACGAGGTCTTTGCGGAAAGCGTCAGGATTCTTGCTGTGATCGACGGCGGAGGCTTCAAGAGCCTTGAGAGCGGCTTGGCTAGCTATTCTGTATCCTTCGATGATGGTTTGGGGGTGAATCTTCTTATCGACGAGCTTCTCGGCTTCGCGAAGCAACTCGGCGGCGAGGACGGCAACGGATGTTGTGCCGTCACCAACTTCGTCATCTTGCACTTTGGAAATGTTGACCAGGACCTTGGCGGCGGCGTTGTCGAGAGCAATCGACTTGAGAATGGTGGCGCCGTCGTTGGTAACCATAATTTCGCCAGTGGATCTGTCGGTGCATTAGACAGTGTATAGAGAGGGTCTGGTGTTGTCTTGTGCGCCGAGATCGCATTTGTAACTTACGCAGACTGCAAGATCTTGTCCATACCCTTGGGGCCGAGGGTGCTCTTCACCAGGTCGCCAACGGCAATGGCCCCGACAAAGGCGGCGAGACGCGCATTCTCACCCTTTTCCTCGGTGGTTCCCTCCGCAAAGATTTGTGTAGGTGCAAACGACTACAGTAAAGAAGAGGTTAGTTGACCTGAGTCTGGTAGTCTTGGTCACAGGCAGCATCATACCATTGTAGGCTTTGTCACTGATCGAGCCTATCGTGTGCAACAAGTGAAGCGGGAATCAGTACTCTCCGCCCCTCGAAGCTCATCGAAGGCAGCCTTTTTTTCTGGAGCTTCCAGCAGTCTTGCAGGTACAACCCCACTACCTGTCCGCTGCACGTGACTTGCCCCTCGATGGGCAAACTGCCCGGCAAAGGAAGATCGCTTCTCCGCGCACACATTGTGCAAAGTCGAGAACCACCAAATTTGCGCCAGGCCAGGCCATAGCCAAAAAAACAGCATCTCGCCACGCACGACACGGCCGTTCCATTCGCGCCGCACGAGGATCTCCCTGGCACAGTCGACACTCTGCCCCCGCGTGCAGCTCTGGCCTATATATACCCTTTCGCGTCCGCCGTCATATTTGCAGCTTTTCTCTCTGTGAATCTTTACAAAAGCGACAAAAGCGGGGCATTGTCAACAGACCCCTCGCTTGCAACACCACCACGACAACATGGCGCCCTCTTTCGATCATTTGCGCGAGGCCGACCTCGACGACGACGAGTTCAACGAAGATGACATTGACTTTTCCGATCTCCGTGAGCGCTTCGACGTACAGCTCGACAAGGGCTACGATACGTTTGTCGTCATCGATGGTCTTCCCGTCGTCAATGAAGAGCAAAAGCCCAAGCTCGTCAAGTTTCTGCTCAAGAAGCTTAACACTGTTGGAAAGGCCCGTGAGGATTCTATTTACATGCCCATGGGTGACAACGACAAGTCTTTAGGGTTTGTGAATCCCGCGTCTTGTTGACTTGTGTCCCGCTAAATGGTATACAGATTCGCATTCATCGAATACTCAACCGCCAGCGAGGCCGCTGCTGCTGTCCGCTCCCTCGACATGGTCCCTCTCGATAAGAAGCACACCCTGAGAATCAACAAGATTAGCGACATTGAAAGATACGGTGCAGAAGGTCGTATCAAGGAAGAATATGTCGCCCCCGCGATTCCTCCCTTTGAGAAGCGTGAGCATCTCAGGTGGTGGCTAAAGGATCCTGCCGGTCGCGGCCGCGATCAGTTCGTCATGTACCGCGGTGACAACGTTGGCGTTTTCTGGAACAACGAAAAGGACCAGCCTGAGAACATTGTTGAGCGCCAGCACTGGACCGAAACCTTCCTGCAGTGGTCGCCCAAGGGCAGCTACCTCACCTCGATTCACGCCCGTGGAGTCCAGATCTGGGGCGGCAGCTCATGGTCGAAGCAGGGTCGTTTCCCCCACCCTTTTGTCAATCTGGTTGCATACTCGCCCAACGAAAAGTACCTTGTTACTTGGTCTAACCGTCCGATTTCGGTGCCCGAGGATGGCGGCGACGGTACCCTTACTGCTGACGATGAGGGCAAGAATTATGTCATCTGGGACATTGAATCCGAAATGCCCATCCGTTCGTTTGCTAACTTGGAGCCTCCCAAGTCCGAGGATGGCAAGCCCCCGCCCAAGCAGCAGTGGCCTGCCTTCAAGTGGTCGGCCGACGACAAGTACGTTGCTCGTCTGAATCCTGGCCAGTCCATCTCCGTCTACGAGCTTCCCCGCATGAATCTCCTCGACAAGACCACCATCAAGATTGATGCCGTGGTTGACTTTGACTGGGCTCCCGCTACAGTCAAGCGCGACGGCGTTAAGACGTATGAACAGCTGTTTTGCTTCTGGACCCCCGAAATTGGCAGCAATCCCGCCAAGGTCAGCCTGATGAGCATTCCATCCAAGGAGATTGTCCGCAGCCTGAACCTCTTCAATGTCAGTGATGCTAAGCTCCACTGGCAATCAGAGGGAGCCTACCTGTGCGTCAAGGTCGACCGTCACTCCAAGTCAAAGAAGTCTCAGGCTACGACGCTTGAGATTTTCCGCGTCAAGGAGAAAGGCGTTCCAGTTGAGGTTGTAGACACTATCAAGGATACCGTCATCAACTTTGCTTGGGAGCCCAAGGGCGACCGTTTTGCCATCATCACCACAACTGAGCCCGTGGCCGCCACAGCTGTTACGCCCAAGACGGCGGTTTCTTTCTTCTGTCCCGAGAAGGCCAAAGGTCCCGTCGCTGGTAACTTTAAGCACCTGCGCACACTGGACAAAAAGAACAGCAATGCCATCTACTGGTCGCCCAAGGGTCGATTCGTGCTCATTGCCACGATTGGCAATCAGCAGAGCTCGGATCTCGACTTCTTCGATCTCGACTTTGAGGGCGAGAAGCCGGAATCGGATAAGGATCTCACGGCCAACTTGCAGCTGATGAACACTGGCGACCACTACGGTGTGACAGACATTGAGTGGGATCCATCTGGTCGTTTTGTGGCGACCTGGGCCTCTGCCTGGAAGCACTCTGTAGGTCCATCCCTTGCCACATTGGTGTCAATGCATACTAACAATATCTAGATGGAAAATGGCTATCACATTTACGACTTCCGTGGAGAGGTTCTGAGGGAGGAGCCGGTGGAGAAGTTCAAGCAGTTCCAATGGCGGCCGCGGCCGGCGACGCTGCTGAGCAAGGAAGAGCAGAAGCAAGTGCGCAAGAATTTGCGCGAATACAGCCGCGTATTTGAGCAAGAAGACGCCGATCGTGGCGCATCTGCTGACTTGGCTGTGGTGGAGGCGCGACGCCGTATGCTCGAGGAGTGGTACATGTGGCGGGCGGATGTGGAGGAGGAAGTGTACGAGGAAAGAGAAGCGCTGGGGCTACCGCAAGATCCCCATGCTGCGCTGTTGGCGGCAAAGACGAAGGAGGTCGAGGGCACGGGAGGCTCAGTCGAAGAGGAGAAGATCATCGAGGAGATTGTGGAAGAGGTGTTGGAGGAGTCGGAGGAGATTGTGGGCTAGAGCGCAAGCTTGCCGTGCATATACATGGAGTGACTTTTTTGCTGTACGGGTAGAAAAAAGACGGAGCACGGCCAGGCTCGGTAATGACGTTTTTAAGAGGGTTCTTCTTATGATTCAAGCATGGAACAAAGATCAATTGATAAAAAATGCTGGATAAGTGATGTACATGCGTATGGTATGATACAAGAAGTTGACGGGTTCGATTCATGTGGTGGCGGGGGCATAAGTTGTCGAGACCAGGAGCGATGCTGGGTTGATGAGGGGCGTTTCGACCTGAGTAAATAACCAAGGAATGTTATATGCCGCAGACCGGTGATTGTGACTCTGTGAAAAGTGTAGCACGTCTATTACACGTCAACGTTACTCGGCGAGTTGACAGTTGGACAGTTGGGATTTGACAGCTGGTGGCGTTACCTGGCAAGCGCCAGACGAAGCAATCACGTCGGCACAGGCGGGCAAGCTAAAACGCCATGAGTGGGCGAGGTGGGCTGGCATGGAACAGGCTGGAAACAAGATGCTGAGAGTACGGATAAAAATTTAACTAGGTAGTTAGGTGTGTACTCCGTATTGGCATGCCAACTTGGCATTGCCAAGTAAGAAAAGGCCAAGTCTTTGCATAATTCATAGGTGGTCTACTAATCCGTACCTAGTCAACCTACCTAGTCACTCTAGTCTGCAAGGGAGACCCGGAGGGGTGGTGGAGACGAATTTATTTTGTGTGTGTGTGCGAGCTTGCGCGGTTCGCTGTTTGGGGCCTGTTTTGGTTGTATGAGCCAGGCTGTGTTAATGGATGGCCTGTACTTCGTATTGCAGCGGCTGAGGGTAGAGGCCACAAGAATGAAATGAAGAAATTCCGACGATGAAGAAAAAAGATCAAAGTCTGATGAAGGCGAGATAAGAGTCATACATCAATTCGCAATGTGTCAAGTGTCGCTGATGTTATGGCAGTACTATTGGAAGCACGCAAGACAAGGGCTCGCTGGTCGCACCATGGAAAAAGAAAGCACCAAAAAGACGAGAAAAGAACCACCAAAAAGGCTCGCAACAGGGGGGGCTGGGCTGGATCTTGCTCATCAGCCCACAACGCCGCTGTGCCGCCGCAACTGCCCGCCGCCCATCCCACACACACATATCGAGTCAGCGGCCACTATCTGCCTCTCCCGTCTCCGCTTCTCTTTCCATCTCCTGGAAGCTTTCAAAACAGCTACTTATCTCTGCATCTCCGGCCAGCGTTCTACAGCATTTCTTCATCTCTTGACATCTTTGACAGCGTTGCACCCTACCGTCACGGCATCCTCACTCGATACGCACCACTTGCCCGCCGCCCCGACCGTCCCGGGCATGGCTGATGCTCCCATCAGACAGCATCCGCTGGATCCGCCCTGGTTGAACCCTCATCGCTTATGTGCATGTGGCCTGGATGCCCGTCACAGGCTTGCTGAATAGTCCGTCTTGCTCGCCCGCATCTCGACATAATGCTACGGCGCCGTCCTGGCGACGGACGGCGGTCCGCCCAGCAAAATAGGCTGCTACTCGCATTCGCCATCATTCTCATTCCATGGCTCCAGCTTTCCGATGCGCATGAGCAGCCTCAGCCTCCAACCGTCCATTCTGGCTCGCCGCACGCGAACCACGACTTACACAACGACAAGGTATCCGTTGATGAATCCGCCCGCTGGGCTTCTTCGTCCATCGATGCCGTAACCAGTCAGGCGACCAAGGCCTCCGACGCCTCTACCAAGACCCGGTATACCGCCCGGAGCTCCAGCCGACAAAACCAAAAACGTCACATCATCATTCCCGACGATGAGAGCGCCCTTGCAACTTTAGCTCCGGCCAAGCCCGTCCGAGCACCAAGACCCCCCAGCGATCTTCGACCCCGTAGCATTTCAGCCTCAGGGTTGACAGCGCCGCACAATGCGCGGAACCTGGAGGATTGGGAAGTGGAAGACTTTGTTCTTCTGGCGACCGTCGATGGAGATTTGTACGCCACCGACCGTAACACCGGTAAACAACGCTGGCACCTCGAAGTCGACCTACCCATGGTCGAGACCAAACACTACCGTCTCAACAACTCCGTCCTCGACGACGATTACAACCCCGTCGATCACTATCTCTGGGTCGTCGAGCCCAACTCTAATGGCGGCATCTTTATCTGGCGACCCGACCCCGGCGCCGGACTTGTCAAAACCGGCTTTACCATGAAAAGCCTGGTCGAGCAACTCTCCCCGTACGAGGATGTCGAGGGCCAAATTGTCTACACCGGTGACAAGAAGACCACCATGGTCACGCTTGACGCCGCCACCGGCCGAGTTATCAAGTGGTTTGGTTCCAGTGGCTCCCACGTCAACACCGACGACTTTTGTCGCCAAGCTAACACCTTTGACGATCGCAACAATGAAGAATGCCTCACCACCGGGACCATTACCTTGGGCAGGACCGAGTATACTGTTGGCATTCAGGGTTCTGATGGCCGCCCCATCGCTACCTTGAAATACTCCGAATGGGGCCCAAATACCTTTGACAGCGACCTCTATCTCCAGTATCACAATTCTCTGGACAATCGATACATCACAAGCCAGCACAATGGCAAGGTCTACGCATTTGACCAGTCGAACAAGGAAAAGACCACTCCTCTCTTCTCCAACAAGTTTGCCGCTCCTGTCGCCAGCGTATTTGATGTTTGCCGTCCCTGGGATGCTGTTAGCGGCAGCAACCCGCAGCTTGTCGTTCTTCCTCAGCCGCCTATGCCTGCTCGTGACAAGAATGAGAAGCAGATGCGTTTGAACAGCATATTTGTCAATCAGACCGAGGCGGGCAGCTGGTATGCCATGTCTGGACAAGCATACCCTCTGATCATCAGCGCGCCACTGGCTCAGATGGCAAGCCCGGATTGGTGGGGCATTTCGCCATCGTCGGACACCATCAGCCAATCTCGCATCAGCAAGGCCCTTGTGGGTACCCATTTCTTGGAGTCGATCCGGGGAGATAACAATCAATTCCGGAGCTTGCCCGATAGGTCGGCTGAAGATGTCGTTGACCAGCTTGACATCAATACTGCATCGCGAAATGACGCGGCAGCCATTACTGAGGAGCCCACAATTATCACCAAAGTCAAATCGCTTCCCCAAAGCCTCGCCAATAGTATACATGACTTGGTGAGGAATCCATTGGTTATTGTTATTATGTTTATCTTTCTCGGCTTTCAGCACAAGAGATTTCGTCGCTCTTACCACAGGCTCCGGTCCAGAGGTATTCACAAGGGACTAGTTGAGGAGGTTCAAACTCTCTTGTTCGCAGAAACTCTCCCAGAGGATAAGGAAGACTACAATACTGGAGAAGTGAAGCGCACTCTCAAGAAAGCCGAGGCTGTCGAGATACACAAGGAAAAAGATGTGAATCCAGCCGATGAAGAGGATCAAGAAGCTAAGACTTCTGAGTCTGCTAAACTCGAGAGCAATGGCGTTGGCATGCCTGACGGACAAAAGACGCCCCAGTCAGGAGGTAACAAGGAGCATAAAGCCCTTGACGATGAGACGAATGAGGATGGCCTCGAAACCCCTGCCAAGGGCAAGAAAAAGGCCCATCGCGGCCGACGTGGTGGAGTGAAACACCGCCCCAAAAAGCAGCGCGAGAACTCGCAGTCTCGCGATGATGACCTCGCTGCCTCGACTGTCGAAGAAGCTATCAAGAATGCCAAGCGTCTTGGAGACACACCCAGCCTTCAACCTGACGTCATGACTGTACACAATGACATGAATGCCGTTACTAACCCAATCATGCGCATGGGCAACATCGAAGTTAACACCGAAGTTCAACTGGGCACAGGAAGCAACGGCACACTCGTTTTTGCTGGGCGCTTCGATGGTCGCGACGTTGCAGTGAAGCGCATGTTGATCCAGTTTTACGATATTGCTTCGCAGGAAACCAGACTGCTGCGTGAAAGTGATGACCACCCCAACGTCATCCGATACTATTCGCAGCAGATGCAAGACGGCTTCTTGTATATCGCGTTGGAACGATGCGCAGCATCTCTAGCAGATGTGGTCGAGAGGCCGCATGCCTATCGAGAGCTGGCCAATGCAGGCAGGATGGACCTTCCTGGTGTTTTGTATCAAATCACCAATGGTATCAGCCATCTGCACAATCTTCGCATTGTTCATCGCGATTTAAAGCCTCAGAACATCCTCGTCAATATGGGCAAGGGCGGCAAGGCCAGATTGTTGGTTTCTGACTTTGGTCTGTGCAAAAAGCTTGAGGGGGGTCAGTCATCTTTTGGGGCGACGACTGGCCGCGCCGCTGGAACGTCTGGTTGGCGGGCACCAGAGTTGCTACTGGATGACGATGCACGCGAGATTTCCATGGTCGATGCTAGTACGCATAGCGGCTCTGGCTCGGTTCTTGTGAATGATGGTCTCATGCCTGGCAGCCGTCGCGCGACGCGCGCTATCGATATATTCTCACTCGGTCTTGTATTTTTTTATGTCTTGACTAATGGTTCTCATCCGTTCGACTGTGGGGATCGGTACATGAGAGAGGTCAACATTCGAAAGGGCGAATACAAACTGCATCTGCTCGATTCCCTAGGTGATTTTGCTTCCGAGGCCAAGGACTTGGTTGCTTCCATGTTGGAAGCCGATCCCAAGAGGCGCCCTCCCGCGCGCGAGGTCATGGCACATCCCTTCTTCTGGTCCGCTAAGAAACGACTGGCGTTTCTATGTGATGTGTCGGACCACTTTGAAAAGGAGACTCGAGACCCCCCTTCGCCCGCCCTCCTGGAGCTGGAGCGTCACGCCCCCGAGGTGACTCGAGGCGACTTTCTCAAGGCCTTGCCGCGAGAGTTTGTCGACTCGCTTGGCAAGCAGCGCAAGTACACGGGCTCTCGCCTGCTGGATCTGCTGCGCGCCCTGCGCAACAAGCGCAACCATTATGAGGACATGTCGGAGAGTCTCCAGCGCTTTGTCGGGCCTTTGCCGGAAGGCTACTTGAGTTTTTGGACTACGAGGTTTCCTTCCTTGCTGCTGTCGTGTTGGAATGTCGTGTACAATGTGCGGTGGGAGGAGACGGACCGCTTCAGGGATTACTATCAGCCTGCGGGGCTGTAGGGTAGCGGATACATTGTGGTGTTGCTTGTATGTGTGTGTATGGTATGCTGTATTATCTGTGGCATCTAAGACTGTGAAGAATAAAAGCGATGTTTACTCTCTCTTGTGCCTTTGACTTTCTTCGTCGTGTGCAAAATGGTGTGCCAAGGCTGCTGGATATTGTTGAGATTGTGTGATTGTGTAATTGGTATTAACCCGCTGCTGGATACGCAAGAATATGTACATTACCTTTAGAATGGTCTCCTTATTGGGGTAGCTAAAGTATCTGAAGAGAGCCGAGAAGGAATATTGGGTTTTACTTGTAGCTGGTACAAAGACTCTTTAAAAGTTAAAGGGTACTGACCGCGTAAGACGATGCGTCGTGTACAACCTCCGATGCCTTGGCGACCGGATCACCCCACTGGCCAGCACCATTGGACCCTTGGCGTGCACAACTCCGAGCACACAACCAAGATTGCAGCAGGTCTGCTGTGAGTTGTTCATTATGCAGACAGAACGCGGCCTGGCAGGCAGGCAGGCAGGCGACATGTAGCTGTTGCGACTAGACGAGAGCAAGCCGCTCAAGACAGAAGAGACAGCCAGCGAAGACCGCGCCAAGGCAGGAAATTTTCATTGTGATTGGGAAAAGTAAACGTATATGGCGTTAAAACGTCGAGGCTAGAGGGGACAAAAAAAAAGAAGGCTTGATGGATGCCTCATGAAAACAAAAGGCCAAATGACTACTTGCTCAAGCAAGAGCTCTGGTAAATGGGAAATAGACGAACATGGGGTGTATCTAATAATGAGGTGAATCTGATATGACAACTTTCATTTGTTGAAGTGTCGCCCGACTATCCTTGTTCTCTCATTTGTGAGGCGAGCTGACACCATCTTACTTGGTTGCTTGTCGCTTCGTTGTTGCTCCTGCAAATGGCGAGGCTTTGTTACAAAAAATGCCTTGAGTCGTCACGCGGGCATCGTCTGATGTCAAAGAAGAGGCTATTTATGTCGCCTACGCCGCTCGTGATGAGGTGGCTGTGAGTGCGCCGTGCTGGCAGCTGCTGCTTCAATACCACCGCTTCATCTATGATATACTGTTTACTACTACCTGTTCTACCAATCAAGGAATCTCAGTAAATCCAAACCGTCTGAATAAGTCGAAAAGGCACATTTATTTCTTGTCGGGCATGCCGTGTTGCCACTTCTCATCCCAGTTACCATGGCGCAAAGGCGTGCAAACCGGCTGAACAGCCGCCTTGGTGTTTTTCCCTGCTGCGTGACTGGTGTGAAGTGAGTAGAAAAAGCAAGCGAGCACAAGACAAAAAGCGAGAAGTCGCTACTGTGTAGTTAGGAGCGGGTACTGATTGGGGTGATGATGAAGAGAAGAGAATAGCTACCTAGTAATGTCCCTGCAGCGGAAGCGTGTGAATCTGGGGGTGGAGTTGATATTATTGTAGCTTCTGGACAGGGGTAGAAGTAGGCACGGTGCCGTGGTGTCGAGGTGACATGTTGAGGCTCCTGTAACTGACCAGAATAAACAAAGGTCGAAAATGGTGATTCTGCGTTAAAAAGAGAGAAGAGACCATTAATCAGAGTAGACGGAGTTTGGAGTCAAGAGGTGATGGTTGTTCTTTCGGATCTTCATCCGAGTATATGGCTCCACTTGCCGAGTTGGGCAATTTGACAATGCGGGACGGCGGGGGACGACGGGGGACGACGGCCAGCTAATTTGCAGAGAGGGATAGAGCAATCGCTTGAAAAGGGAACGATGAAGCGAGCATGCTGCGCGGTTGATGATGTGAGGCATAGCCCGATTGAATGCTGTGGTGGCGTGAGCCGGCTTTACACGAGGATGCGGGCGTGCATCTCCGTGGTGTAGGCTCCGGTGGTGTAGGCTCCGGTGGTGTAGGCTCCGGTGGTGCGAGCATCAAGCGGCCAATACGAAGTAACTGCATCGAAGAGAGGGAAAGAGATTACGAGGCTATATCGACGCATCAAGAAAGCTCCCTCCCGCCGCGGTGGTTAGCTACTGCGTGGGCAAGGCGGCTCTCAACATGCTCAAGGTGTAGCTGCAGCTGGAGAATGACAGCAGAGAGGAAGAGGAAGAGATTACCATTGACATGACGCGATGATATTCGTTTTTGTATTCCGGTTAATCATCTCGTTCTTTTCCCATGCCCCGGCCCCCACTTTCACCTGTTTTCGGGCCCCTTTTGTTCGAGTCGCTGCGGATGCCTGTAGCTAACTAGAGAGCGTGACGGAATTTCCTATGGGCAAGCAAGTGCAAAGATGTTGTCATAATCAGATGGGTGAAAACTGATTGAAGCGGACCAATCACAAGCGCAAGCAAGGCTAGAAAAAGGGCATGACAAGTAAAAAGTCACGCACTCTCTTATTGTGACCAGCAACGTCGTCTCACACAAGGCCTTGCACGTGAGTCGGACAGCAGATCGGCAACACAGGCCGAGATGGAGATTGCGAGCACATGTGTGATGGTAGCAGGCATCAGACGGACCGGGGCGCTAGTCCGGGGGCAACAGACATGTGGGATTTCCCATGGCGGATGCGAATGCTGTGAAACTTGACTTGATAAGGGCATCGTGACGGCGGCTTTTGGGAAGAATGAATGAATAATGGAGTCAATGAAGGGCAAAATGGGTTGTGCTGCAGTCTGCAGCCTACAGACGGCCAGTGGGGCCGAGAAGAGACGCTAGCAAGGGGAGGCTCGGCTAGCGGGGCTCCACCCGAGTTTAGAAGGGGAAAAAAAAAAGTCGATGGCTTTTTTTCTTTTTTTCGTGGTTGTCTGCCATTTTTTCTTGGCTCAACAAATGTCCCAACAGAAAATTTGCGGGCGGCAGGCGTGGGGCCAGAGTTGACTGGGGGTGGTCTGCAAGTGTGGAGGAAACGGGATGCAGTGACCATCCGCCCGCCTTTTCATAATGAGTACGGATAAAAAAAAGAATTCAAGAAAAAAAATGCCAATCTGCCAATGGAAATGGTCCTATTTCATGTCAAGTCCCATTTCTTGTCGCTGACGTGTCTGCAAGCTGAACGAGCTGGAAATTGCCTCATCGGTAGCCATGATGTGCGGTGCAGTCTGTAGCCTTAGAATACCTTGAAGAAATGCATAGAGCAATTGAATATTGCATAAATATCAGGTAGGCGCGCATTTCAGCTCACTTACAACCTAAAATGCAAAGAAAAAAGGTGTTCCTGTGGCTGGCCTAGCGCACACCCTCACAGGCTTCTTGGTGCATGCAGATGGCGTTTGATAAACCTCGGCCGCCCGCGACTACACGTGCATGCACAAGATGTGCATTTGGGGGCGTCTTTGGGGAGGGCTGATGAGCAGTTGAGTTTAACAAAGGCTTTTGGACAGATTGCCATGAAGAAGACTGGCAGCACGGACGTCTAACGAGCACTCTCAATGCTTGGCGTCACCCTCTCAGAGTCTCAGTGAGCCAGAGGTCTGTTGCGCATCAACTCGAGGGTTCTTGATACCAGACCTTGTCCTGGCCAAAACAATTAATTCGCCATGTGTCGCTGGCGGCTCGGCTTCACATGCAGTGGCGTGGCTCCTTCTTCGCTTCCAACAGAAGAGGTGGGGAGGGGAGGGTTTCGACTAGTTAGCCGTACTGAGTCTACGGATTACTGACACGATCGCTAGCGCTAGTGATGAGGCAAATCTGGTCGGCGGGCCCGTTGGTGAGCATGCATCAGCAACTGCGCTGCGTGCCCTGAAAGTCGAAAGTACAGCACCAAGCAGAAGTAACAAGGTTGCAAGAAAAGTCCCTGCAGGTGGTGAGGCCAAGCTTCTTTGCGGAGTAATAATAGAGAATATGTTGATATTATGACCTGCATGCTAGAGTCTAGACAACAAACAGCTTGCTGAGGGCTTGGTGGCTGTGGCCGCCTCGCTATTACCGCCAAAGAGCTTCAAGCGGTGTATCAGCATCACACCATCAACACCGCCCGGCATCCGATAACAATCATGGATCAGCTGTCTGGAGCTGTCATGAGCTGCTGTCAACATCATCAGAGACGGCTGCAAGCTATGCCGAGCTGCAGTGGCGTGTGGCCATACGAGCGGGCCAACTCGTCATCTCCATTGCCTATCCATACTTCATACATTGTGATAGTATGTTTCTACCACGAATACTGGCAAGGCAGCCCTCCAAAAAGCAACTACAACCATACTTGGTTAAATTCCATGTAAATCCTATTGCGGCCAATTGCTCCGACTTTTCCCTACCGCCAACCTCTGCAAACTTCAGCTAGCTCCCGGCATCTCTCCACACGCTTGACGCTGCGCTGCAACAGCGAGCGGCCTGCATGTCCCCTGACTCCCACTCGGTCCACTTCGGTCACTCCTTGGATCAAAAAATTACTCTGCTGACCATTGCTTGCCCTTAGAGGAGCTCAGCAGTTATTGTAAAGGCTTTTCCCTCTTTGTTGCTGCTGTTTGATATCGTGGTGGTGAATTCAGCAAAGGCCAAAACAGACAAAAAAAGCAGGGAAAAAAAAAAAACGTACCTTTAGGCATACACTGCTCGTACCTTTTTTCTGCCCTCCTTTTAGATTCCCCACGGACCCTGTTAAATACTGGACCCCAACAAACTTGTAGCTCAGGTACACTTTTTTTCCCCCCCATCTCTGATCAGTCTGCACACAACTGACATCCATAGGACGGTTGGACGGGTAAGCAGGTGATTCTGTTTACTTGGCAAGTAAAACAACGAGAAAAAGGGTACTTTGTAAAAAGATTCCCCACACGAATGGTTCAATCCAAGGTCAAAGGGTCTTAAGCTACACCCCATCCGCCTCCTTCTACCCAAAAGCTCGGATAATCCCCTTCCCTGCCAGATCGTCCTCTCTTACACGCCCCCACCCCCTTCCTGTCTCCCTCGCTCATATACCTTTATCTCTCCTCCGCCTCCTCACCTCTACACCTCCCTCTTCTCTGTGATTCCCCGGAGCCTCACCCTCTCGACATCAATCCCCTTCCGCCCCTCCTTCAACAACACAACCATCACCATGGCTTCTTCTACCGCCATGGCCAGCGGCCCCCGACCCGTCCACCGCCGCAACATTGTCGCAGAGTCGTCCGAGTCCTCAGCCGCCGTCTCGCCCGCTGACTCGCCTCGCCCATCCCCATCGTCCACCTCGCTCTCTTCCCTCTCCGAGATGGAGATGGAGGCCAAGCCCACATCCTACGGCAAGCTCATCGACACCTACGGCAACGAGTTCACCCCGCCCGACTACACCATCAAGGACATTCGCGACGCCATTCCCAAGCACTGCTTCGAGCGTTCCGCCCTCAAGGGCTACCTTTATATCCTCCGCGACATGATTTACCTCTCCACCACCTTTGCCGTCTTTTACAACTTTGTCACCCCCGAATACATTCCCAATGTCTACGCCCGTGGTGCCCTTTGGGGAGTCTACACCATTCTCCAAGGTCTCTTTGGCACCGGCCTCTGGGTCATTGCCCACGAGTGCGGCCACGGTGCCTTTTCCGACTCGCGCCTCGTTAACGATGTCACCGGCTGGGTCTTGCACTCGTCCCTGCTAGTCCCCTACTTCTCCTGGCAAATCTCCCACAGCAAGCATCACAAGGCTACCGGCAACTTGGAGCGCGACATGGTCTTTGTCCCCCGCACCCGCGAGGAGCAGGCCACCCGACTCGGCAAGATGGCCCATGAGCTGTCCGAACTCGCCGAGGATGCTCCCGCTTTTACTCTCGTCATGCTCATTGCCCAGCAGCTCATTGGCTGGCCCAACTACCTCCTCACCAACGTCACCGGCCACAACTACCACGAGAAGCAGCGTGAGGGCCGCGGCAAGGGCAAGCACAACGGCGCTGGTGGCGGCGTCAGCCACTTTGACCCTCGCAGCCCTCTCTACGAGGCCAAGGACGCCAAGCTCATTGTCCTTTCCGACATTGGTCTGATTCTAGCCGGCTCTGCTCTCTACTACCTCGGCAACAAGTTTGGCTGGTACAATCTTGCCGTCTGGTACTTTATCCCCTACCTCTGGGTCAACCACTGGCTCGGTAAGTTTCTCGACACCAAGTTACGCGCTCGAGATTGAATCCCAGCTAATTAGCAATAGTCGCCATCACCTTTCTCCAGCACACCGACCCTACTCTCCCCCACTATCACTCCGAAGAGTGGAACTTTGTCCGTGGTGCTGCTGCTACCATTGATCGCGAGTGTGGCTTCATCGGCCGTCACCTTCTTCATGGCATCGTCGAGACGCACGTCCTCCACCACTACGTCTCGTCCATTCCCTTTTACAACGCCGACGAGGCTTCGGACGCCATCCGTCCTGTTATGGGCAAGCACTACCGCTCCGACACCGAGGGCGGTTTCTTTGGCTTCCTCGCCGCCATGTACAAGAGCGCCCGCATGTGCCAGTGGGTTGAGCCCTCGGCTGAGGCCACTGGCCAGGGCAAGCATATTCTCTTTTTCCGCAACAGGAACGGTCTCGGCACCAAGCCTGCCAAGATTCCTGCTCCCAACTAAAACACAATTGAACGCCTGTTTGAATGAGTGCGCTTTCGGAGTTGATTGGTTTCCCCCTCTTTCATGTTTGATCATCATATATAGCCCAGCCTCGAAAATGGGGACTTGTGCACAATTTTGCAGCGACCTTTTGCGGTCCAAGGACAAGTTTCTCGACCTTTATAGAATAGACTCGCTAAAAGATAGAATGCCATCTTTGACTATATTTGTTTGTTGAACCTTAATCTTGCAAATCGACTTGAAATCTCTAGGCGAAACTGTTAATGGCCCCGCCAGCTTCACAGACTGCGCACTGCTTGCCGAGTGTAAAGACAACGCCAACCAGAATGCCGCAGATAGACCAAATTGTGGATCTGATTTGCCATTTTGCATTCAAAAAGACCTTTTCCCAAACGCGAATTTCTAAATGCGGCTATGTACAATGGTCTGCAACGGCTCGTGGTGGGCTGAGCATCCCCAAGGGCACAAGTAGGTACACGGAATCGAAAGAACGCTAAATAGACCTCAAAAGTGACAACTACTTAGTCGTGGAAATCAACCTTGACATGGCCTCCATTCTCGTAGCCGCCACAGCCACCGCTGTGATTGCCCCTAGACCCATCGTTAGCTTCGACCCCGGGGAGGCCGTTTAAGGAGCACCTTACAGATTGTCAAAGCCAGAGTGAGGGTTACCTGGCTGCGAGCCCGCCTCGCAGTTCTCCAGATACCACTCGCCAGAGAGGCCGCAGCGGTTGCCGTGTCTGCACTTGAAGACGCACCGGTCCATGTTGGCGCGACAGCCGCCCCCCGTCTCAATCTCCATGCGGTTACCGTCCATTCTAGGCTCGCGGGAGACGTCGACAGTCGCGTGCGGGCCCGTCGACCACTCGCCCCAGGTATTAAAGACCTGGCCGTCCCTGAGGACGGTGACGTGGCGGTGCAGCGCGGCAAAGGCGCCCGAGATGCCCGGCGCCATGGAGACGGTGACGCTGTCGCCGTGGTTTGGCAGCGACCAGGTGACGTACGGCTGGCGCACGTTGACGAAGCTCGACACGTAGTCCGGGGTGTGCAGCCAGACGACGACGGTCATGCACTCGTCGACCTCGGCGCGGTTGGTAAAGGTAAAGGTTGTGTGGCCGTCGTCGCCGACCCAGATGACGCCGTTGTCGCCGTCGCTGTTCTTGCCCATGGAGCCGAAGCCAACGTCGGACATGTGCTGGCAGTCTTGGTGGGCTAGACCCCAGACGGGGTTGCTGCAGTCAAAGCTGCGCTTGCTAATGGCGGAGACGCCGTTTTCGCTGCATTTTTTTCTTGTGTGTCAGAACGGGACAAAGGTCGTGAGTTGTCATGTTGAGAGAAGTCTTGCCTTTCAAAGGGAACAGAGGGAATGGCTGCGCCGGCGCTGAGAAGAGCTGCAACAGCAGCAATGGTGGAAGTCTTGAACAACATGGTTTCGTAACGAGTGACGGAGAAAGGGTATTGAGAAACGGTTGCCGGGGCTGTTGCCAAAAAAGAGAGTGATGAAGTTAAAAAGTGTGGTTGCTTTCAAGAGGGAACGTTTGAAGGAAAGGTCTCGGCCTTTTTATAGAAACCAACCCGAGTTACAGATCTTGAGCGATGATCAAGACAGCTCTAGACAAAACGGCAACCGACGTATTACCAGCGAGGACGACATTTTGCCAGCATTCGCGCTCACGCGAGCTCGACGCCACTGCTGACGATGATTAAGTTGAGTTGGTGTTCTTGTCCCTGATGGCGCGACGGCGCGACGCGGGTACATTCGTACCTGCGCAAGCTCACCCTCGAAAAAGAATTCTAGACCGTTGGCAGCCTATAACTGTTTGGGGGGAGCATCACTCTAGACCCGGGGGCTTCGCTAGTCAGCTCCTCGTGGCGCTGACGGCGTGAAGCCTTAATTGTTCTTTGCAGGATCGGTGACGGTGAAAGATAACCTGCAGTGCAATGTGTTCGTGGTACGGCAATCCACCAACGTTCTTTCTCTTGTCTAATTATATCCTCGTTTTTTGTCGTGTCTGACGTAAACCTTGGATCGCGGGTCAAGCCTCGGAAAAATTAAACATGGTTGTTAGTCCAACAGTTTAGCGTCGTCCTGGCGAAAGTGGTGATTCAATACCGTCTTTCTAGATTGCGCCAAGGTTATATCTCGCATTATCATATGTGACAAACGGAAATTAAGTTTTTTCAGCCATTTATTTCTTGCCAAGCTTGACCACAATCACCTATATTTAGCCACGACGTAGTATTTCGATGCCCCCCCCCTCGACTCTGGCTGATTGCCATCCGACAAGCTTTGATCAGCCACGATTTGTACCTGCATTGCAGGTGTATGTAAGCCAGACTGATCCTAAAGCCTAGTTACGAAAGAAGAAGTGATTTCGGGGTTGATCCCTGATTGGTGTCTAGGTCACTTTTTACCATTTTGATCCTACTTTGTGCAAGCAGCCATGGTCTGACTTGCATTATTATAATGAACGATGTGGCACATCACCGCTCTTGTCAGAGTCGACTTTCAGAAGATTGGAAACATTTTGATAAACAAAACTTGGCTGTAATTTTGATGACAATCTAAATCGTGATAGGACACTATTGATAAGAAACCTGGACCATAAGAAACTGAATGTGCCTCTATCCCATGCGCAGCAACTCCTGCTCGCAGCCTTTTTCACCATATGATCCCTCTGATCCCGCTTCATTGTACATGAATTCACCCGATGACTGCAGCCTGCTGCGGCTTTGTCAGCTCGGACGAAGAGGCCGCGGCCGGTGCGCTCTGGGCCTCGCAGAGCTGAAGCCAGGTCGTCTGCTGCTCGGCCTCAGCCTTTGCACAGGTCCGCGGAGTCGACAGCATCTTGATGAGCCCTTCCAGACCTCCGCGCAGGCTGTTTGCCGCGAAGCCCTTGGCGCGCATGACGCTAGCGGCGACGCGCGCGCTGTCGCCGTCGTAGCAGACGACGAGCGTGTCCTTGCTCGCGAGTTCGCTGATTACATTCGCGGGATCAGCAAACGCCCGGTCCAACTCGGTCCAGAGACGGCTCAGGTTCGAAGGGTCGGAGAAGGGGCTGGCGATGCCCGGCAGCGCCAGCGGGAGATTGACCGAGTTGGGGAGCCGGCCCTGGATGAAGTCTTTGGGCTGGCGCAGATCGAGGATGGCGGTGGAGGCGGTGTCGCGCGGGCCCAGCGCGGCGCTGAGCTTGGGAACCTCGCATGTGCACGTCTCCTGGGCGCGGCGCACGAGTTCGCTCATCTGGTCCTCGTTGACGTGGAAGTAGGTTTGCAGGGCCTTGGATGCCTCCCACTCCCACTTCTCGTCATATCGGTACAGATCGACCTTGAGAAGCTCCTGTTGGGGTGATGCTGTTAGGCGAGACGACTTTTGTGTGCGAGGAACAAATGGGCAAGGGAAAGGCGCGGGTTGGGTGCACTCACTTCGTTATTTATCGATGGGAAGCATGAAGCGTCAAGCTTATCAAAGTACTCATCGACGTACTGGTAGGGCAAGTCGCAGCAGAGAAAGACACAGTTGATGAGACCGTCGGGGCCAGCGAGCTTGCTCAGGTTACCATCAGCCTTTTGCTTGTCAATGTGCTGGTAGAGGCCCTTCAGGTTGAAGCCAGACGACGGACCGCAGACGAGACCGTTGCGGGTTAGCTCCAGAGACAGACGATAGGACTCGTAAGAGCCAACTTCCTCAACGTGGTCGACAGAAGACTTCCAGGGAAAGGTGACGGGGCCGAGAAGCGCATATGATCTGGGTCCTGGAACTCTGTCGCCTGCAGCAGTACAAACACTTACATAACATTAGCAAGCGCAAATTTTTTAAAGGTTGGAAAAGGATCAGCTTACCCGAGTCTGTAGACGCTTGGCTTTGCATCCTTGAAGAATGTTCCCAGTCCTGTCATGGTTCCTATTCCAAGGTTAGCACAACAACAGCGGCGTGTAAGTGGCTTCGTATGGGCTAGCGTACCAGATGTGCCCATGCCTGCACAAATGAGATTGATCTCGGGCAGTTGTCTCAGGATTTGCGGCCCGGTCCAGCGAACGTGCGATTTCCAGTTCTGAATCATTAGCTTACACAATCAACCTTGGTGGAAATTACCGACTCACGTTTTCGTTCTCGTACTGGTTCGGGTTCAGGGCTTCACTAGTCTCACTGCCCAGACGCTGGGCAGCACGGATACCACCGCGCTCATCAAGCGGCTCGGGCTGGGAAGGGCCACCAAAGAGAGTTCTTGGTCCGTGTCAGTATATCATTGTATCATTTCATCTCTTTGCAGACACTTACATGTTGATGCCAAAGAGCTGCATGAGACGAATTTTGGCGACGCTCGTCTTGTTGCTCAAAAACGCTCTGATGTCATCGAGGCCGTAGAGGGCACGGCCGACCAAAGACATGGAAAGTACTGTCGATCCGGAGCTGTACTCGACAACGGTCTTTGTCACATTGGGCTCGATGCTCTTTTCGAGAAGATTCAATGCTGCTGTTGTAAGTATACCTCGATGCGAAGCGAGTCAAGAGTCACGTACCTGGCATGCACTTGACATTGTTAGCGGGATGCATAGACATCATCTTGGCAAAAATGCGGACGCCATCGCCGTAGTAGGGATTCAGTGAGGCTGGCACCTCGACGAGGGGGAGAGGGGGGGCAGTGTCCGGGTCAAAGTAGTCTTTGATGGACTCTGGTCCCTTGTAAACGTTGAGCGTGTTTGTCTCCTTCATCGTGATCTTTGCTTCCTTGGTCAACACAGTAAGAACTTTTACTCTACAACTAGTTGCATTCCGATGCAAGTTTGAACCAAAGCGCAGAAACCTAGTTTTTATAGCTCAACGGCGGCTTGGCTTGTCCAAGTTTGTTTCACTCAGCTTTATATATATATAACAGCCTTACCCGAGCCGTAGACGGGTGTGCGCGCTACCAGCTCCCGGCACTTGTTCGCAGTCAATCAATTATGGAATCTATATGCGGCCCCAAAGGCTAGCTACCCTTTTTCCGTGTCTGCGTGCGAAGCACAGCTGAGCCCCTATGCCGGAAGAGGCATTTCGGGTGATGTTGCTCTCGTGGCGCGCTTTTCCAGCGAGTGGAGGGCGTGGCAAACATCTTTTCTTAATAACCCCCCATGGACGACAACTTCTTCCTGGTCCTACCCCCAAGAGGGCCAAAGGGCCCGGTGTGTGGGACGAAGCCCGCACTCATCAACCTCACAAGGTTGGCGGGCTGAAGCAGATCAATGGACGAGACACAGGTCCGTGTTGGCGGCTGGCATGATTCCGTGACTAATACGTGTAACCATCCAGGTTGCAGAGGTTTTTTTCTGATTGCTGGCAGTGGCACTGGTTTTCCCTTTTGTGATGCGAGAGGCGAACCTGACTGACCCCTTGTCGTTCAAGCGTCTTGACCTTGATGGGCCAGTCGCAAAGGAGAAGACCCGCCAACAAAAGTTGACGAGCTCTCGAATGCCGAAGGGATCGGCGCGCCAGAGGTTTTAGCTGCAGGGGGGATCTTCTATGGTTAAAAAAACCAACATTGCTGTCGACCGCGCCATTTACTAGTTATTGATCAGCTATGGACTCAATCCTGCTCAAATGGGTGCGGCGATCGGCGCTTGCGCAAAGGGCCTCTTGGATTCCGTACCTTGGGGTCGGCAGGGGCTGCCAAACGAGATGATCAGTTATCAGTTTTTTACTCTACAATTTGGCAAACAGGTCAGCGGGTTAGACAGATTGATGAAACAAGTGAACAAGAAAACAGTTACATTGGCTAATGCGAGGGCTTACACGTTATTCTTGGCACACTTGGCTGCAAGCATAACACGATGCTTAAATAATAGACTTTTTCTGCGGTGGTCCTTTGCACGGATCGTCGTATATGGCTTTGCATTTCCACATTAATGGCCATTCATTACACAGGCCAGTTCTGGCGTTATAATCCCGTCGTCGCTATTGCCAGGTTAACAAACCGCAGCGGTTGTCACATCCACCTTGCCCTGCCCTGCCGGCTGGTTATAAGGGGACTGTGGTGTACAATTAGTCTAGATTTGATGTCTCACACCGGACCCACGAGCCCGGTTTCGCCTCTCTTGCTTTCCCTTTTTCTTTGTTTCTTATCTGATGCAGGGCTCGCACTAATAAAAAAGGACTACAAAACCCACGCACAAACATGTTGTTGCCGCCTCGACTTTGCTCCCGTTGACACATCGGACCACGAGGGGGCAAAAAAAAAAAAAACAAGTCTTCAAGATCAGGCGGCAACTAGTTTACGCAACTGGTACAGAAAAATGGCTGGAGACGGAGACACGGCTGTCGTGTCCACGAGACCGACGGCGGGAGATGGTAGCACGCACTCTGCGAGTGATTCAGAGGTCGCCGGGACAAAGTTCAACGAGCAGACAAATTATGTCCCGAAGCGTACAATCATTACGGTACGGCTATGGAGGCTTGATGCTTTTGTTGTGTTGCAGTGAGGCGGATTGCTGACCGGGAAACAGATCTTTCTGGCTTGTGCCAGTGTGGACTTGGTCGCGTTGATGGACCAGACCACACTCGCGGCCAGTTTGTACATAATCGGCGCGTCGTTTGGATCTACAAAGGAGGTTTCCTGGATTGCGAGCGGCTACTTTATGTGAGAGTGCTCCGTGTGTGATTCCGTGGGAGCCAGCATGGCTAACCAACCCATCGACAGCACTTCCACGGTTGGACAGTTGATCTACGGTCGTCTCTCGGATATCTGGTCGAGAAAAGTAGTGTTGCTCACCGGTCTTGCAATCTTCTTTTTTGGTTCCCTGGCCTCGTCGCTGGCGCAGTCAGTTCTCCAGCTTACCGTCTTTCGCGCCTTCACCGGCATTGGTGGAGGCGGTCTCATGACTGTCGCGCAGCTGATTGTCAGCGATGTCGTACCGTTGAGGGAGCGCGGAAAGTATCAGGGCATCCTGGTGAGAGCTTTCTTGTCATCATTCGAAATTCACGGGAAGCAGCATGTCTAACGCATGTTCACAGGGTGCTGTTGTTGCGCTTGCAAATGGTATCGGCCCCGTGATAGGAGGCGCGCTGTCCTCCAAGTCAAAGGAGTCCTGGCGCTGGATTTTCCGTCTGAATCTTCCACTGACTCTACTCACAACGTGCTGTGTCGTGTTTATCATGCCACTGAAAAAGGTAGAGGGAGACTGGAGAATGTACGTGTCCTGCATCTGGGTCGCGGCCGTGACTGGGCGCTAACCTTTGCCTAGGAAACTAAAGGCGGTCGACTTCACAGGCATCATACTGTCCTTTGCAGGTATGATTGCAGTAATTCTCGGTCTGACTTGGGGCGGAAGCGAATACCCTTGGAATTCGGCACCCGTCATTGCCTCTCTCGCAGCCGGTGGAGTAATCTGCGTCGCCTTTGTTCTCTGGCAATGGAAGGGACCCGAATACCCTCTTGTACCACGTCAGTAAATTTCTGTTTTTTTTTCTTTTTCGAATCCATGGGTGGAGCATACTAATCGTCTCATCAGTGCATATATTCAAGTCCAAGATTGTGAATGGTGCTTGCCTGACCATGATGATCAATGGATGGAACTTTGTCATGCAAGTGTACTATGTGCCGACCTTTTACCAGCTCGTCTACGGCTATTCAGCTACCAAATCCGGTGCTCTTCTGCTGCCAATTACCATTGTGCAGACGGTCAGCAGCACAGCGTCTGGTCTCGTTGTGCACTGGGTCGGCCGATACCGCGAGTGCATCCTCTTTGGTTGGATGTGCTGGGCCATTGGCCTTGGACTCATGTCCACTCTAAATGAGCACACGGGTCTTGACAAACAGATTGGTTACTCTGTCCTCATCGGCATCGGTGTTGGAAATACCATGCAGCCGTGAGTAAATTCCGTACGTGTCGGCGCATGGTTCCCTGGCTAACGTGTCTGCAGAGCCCTGATTGCTGCACAAGCTGGCGTTTCAAGACGTGACATGGCCGTTGCAACATCTTTCAGAAAGTATGTATTTTGATTCCTGATTTTCGGGCTTGTGCTAATGTTGCTAGCTTCATTCGAAACGTCGGTTCGACTATGGGCCTCGCAGTCTGCGGCTCAATCATGTAGGTACTCCACGGCGTTTCTCATCTTCTACTAACACTACCTTCTCTTCAGCAACAACGTTTTGAGGAGCGCAATCTCGCACCTGAACCTAGATGACCAGGCTCTGAAAGATCTTTTGAAGAATCCACGCACTTACACGGACACGCTGTCCCCTGCCGAGGCTGCCCATATTCGCAGTGTCGTGGTTCCTGCATACAAGAGAGGGTTCAGAATTATCTTTTTGGTAGGGGCGGGACTGGCAATACTCGGCTTCATGCTCGCCTTTGTCCTGATGCCTCAGGTGTCTTTGGCGCGACCTGATGATGAAAAGCTCAAAGAAGCAGGCCGCAAGGCCGACGAGGCGCGCAAGCAAAAGAACAAAGTTTGATTTGAATTGGGTTTCAAAAAAGCGCTTTGAGTAGAATATAAAGAAAAAAAGTCTGGGGGCGTATAGAATCAAGGCAAAACGGGTCAAAACTAGAAGCGGAAAACATGAAGGACTAATAGCAGAGCAGCTAGAGTGTGTTAGGGAGAGAGATAGTACCAGGCAGTTTACAGTATGGGAGAATCAATTGAATCAAACATCCACCTGTTGTACGAGCACACTACGACTAAATGCTGATTAACTGATTAACTGATTGTTTGGCTGTTGAGTGACTGGTTATTGACTAGCTGTTGACTGACTAGCTGTTGATTGACTAGCTGTTGATTGACTAGCTGTTGATTGACTGGCTGTTGATTGACTGGCTGTTGATTGACTGGCTGTTGATTGACTGGCTGTTGATTGACTGGCTATTGATTGACTGGTTGAATCAGTTACGACGTTCATCGTGACCAATGTTGAATGCCAGGCGACAAGGGGAGTTTGCAACGCAGAAGAGTGAGAACGCAGTCTGAGAGAACGCAGGTTTAACAGCCAGTCAATCAATAGCCAGTCAACTAACAGCCAGTCAATCAACAGCCAGTCAATCAACAGCCAGTAAATCAACATCCAATCACTCATTAGCCAGTGGACGCCACTTTAAGCTCTGCCAGTGTCATTTTGTCCTTTGTTGTGTTTTGCAGAATTTTGATCCCAGTTTCGTCCGAGGTCATGGTTACGAAAGAGTGTCGTGTACTGGAGCTGCTTGGGGCGCGTCCGTTTTAAAGCGTGCAACTCAACAGCCCGAATTCATGGCGCCTAGGGTAAAATTCGGCCAAAAGTTATGAAGAAAGTCATCCATGCACTCTCTGTCCTCGAAAAAGGTAAATCTCATTTCAATTCCTGGCAAAAGGCTCCTGGTCATAATCACCATCTGGGCCCAGGGCGAGGCGGTCGTACATCTGTTGCGCTTGATCCAGCTTTTGATGATGGATAGATATTCTTGTTCCGTCGGTAACGATCTCACGCTTGCGCACGTGGAATAAGTCGTAGGCTTCTCTGTTAGCCCTGGCCTCGTCTTGCGGCTCGAGCATCCATCCGTCTTAGGCCTTCTTCGTTAGCTTGAAATAGTTTGTCTTCTCTATCCACGACTCGATAATCTCGATGACGTATCTTGGTTGGCATAAGCCAATGGATGGAGAAGTAGACGTAGTATCCATCATTCTCGCGGTGTGTGATCTTGTCTGGCCGAAAACCAATAAGACCGAGGTCATATAGCCGATGCACATAGACGCTGAGAGTCAGAAGGTTCCACAACTGATCCAAGGCTCGCACAGCGCCCGCTATATCGTCAAATTTGTGGAAAATTGATCACCGGCCGTCCAAGTTGATCGTCGAGTGGGCTGCGTCTGGCAGCCTAATAGGGTTCTCGTAGGGAGCACCGTGGGGGATGCGTGGTCTGCAATGTAGCTTGTGAGTGCGCTCTTGAACTCTTCTTCGTCTTTGTCGTGGTAGGTCGTGGCTGCTGCAGTCTCCTCTGCGTTGGGAACTTCGGCTACTGCGGTCGTGTCCAAACTTAACTCGAGTGTCGGCGGGATCTCAGTTTCGTTCAAGGCCATGATTACGAAAGAGTGTCGTGTACTGGAACTCCTTGGAGGTGGGTTTAGAAAGGGAGAGGGAGCTTTCTGGGACACCCCTCACCCCCCGACCCCGGGTATGCCGGCGAGTTTCTGGAGGAGGGTAGTGGTGAGACCTGCGGCCAGGTCCAAACTGTACGATCGAGCAGACTTGACGATGACTAGGTCGAGTGGAAGACCGGTTAGGCTGTCGTAGACGAGATTGGTCGCCTGGTTACCGTCGGTGGCCTCCTTATCTCTGGCGACTTGCTTGCCCTTTGTTTTCCTTGACAGCGTCTTCACCTCGGGCGGTCTCCTTCCCTTTTGAAATGTCAGGGAAGAGAGAATTATGATGATGTATTGTCTAGGTTGTGGGCCTGGTGGGTGGCAGAGCCAAGGGTCACACCTAACAAGGAAGGTGGCTTACGTGATGGTCCGCCATGTAGCCGCTTTGAAGCTTGCCGTCTCGCCGACCCGACTCAGTCCTGGCCGTGGCCGTGTTGTCGTCGCGGATGTGGGTGTCGAGAGGTGTCTCGTCCTCGTGGGCGGCGCCGTAAACAGCGAAGGGATCGTCGTGGGTAATGGCCGCAGCGATTGCAGCCTCAACCTCGAAGCGAGAGGCAAGTTTGAGAGAGAGTAAAGTTTTGTGTTAGGGAGAAGTTTTGAGAGAGAAAAGTTTGAGAGAGAGGAAAGTTTTGAGAGAGGGAAGATTTAAGAAAAGATAAAAAGTTTTAGCAAGGAGAGAGGAATATTTATACGTGAGCGGAGGGCGACAGTAAAATGAGCTTGATGGCAAACGCCATGCCGGCCGCAAACGAATAATGATCTAGTGTACCCCTGAAATTACGAAGTGAATGTTATCTGAGTTTTCTTGGCTTCGCTATAATTTGTAAGGCTTTTCACTACCCCCAACTCTTCTTGACCCAAGGTATCAGTATCAATATGAATAAAGAATGACAAGACCATGCTCCCTTGATTCACGAGGCTTGAGCGACTTGGGCCTAGACCTTGCCCTCATTAGGTCTGGCAGCCTTGTTGTCATCCTTGTACAGAGAAGGGCAGACTCTGTCCTTCTTCTGGAAGATGTAATGCCTGAGTCCCCATGGCAGCACGGTGCCGAGTTGGTACTTGGCGTGCGTTCGGGTAGAGACGCCAAAGACGTAGTCTAGTTCCTCCAGACTCTTTTGCTTCGTCTCGGGAACAAAGCAAAAAATGAGAGTTAATGCGACGACATTCATGGCGGCGTAGAATCCAAACGCGCCAGTCGGTGTCATGGCGCGAAGCATGCGCGGGAATGTCAAGCTCAGAATGGCACCCCAAAAGTTGTTGGTTGCCACGGCCCATGACATGCCAACTTCACGATGTGATAATTGGAAGCACTCTGCCGAGTAGCTGAAGGGGATAGGACCAGCTCCTATTGTGTTGCTCATGATTAGAATTGCCTCCATTGTGTTGTTGCAGCCATAAAATGTTGTGGGTTCTTACCAGGCGAGTAGAATGCACAAAAGAGGTACACAAAGGTGGCAACGGCACCAATGCGGGCTGTGCTATGCTCCGTGCCATGGTCAATGAGAAAGCAAAATCCAGCCACTACGCAGTATTAGCCTTGATATCGAGGGAGGCGCACTTTGTGCTTGAAACTCACCGAGCAAAGTCCAGAACATGTTGGGAAAGGTGAAAATCAACAGAGCACGACGACCAAAAGTATCAATGGTCCACACAGCAGGCCAGGCAAAGAGGAAATTAATCAGACCAAAGCCAAAACTGGCCCAAAGAGCACTATAAGCAGAAATGCCGCTCTGGACAAATATAGTGCTGCTGTAGAAAGCGATAATGTTGACTGAAGCGGGTTAGTGATGTTGGGAGGTGAGTAGGGTTCTTGTCTCAACTTACTGCCGCACAGCTGCTGGGCAATCATGACAATACCAGAAGCCTGGGTGGCACGACGGTTTCGAGGGATTGTGAAAAGTTCAATGAAGCGAGTGAAGACACTACCATTCACGTTCAGACCGGCTTCTTGAATCATCTTGTCTTCGTGTTCAAGAAGGCATTGAATGTAGAACAAGTCACGGGCAGCCTGCAGGGGCGTGTTTCGCAGACGAAGCAGCGACTTCCAAGCCTTGATGTGACGGTTCTTCTTGAGGTACCATCGAGGAGACTCGGGACAAAAATAGATACCTATCACAAGCGGGACGGCGGGAATGAAGGCCGAGCCAAGCTGGAGACGCCATGCGATGGTTGCGACCTTGCCAACGACCAGATTCGCACAAGTACCGAGGAAAATGCCTGTCAATAGTCAGAAAGTCATGCTTGGAGATTGTCAAGGTTTGTCTTTGTCGCATACCGAACGCGGTCCAGAGTTGCCATGACATGACTAGACCACCGCGGATGACTGTGGGAGCATTCTCGGCCGAATAGACGGGGACAGTAACTTCCTTTAGACCCATACCAATGCCAAGCAGCATTCTATGGGGAGATGCGTCAGTTTTCTTTTCTTTTTTTTTTTTCTTTTTTTTTTCTTCTGAGCTCTAGAAATAACGCGGCATCAGCAACAACTTACCTGGAGGCAGCAAGCTGGCCCCATGTCTGCGAGAGAGCCATGCCAAAGGGTGCGAGCAGAGAGAAGATGGCCGCCACAAAGATGACGCCCCGACGGCCCATAAGTTCATTGAGAGGGTCAGATATCCAACCAGCACTGCTTTTGTTAGTCATGGTCCATGGATATGCTGAGAACATTGGTCCGCCCTTACAAGAGACAAATAGTAATGTAAGGCATAGCATTAACAAAACCAACGATCCAGGCGTTTTTGGCACAGAGACCCAGGGTTTCATCAGGTCCACACGCCGGTTTGAAGTCGGGGATACCAAGAGCTTCGGGGAAGCCAAGATTGGCGCCGTTGGAGCCGGTCTGCGGGCTGATGTCAACAACGTCGAGGGTTGGTGCAGCTCGTACACAACACAACTGACCTGGTCCCAGCCCTGAATAGCTGCTGCAATGGAATTGAGTCCAATGGTAAAGTAAAGTGGCCAGGGATGACTCCATCGGTGGGTGACTTCCCTGCGCAAGGCCTCCTTGTCACCCTCATCCAAGTCGCTGAGCTCCTCGAAGCCGGCGGGGCTCTGCGCGACGAGGGCGCCCTTTTTGAGAAGCGGCAAAATGTCCTCTGGCAGGCCCTTTTCTTGCTGAAACGCCGTCACGCGCGCAAAGAGGTCCTCGCGGGGGATGCCGACAAGAGGGTTCTTGATTTCGGCCTCTGCCGTCTCGGCAATGGCGGCGAGCTTCTTGGCCGCTTCTGATGTCGGCTGGGCAGGCTCATTGCTGTGCTCGGGGAATATTTTTGGGGTATTATTAGCGCAAAGAGTTGGGCAGTCGAAGTTTGGGCTGCAGCAGCGAGTGCGACAAAAAAAAAAGGCGAGACACACCAGCCGTGAGGCGACTTTCTGGTGCGGTGGAGGAGGGTTGCATTGAAGTTGTGCAGAGAGAGGGGGTCAGGACTTACACAAACTCATCCTGTTCGAGGACGACTTTCTTTTCGGGGTCCATGGTTACAGGAGCGGCAAATGTTTGTTTCTATCGAGGGAAAGGTGCAGAAATGGGACAAGAACCAAGCTCGAGCCTGCAGCAGGAGAGGGGGTGCGAGAGGCCGACCTTTTATCATCCGGCCGGAAACAGCTGCTTTCGTAGAACGGGGAGGGGGGGGGGAGGGCTGCCGTTACCGCGCTTCCCCCAAGTCGCAGCTGTATGCATGTTTGCCCTCCTGCACTGAGCTGTAATCACGGCTAGTCTGAGCGGCGTCGCCGCCCCAAAGGGCTTCTTCCCATCTCGGTCAGCCCATCTGCCGCAGAAACAACCATGCCATGAGACATGGCGTTGAGGTAGGTCGTTCACGAACAACCTCTGCCCACAACACATACAAAAAAAGTAGGCTCAAGCCATCATTCTTGTCTCCTTTCTTGGCTCATAGCTGTCATGTCAGCCCTGTCTCTTGTACGCGGGAAAACATTCGAATCAAACTCCCGCTTGCTTTCGCTTCTTGACTGCCTAGGCCGACGCGGCGCTCGTGTGCACCTATTGTCCGGCCGACAGAGCCCCAAACGAAAACAGCATGGCCCCCGACGTATGTAGCCAACCGCCTAGGATTTAGCGAATATCACCGCTGATAGTAGCCTTGACCCTGTCGCACAAGAAGGGAGCACTTGCGTCGGTGGCGCTCCAACGGTGCGGGCTTACGTTGGTTGGCTCAGCAGATGGACCATATGTGGTCGTAGCAAATCCGTACTAACTAGTTAATTGACAACGGTACTCCATCCTTTGTTGACTCTTTGCCCCCCTCCTTTCAGTTAGGGAAGCAAAATGGGCGTAGTTTGACGGGCAAGGCGGCCGCATCGAACGGGCGTCGGCGAACAAGCCACAAAGACCAGGGGGACTAAGCTTGGGTGTGCCGCACGAGGGAGGGGCTGGAATTAGGCAGCAGTATTTCTCGAAACTGTTTGGATGAGCAACTGCAGGCCAAGAATAATCAGGCTTGCTCGGGCCATAATTTGCGGGCGTACAATTAAATTCTCAATTATATCTGGTCTACTCCGCACGAGGCGGCTCAATGAGCGGGCAATGTCCGGGCGAAGCTGTTGTTCGCATCCCCATATACAACACCAAGCTTGGACGCGAAAACGTCGAGACCCGATAAACTTAACCGACGGAAACCCATCAAACTAAAATAATGGGGTAAGTGGCACGATACTCACGATTAGCTTTGGCTGTGTGTGGGGGACTCAATTCAGCCACGCAGCCTCAATGTTGGGGATGAGCCAACTTGACAAAGCCCCCCACCACAGGTCTCATGACTTTTGACTGTACAGAGTAACTGAAAAACTGGTTGTTGCTGCAACTGGAACTACTTACTTGGCTGCGGGCGGCAGAAAGAGGTGTCCTTGACCACCTGTTCTTCTCCAGTCTTGGCTCTTGGCGGCGCCTAGTTACTGGTACATAACAGAACAGCCATATCTGTGAGCATGTCGAGCTTCACAACATCTGTTGAATACCTTTAACCTTGTATCGGGTAATCCAGGTGTCGAGTATCATCAAGGCTAGATGAGGTGTCTCAATCCAAACCTTAGCCACTGGTGGGTTCTTGTCACTATCTATCCGTATCTGACGCAAAATAATCCAAAAATCTTCATTTTGAGGAATTATAAGACAGACTTGAAATAACACCGTGGAGTCAAGATCATTCTTAGTTGTAGCAACCTCGTTTTGTAGTTTTCTCATGGCTAGTCATAGAAGGCTCTGGCTCGACACGTATGCAAACTACCTACTGAGCGACTTTTTCAGGAAAATCTAGGAAAGAGTCCGCATTACAACTGCTATTGGCTGTTTCAAAAACACGACTTTGCTGCTGCTGAGTATCTCTTGACGCGATCATTCCACGCGCTCGATAGCAGAGAGCGTGAATGCTTCCTTGATATGTTGTTTTGGTAATATCCTGCCTAGTTGGGCATGATTTCATTCTAGCTCACATCAGGCTTCCTTTTGAAAAGAAATTTATTGTCGGTGGACATCTGAGAATCCTAGTCAACAAACCAGAGCTGGTCCTCTGCAGAATCCTTCATGGAAACGAGATTGGAATAGTCGACCAAGATGAGCGGCCAAACCGACCCTTCCATGTCTTGTCCCATGGTATCCTCCACAAGTTGCGCAAATTCAGCATCTTCTTTCCATTCCCGGTCCACCGTCGTCTCCAACCACTTTTTGACTTTTGCCAGGCACTCGTCTCGCTGCGGACTGGCCTCATTGCCACACGCTACCAAACTTGCAGTGACTTGGTCGTCCGCAAGCCTGTTGGAAATGGCAATCACCTTGTTCAGCAGAGCTACTTCCTTTGTCCCCAAGCGCCAGCACATGACGGTGCGCTCGCGCTCGAAAAGCATCGCTTTTTGCTCCTCGTCGTCATCCAGACACTCGTGCACCTTGCCCAGAATGGCAACCATGGCCTCGGCCTGTGTTTCAAAGTCCTGGAAGATGAGGGCAGCGGTATTGGATCGGATGCAGTCAAACAACGGGGACGGGTGCTTTTCACTGTACGCCTTTTCTTCTTCATCAGACCATGATCCCAGCTTTCGACTGCGATGCCAGTCTGCAATGCGATACCATTCTCCAGTCAATTCGCGATGGATGAGCACATGATTTTCAATCACTCTTTTCGTGACCCCTTTCCACGGGTGCAAGTCAAAGTTTTCACGTAATGGAGTAACCGTCATAAAGCCGCCATGAGCCCTCATGCGAAGCCCCTTTGGCGTTGGCATGCCCAATGATAGGGTAGTAACGGGCAATGGAACGCCGAAGCGAAGCGATCGCTCATCCATTCCCAGGGTGGAATCCTCTCCCAAGCTTCCGAGAAGGCTCTTTGGCGCCCATCGCCAGCCCTTCATGGACAAGGTCTCTTCAAGATGAAATACCAGCGACGTAGAGAGTCCACCAAGAGTCTCGGCTAATGCAGCCCAGACGGCAGCCATGCGTTGTTCGCCGTCCTTCATGAATGTCAACCCATCAATCTGCAAGCCCATCAGAACAGCTATACATAGAGGCTCATCAGATGGAACCGATACTGTTCGGAAATGAATCGATCTTTGCAGCGTGATTAGCTGCGGCTTATAGTAGACATGCTCTAAGCTGCGGCTGGTATCTTCAAAGTTTCGAATAACATTGACCTGCGCGGGTTAGATTGTCATTTTTTTGGGGATGCAAAAGCTTTACATACTTCGTTCAGGAGGTCATGCCAGATTCGGAGGAATCGCATGTCCTTCATACCTTGCAGGTACAAGTCCTGCATCAGGGCTGAAACCGAGACTGCCTTGTCTTGAAACTGAACGCAGAGGTTCTTGGGGAGTACAGCTTCTATTTATTCCCATCAGATTGTCATAATCACAACATGGTGGATCGAGATGGGAAGAAGATGTAAGAGGAGCAGAGCACGGTTGCAGACGAGAAAGTGAAGAAAAAGTCAGTAAAATACCTTGGAGGGTCCAGAGACGCCGCATCCAGGCAGAACAGCTAAAGGTCCTTAGTAACCTTTCTGCGAGACTGCACGTCTCGGTATTAAGGCATGTCAGCGATGAATCGAGAAGGAGAACATGTGCTGCGTTTCTGTAGACATCTGCAATTCGCTCAAGGGCCACGGCCTTTCCCTCGAGCTCAACAGGACAGCAAATTGTGTCGACCCAGACGCGGTATTCGGACCGTGGGTTGTTACTGTTGTTGTAAGCTTGATTGAGGTTCGCGACATAGTTGGCAGTCCTGACAATCTGGCAGTTGGGTAGTGTGTTGCTGTGTGGATTTCCCAGGCCATCTGCCCAGACGTGGGATAATGCGACATAGTTCATGTCCGCTTCATACGTCTCAAGCGTGATGCGCGCGGGCTCTGCCTCAGTCGCGCCAGGCTCAATCTTCAGCATTGGGTAAGAATCAGAGTTTTTGAGTATCCGAGTCACTTCGGCCTCGCCCACATGCACGTCGTCGCATTGACAGCCATCAACAACGTGGCGGGGTTTGTACTGTGAGATGTCAATCTGAAAGGCCCGACACGCATAGTTGGTGCAATTGGTATGATCGCTCGGTCTCGTACGCGGCCGCAGCCTCGTGACGAAGTGAAGAGATGCGACACCTTGAAAAAGATTGCGCAACTTCTCAATTCCGCTCGGACACCAGCCAAAGCTCAGCATTTGCTTCTCCACGTCATTACCCGACTTTAGATAGTCCCTGAACCAGTTGAACGCAGCGCTTGGGAGCGTGATGCGCGGTGTCGCTAGAAAACTCGCTGCATATTGACTCGTCATGAACAGCTCACCCAGCCCAGCGATGGAGTAGCGGACAGAGTACTCGAGCTGGTTGGAACTATTGTTGACTATAAGCATGGTTCGAAAAAGACATTGATGCAAGTAGTGGAAGCGCGGCGCAAGCTCTCCTGCTAATCCTCTCCTCTCGGCAAAGATGTCGGCATTCTCGAGAATAAAAACACTGGTCAAAAGCTTTCCGTGGTCACTGTCTTTTGAGCATTCACGATACAGCACAGACATTTCATGCCGAGCCTGGTCAAGGTCAACAAGACGCTGTCCATCTTCAAGCTCATTCAGGCCCAGAAACTCAGCCACCAGACCAAAGTACAGCCATGTCTGTACAAACGACTGCAGTCTTGCAGCGGGTATTGTGTCAAAAACGCGCTGCAAAGGTAGCGTCATTAGCGCGTGGTTCGTGGGTAGCAGAGGCGCCTCAGCTAGGCCCAACGCTTGCCATTTCCTGTCTAGGAACGTGCAAAAGGGGCCGAAATCCCAATCTTCTGATGAAAGATACGGAGTCTCTGGTGTCGGGAAAGTTGGGTCCTGCGGCAATGGCAAGAAGTCCATGTTGGTCGCGCCTACCGAGTCCGGATGAAGAGTATGCTCAGTCGACGATTCGGAGACGCGACATGACTGCGTTTTATAGTCAGAGGTCTGTACCACACTTTGCCGCAATGCCACTATACGAATGAGGGGAAAACGCGAGCCTTTCGCCATGTGTGCCTCAAGCGACCCACTGAGGCTGTTGATAATGTGTGCGCCTGATCGTCTTATTCATGCATGATAGCTAGTTTGCTCACACCTGCATTGCAAGCGTGGTGGCACCAGGGACAGGCCTATTACATACTGAAATGATGAACGCGATGGAAGGTTCAAGTATTGATGGAGATGTAGATGTCTAGCAAAAGTTCAAGTGTCGAGAATATCTGCATTACCTCACTTTGAAATGAGCAAGATTCTACAGGTCTTGGACAAAGCTGACAACAATGGTGGAAGTCGATAGGCTGGATTCAAATCAAATTCATATACAGAACCTTGGAAAGTGGCGGAAGCAGACAGAAGTCAGTAGTTGTAACATAGCGCGGCGACAATCCGACTTTCCCTGTCGGGAGAGCGGCTCGATATGCGCGCCCTGAATCAATGTAATAGCAAGTGGAGGTATATACTGTCAATGTAAGATACAAATATAAATACAATAGTCCGTCATCACTTAGGCATTGGCTTCCCAGCTTTAGTCTGCGCTTTGGCCTTTAGGCTACGCCACTCCACACAGACACTTGCGATAATTGTGACGGCACATGTACCGACCACAATGTAAAAGACCTTTATAATAGCGGCATTGTAGTAGGCAAGAAGAATATCAAGCTCATGACCAGAAACCAAAGATTGCAACTCAGTGGCGCCACCTTTGATGATCTTGTCGGTATCAATTCCAGGAAGTGTACTCATATTTGACACGAGGTCACTGAGGAACACATTTTGCGCGATAGGAAGAAAAACTGCAGGGCCAAGAAATCTCACAAACATGACGACGGCCGACCCCATGGCAATATCAGAGCGCTCTAGAACCGTCTGCACGACGTTTAGATGCTGTTGGGCGCCGAGTCCGAGACCAAAGCCAAAGATAATCTGCGTGCCGATCCACATGCCTTCTCCAGTGGATGGAGTCAAGGTACACATGAGACCAGCTCCAATAGGAGTTAGAACGGAGCTGGCAATGTAGAAGGGCGCGTAGTAACCCACGCGGGATATGATGATGCCGGAGATTATGGACGCTACGGCGACCGACAGGACAGTGGGTAGTAGCATGAGGCCCGAATGCACAGCCGACGCGCCTTTGATGGCCTGAAACCATATGGGAAGGTAGTACATGAGTACCATCATACCGGCCCCATTGAAGAAGCAGAAGAATACGGCGGCGGCGATGCTGCGCTGTTTGATGATGCGAGGGGGCACCGTTGCCTTTTCTTTCTTCCAGGCTTGCAAAGCAATGAAAAGCGCGACGAGGACAACACAAACGACAAGCAGCACAACTATTCTGGCACTGTCCCAAGGGAAGCGCGTGCCACCCCACTGCAAGGCGAGGATGAGACAGATGATTCCGGGGAAGAAGGCGAGATTGCCGATTGGATCAAGTTGTTGGATCTTGCCGAGAAGAGTGTCGGCGGCGGGCTCTAGCTTCTGGTTCGGCAGATGCACAAGAAAAATGGTGACAAGGAGAGAAACAGCTCCAATCGGGGGGTTGAGGTAGAAACACCATCGCCAAGTGATATTATCGGTGAAGGCTCCGCCGACGACTGGTCCAACAACCGAGGCGACAACGAATAAGGCTCCTGCAGCGCCCTGCCATAGCGGCCGCTGCTGAAGCGGAATGGTATGGAACATGATGACCATGAGGCCGGAAAACAGCCCTGAAGCCCCGAGGCCAGCGACGGCGCGGCCAATGATAAAGGCAGCGGAGCTCGGGGCGGCGCCACAAACGGCAGAACCGACTTCAAAGAACAATACACCTGCGAGAAAAAGCGGCTTTGCAGGGTAATGTTTGTAGACCTTGCCCATGAGGAGCTGGAAGCTGCAGGTGGTCAGGAGGTAGGCGCTTCCATACCAGCCAATGTCGTTGATGGAATGGAACTCGTCGGTAATGCGGGGGATCGCAGTCGCAATAATGTTTTGGTCCTGGATTTGGTAAGTAATTGGTAAAAAGGACTTTGGTACTGATACTGACAAGTGTAATTAGAAATATAGATAGATACAAGGCAATCATTATGAGGATGCGCTTAGCTGCTGGTGGGTATTCCTCCAGCTGAATGACTGATTTGGCATCATTTGGTTGTAATTTTTCTTCATCTTGTAACACCTCGGTTGGCATTCTTGCGGCGAGCTTTATCAGAAGCTGAGATAAAGGGGCAAAAAAAAAAAAAAAAAAAAATTACTGTAATAGGAAACAAGGTAACAAGTGATTTGAGTGATGGGACCAATAAGAGAAGCAGAGCAATGCAGTAGCAAGAGCATTCAGAGTGATGAGAGCAACAGGAGCGACAGAACAGAGTCTGGCATTTATTACTAGATTTCAAGTAATATTTGTCTGAAAATGTTGCCGCTTATAATAAAATTGGCTGGCAGTGGCGTTTTCCGATCTGTGGCAGCTCGGGGTTCAAGTGAGTTGACCTCGGGGCTCAAAAGGTAAGATTTTAGCCCCCGAACCCCGAGCCTACATCTCCAGCCCAGGCCGACTCGTAGTAGCCCGCACCAGCCCCGAACAGCGATGATAATTTTCCTTGACAGCGCTGAAACCCCTTTACATCCTTGAAATCGATTCCATTGGTTTTGCGCGGCTATATGGAGACGCAAGTTCCATCGCCTGCGGTGAGCGCCAACGACAGCGCCAAGACCTTCTCGTGCCTCGTTTGCCGCCAGCGCAAGGTCCGGTGCGACCATGCCCAGCCATGCAGCAACTGCAAGCGCGCCAAAATTGACTGCGAGTATGTCGCGCCGATGCGAGGAAAACGCAAGAGGTCGCAGCCGTCGCAGCCGTCGCGTGAGACGATGCACGCCAAGCTGCGGCGCTACGAGGACATGCTCAAGACGCGAGGCGTCGACGTCGCTGAGCACACGAGTACGGCGCCTGCTACATGCGAAGACGCCTTGTCCGAGAGCAATGAGACGACCAAGTCGCCGACCAGTTCTTCGCTGCCTACTCCAAGAGATGAGGCTGCTTCGCCGATGGGTTTCCGCTACGGGCTGGTCAAGACGCCAAGGTCTGGCCCGAGATTGATTAGCAAGGAGGGCAATTCGCGATATTATGAAACGTACGTTGACATGTCCAACGTGACGACTTGGTTTTTTTTTGTTTTTTTTTTTTTTTCCTGCTAATGCTCCATGCAGTAGCACTCTTTGGACGGACATTAACGACGATGCAAGTTTTCTTTGTTGCACCCGTCTTTGTTGCCCTCACTCTAACTAGCTCAGTTTCGCCATCCTGATGAGTTTGTGCCTGCCGGTGATGACGATGAAGAGCACGAAGCCGATCTTTTCCTAGGCTCGGGCTCTCCAAGTAGCAGCTTCATGGGCCAGCTTGGCGACTGGCATCCTACAACGCAGTGCCTGTACGCACTCAGGGACATTTACGTTGACCGAATCGACCCGCTCATGAAGATTATGCACATGCCTACGTTCTGGGCCTTGGTACGGCAGGCGGCAGAGCGCAAGGAAGAGGTATCAAAACCTATCGAGGCAGCGGTATTCTGCTTTTATTTTGGGACCATGAGCGTCATGGAAGAACAAGATTGTGAGAGACTGTTCAAGCAAGGCAAAAAAGCAGTACTCGCCAAGTATAGAGCCATTGCACGGCATACGCTAAAGCGAGCTGGATTGCTCAGTACATCTAGTCCGATGACTTTGAGGGCTTTTTGTCTTTTCATGGTGAGTGTTCACGAGCTGTCATCTTTGAGCCCGCTTTTGTCATTCTCACATTGCGTCAGCTGGGACTGCGCGGCACGATACGGTACGAGTCACAATATATCCTCTGCGGAATTGCCCTCCGACTAGCCCAAAAGATGGGCTTGCATCGCAATGGAACATCTCTTGGCCTGTCTCTTTTTGAGACAGAAATGCGAAGACGTCTGTGGTGGCACATTGCACACCTGGAATTTCGCACTGCCGACTTGCTCGGCGCCAAGCCTTCGCTGGATATTCACTTGGGCGACGCAGGATTGCCTTGGAACGTTGAGGATGAAGATCTTGAACCCTCAATGACAAAAGTACCAAAGGATCGTCATGCTATTACATCCATCACCATGTGCATTGTTCGCTGCGACCTCGCTCAATCGCTGCAACGACTATCAGGCACCTCGACATTCGTCGCTTCATGGGGCGACATTGGCACCAGCTCCAATGTAGCTTCCGCTGACAAGGATGCTCTCATTGATGAGATTGAAGACAAGTTTGAGACAAAATATGTTCGCTACTGTGATCCGTCGCGACCGCTCGACATGCTGGTAACAGCCATGATACGTGCCGCAGTCTGCAACACACGTCTCTTTGCGCACAACCCACGACGATTTGCAGACTCTGGCGGGCAAGTCACAGAGGCGGAGCGCAACGTGGCATTCCATAATGCCTCAAAGCTGCTCGAGTACGCGTCCATGGTGGGCGAGAACCCGAGCCTCCGCAAGTTTGAGTGGCGCCTCAACTCGACGTACCTATGGGACAAGATTCTCTTTGTGCTGATAGAGGCGCGCCGCAAAAAGCCGGGCACCGACGTGGACAGGATATGGGAGCTCATTGGTCGTGTATTCTCGCAGTACCCCGATGCATTCGGACAGTCCTCGGCAAAGGCAGTATACAAGGCCCTCAGCAAGTGGACGTTGGAGGTCTGGGACGGCCATGTCGCGGCGAAACAGGCACAAGGGATGCCGGATCCAGAGGAGCCAGCTTATGTCAGGGCAATGAGAGAAAAGAGAGACGCCGCGGTGGAGGGAGCAGAAGTGAACGTCGAGGAAACGGAAACCGTGACTGTGACCGCGAATACGTCGATGGAGGCAGCTCATGATGATGCAAAGGCTGTTGAGGCGCCCGAGGTTGGGGGATTCGGCGAGTTCTCGGACCTCGGGTCGTTTGAACTGAATTTGGACGAGTGGGTGAATTGGGAGCAATTGGTCTCTGAACACAGCGGTTTCTACCATGCAGAAGGGTACTGATTATACGATACTCTGTAACTAGTTGGACAGCACAAGGTTTATACAGAGATTTCAACGTCAATTTAGCAGGCATCTGATACAGACGAGCACATGGGCAGGAAATATAATGAGACGAAAAAGATGTTGCTACAAATTATAGAAATGAAAAAAAATAAAAAAATAAAAAACTTTTTCTCTTGTGTCCCTGTTTTGCTAACCCCCTTTGCACGGCACGGTGAATGAATGAATGCTGTAATTTCGCGCGATCGGCATCAAGGGTTCTCTGATCTGCAGCCAAGACGGGCCAAGGCGGCAGCCAAGTTGCCAAGGACGCCAGACAATCATCGCGGGGTGCGCGGCTGGCATGCCAAGATCCCAAGAGGCGGGCGCTAGTCGAGCATCACTCGCAATGGCTCTATTGGGCACCCGAGTAAAAGATGGTTGTTCATGAACTATAATAGTCTTGGTGCGGAATAGCAGGTTGTGCTTGTTCGGCGACAGTTTTTCTGGGCGATAGTTGGGTGGTTAGCTGGCTTGACGCACGTGGAAAACAATTGTCAGCTCAGTTAGTCGACTCTTCTTTACACGAGCAAGATTCGCAGTCCTCACTGTAAACTCTAGTATGCTGCATTTAAACTCTGATGTTACACTATGTTCCACGGCCCCAATCATCGCTCAGCGGCTGCGTCGACATCCTTGATTGCCTGCGCGAGGGCTTGTCGTGCACGCTTTTCGCGTCGCGCAAAGGGCGCTGTAAAGTGCCTTGTGGCATCGACGGCATGGGCATGAGAGTCGCTGAACGCAATGGCAGCCGCCGGGCCCAGCGACGAGCGTGCAAAGGCGACTGCTTCGCGCAGCATGTCGCCGCCCACGCCCGTGTCCCTGTAGCGCAAGCGCGTGGCCCAAGCACGAACCTGCGCGCTCGAGCCGGTCCCGCGCTGTTGCGACGCCATCTTGGACGGTGTTTGTATTTTTGCCTCGACCAGGCGCAGCACCAGCGTGGCAATGACGTGGTCGCCGTAGCGAGCGTACATGACTGTGTCTTGCTGCTGCGCGGGCTCGCTGGCCGACGAGGGTGGTGTGATGAAGCTTTTCCAGTTGAAGCGCTCGGCGCGTGACAGATAGTCGTAGGTGTAGTACTGGATGGCCGCCAGGTAGGCGACAATGACGCCAGAGGCTAGGATGACGGCGCCGACCCAGTCGCTGCCGCTGCGGCGGTAAACAAGTCCGGCGAGCACGGCAACAAAGGGCCCCAGGGTGGCCGGATGGAAGATGACGGTGGTGGACGCGACCTGACGTTGTTGCGCAATGGTGTCGGCGACGAGGCGCAAAGCATTGCGCTTTTCCTCGGCCGTCTGCGCGATTGTGTAGGTGAGCAGAGGAATCTCTGGCTCGTTGGCAGCGGCAGTAAGCTCAGAGGGCGCCATCTGAGTCTGCGTTGTCGACATGCTTGCGCGCGCGCGTCGATTGGAAAAAATGGTACAAGATTGACGGAATGGTTTAGGCAAGACTGACGCTGCAGGTTGAAAGGTAAAGGCAGGCAAAAATGATGACAACAGAGGGCATAGATGGGTTGCTGATCTTGTGCTCCGAGACAATGGTTCCAGTCGGTTGTGCGACACTCGAGCTCGCAGAAAACAGCTCGGGCAGTTACAAACAGGATCCTATAACTGGCAGTACGCCCGAGTCTAGATAATGGGACAGAGACGCAGCTAAATCATTCAAAAGCCTGCAATCCGCGATGGATAAGCACCCACGTGGTGAGGGTGGAGTGTACAAATATTGAACTATTACTAGTAAAACAAGGACCCTGGGACCCCATGTGCAGACCTTTTAAGCGATGGAAACTAGGTTCTCAAGAGAAACAAAGCGGAGAACGGAGGGAGCGAGAGTAGGGCCGGGCATCCAAGACGAGAAAGAGTGATTCAAGGCAGGAAAGGGTTTGGGGGAGTCGATGCGAACAGACATGGCATGTATACAGTATGGAAGACGCAACGGAGCACAAGAGACAAAGTACTCGGTACACGTATTACATTTGGATAAGTTGCCCAGGACGTCGACCGAGAGTCAATCTAGGGACAGCTACATATTGAGAGACTCGGTGGCCTAAAATGGAATGGGTGTCCCGGTCTCCCGGATGACCCCCAATGGGCGACAATCATGAGGCGCGCATACTAGCGCAACGCAGCGAGGTAGCATGGAAAAGGAAAAAAAGGATTTCCAATAACGCAAATAATAAGGGTGTTCCGAGCTAATACTACCAGCAAGTCACTGCTGCTCCAAGAAACCAACTCGGCCGCGGGAATGGACCGGCGACAACCACAAGACCTGCCCGCAGAATAACTATACGAATATTCATCATCATTTAATTAGCAGGCAGCCTCGTTATCTCCGGCCCCATTCACAGCCGCAAACGCATCTCTTGGCCAATTCGACTTGTGTCAAGAAGCAACCCTCTTTCGCGACCGACCAATGCAACGGCAAAGACGGCAACAATGTGGCGTCGCAACGTGTTGCCCTCCCGATCTCTCACTGGCTCAATCTCACTCTCTATTTGGCTAGCTAAGCTAGCGATTACCCGAATCGGCTTGGCGTCAGCCATCATCATCATCGCAAAAACACCACTTACATGATTTGTGTCGAGGCTCTCAGTGACATTTCCACGCAACCTTTGGCCAATAATCTACTATTTTCTATTCATCTTTTGGTTTGCCGATTCTCTGTTACTACATAGCACCCGTCTATACCCCATCCATAAACGCCCCGTTTCCGCCACAGTTGAGACGCTAGGCCTACAACCCCACTCTCCGCCCGGTTCGCCCACCCCCCCCCCCTCCCCCTTCTGCCTCTCACTCTCGGGAACATGACGGCGGCCGTAAAAGAGAAGACGAGAAAAAAAAGTCTGTAGGCGATCCAATAGCTACATGGGTCATGCAGCGCCATCTTCTCTAGCCCAGTCCGAGCCATTCACGCAGCTCCGTTGAAGAGCATGCTGCACCCATGTCCCTGCCATTGCTTCTTCTCACACGACTACCTGCTTCAGCTCATCTCTCTCCCCACGCACAATATAAAAAAGGTTCCCCTCGCGTCCTTCTTTTTTTCCTTCTACACGACTAGTACCTTGGCAATCTCGCTTGGCAACTTGGCCAATCCATTTTTTTTTTTCCTTTGCTCTTCTTCACACTCATCCGTCCAACCATGAGCTCGGGAGAGGACAGCACGAGAAACACCACCACTGTCGCCAACTTTGGCAAGACTTCTGGTGGAAACTCTGCCTACCACAACTTCAACAACGACTATGCTCACGTCAGTGACCTGAACGAGAGGAGGCGCTTGGCCCTCGCCGAGATTGACAAGGCTCCTTTCGGCTGGTACCATGTCCGCGCCTGCGTCGTGGCCGGTGTCGGCTTCTTCACCGACTCGTACGACATTTTTACTGCATCCATGCTGACCATTATGCTGGGCATTGTCTACTATCCCGGAACCGGCAAGATGCCTGCTTCTTCCGACAATGCCATCAAGCTGGCCACCTCTGCCGGTACCGTCGTCGGCCAGCTCGGGTTTGGTATGCTGGCCGACATTGTCGGCCGTAAGCGCATGTACGGTCTGGAGCTCATGGTCATCATCTTTGCCTCTCTTGCTCAGTCTCTCACGGCCGGTGGTCCTGCCGTCAACATTGTTGGTCTCATCATCTTCTGGCGTGTAAGTCGTCCCACCCCCCACCGCCACAGGAACTTCTGGACACTAACTCGCGTCGACAGGTCATTATGGGCATCGGCATTGGTGGTGACTACCCTCTAAGCTCCATTATTACTTCAGAGTAAGTTTCCCGTCTCTCTAATGTCTTTTGCGATTTTTCGCGGATGATACTCGCGACTCTTCAAGGTATCGCGACAACTCGACACCATCATGCCTTTGCAAAGCCTACATAGTTTTTCATCTGTTCCTACGCTAACTGATACAGGTTTGCTACTACCAAGTGGCGTGGTGCCATGATGGGTGCCGTTTTTGCTATGCAAGGCTTTGGTCAGCTCGGCGCCGCTCTCGTCATGCTCTTCGTCACCCTCGGCTTCAAGCACTCTCTTGAAGGCGCCAAGGATGTCGCTCACTGCACTGGATCCTGCCAGGTCGCCGTCGACAAGATGTGGAGGACGCTTATTGGCTGCGGTGTTGTTCCCGCCTGCATTGCTCTCTACTGTAAGGAGGAGCAAAAGGTCGACTCCTCGTCCAATCAAACATTTGCTAATCATTCACCACAGACCGTCTGACCATTCCCGAGACCCCCCGATACACCTTTGACGTTGCTCGTGATGTCGAGCAGGCCGATGATGACGTCAAGGCTTATATCAAGGGCAAGCATGAGGGCGAGCCCGACGAGATTGCCCGCGCCGAGGTCCACAAGCAGGCTGAAAAGAGTCTCGAGGTCCCCAAGGCCAGCTTCCGCGACTTCTGCCGCCACTATGGCAAGCTCAAAAACTTTCTCCTCCTTGTAGGGACGGCAGGCTCCTGGTTCTGTCTTGATGTTGCCTTTTACGGTCTCTCCCTAAACAACGGTACCATTCTCGAAGCCATTGGCTACTCCACCGCCTCTGGCCATGTCAAAAACGTCTACCAGCTTCTATACAACACTGCTGTCGGCAATGTCATTATTGTTCTTGCTGGTGCTGTTCCCGGTTACTGGGTCTCTGTTGCCACCATTGATACCCTTGGTCGCAAGCCCATTCAAATGGCTGGCTTCATCATCTTGACCATTCTCTTCATCATCATGGGCTTCGCCTACCACCACATCCCCCCCAATGGTCTGCTCGCCATCTACGTCATTGCCCAGTTCTTTTTCAACTTTGGCCCCAATACCACTACCTTTATTGTGCCCGGCGAGGTCTTTCCTACCCGCTACCGTTCCACATCGCACGGTATCTCTGCTGCCTCTGGCAAGATTGGCTCCATCATTGGCCAGGGTGCCATTGCCAGTCTGCGTACCCGTGGTGCTACCAAGACCAACACCTCTCCTTGGCTCGACCACGTCCTTGAGATCTTTGCACTTTTCATGCTCCTCGGCTGCGGTACCACTCTCCTCATCCCTGAGACAGCCCGCAAGACTCTCGAGGAGCTGTCCGGCGAAGATGACTACGCCGCTCACACCCACGACGTTGAGGCTGCTGCCGAGTCTAAGCCCGTCTCTTAGAATCTCATCAGGACTGAACCATCTAAGCCATGTATCAAGACGGGTGACTATGCTGAGGGAGTTTTTGTTCATTCATTTTTTTATCACGGCTAGTTAAGTCGGATACCTGCATAATACCTTAGTCTGTAGAAAGGTTTCATTCATTTCTCATATCGTTCAATTGATTTGGTGTCGGCTACGGCTGCCAAGGGACATGGAATGCCTCTTTGTATCGCACGAAATTAGAAGTACATGCCAAAAATTTGGCCAACAACGCTACGGAAGAAAGTTTTCAGCGCGAATTTGTCCTTGACAGCCTTGAAGCGGGCAGAATTCTGCAGATGTGCAAGTGTCAGATATAAATCAAAGCCATCATTGTGCGAATGGGAAAAAAAGACTGCGCGAAGTTTACCGTTCTGAGCGGCACACTTGAAAATGTCGCGGGTGTTTTGGTCCAGTGTAGATGACAAGGAAACTCGTCAATAAGAGTGCTACAAGTTGCAATATAACAAGGTAGATTGTTCGTGGCCTTCATGTAGTTGCGCCCCGACATCATTGTTAGAAGCACTGGCGTCGGCTTCTCCTTCAGGAATTCGACAATCGAGTAAAACGCAATCAAAATTCCAAGCTATATAAGCTATGAAAGCCTCAGCTAGGGGCAGTGGTGCTAACTAAAGGTGTTCCATCCTTGGAGAAACAAGCTGGATGGCTCACATCCTACCAATTGCTCGACTCCTGCTTCCGCTAGAGACAGACCATACCAATCGGAGTCTGCAAATAAATCAGGCTGGCCTGTGTACGGGGCATTTGCTACATTTCCGATACTTCCGCTGAGTGCAAAGCCATCACTATTCAGGCTCATTGCTGAATTGCGAGCATCTACAATATGATTTCTCATGTTGCCACTCGTATCTGGGTTTTGCAAAGGCACATTGCCAGCGTTCGCTGACTGAGCCGGCCTCTCCGTCGTCTTTGGCAAGTCCTGGTCCTTACTTCCCGACGGTGCTTGTTCTGATGAGGCGTTAGCTTCCACACTATTAATGACGCTCTGGAGTTGCGCTTTCGCGGGCGGCATACCGTGTCGTGGGCCGGACAATTTCGAGCTGTAGGGCTGCAACGCTGAGCTGAGGACTTCCCACTTTACCACACCAGTTAATACAACGTACATAACCCTCAGTTCGAGGTCAAATTGAGTACTTGCCGGTTGCTGCAGGGCTCTCCAGGATGCTCTCAATATGTCCAACGCCCGCACTATGTCTCTGATAACAAGCAGCCTATCGCCATTTTTATCGGTATCGACGGGCACTTCCGTCGTTACCTGGTTGCGCCGAGCAGCCTCTGTGGAGAGGAACACCATTCCCACCACAAAGGCACCATAGCCGATAAGAGGAGGCAGACGCGAAACATCTTCTTCGCCATGAAGATAAGGAGCCAGTAGCCGTGCAAGCAAGTCTGCATGGTTCATGACTGTTTCCGCTGCTCTGATCTGTTCCTGACGATGGTTATCGATGTTGCGATCAGCAGGGATTCCGGAGAATAGTGGCACAATCAGAGAGTGCAGGACGATCTGGCATTGATGGTAAACGGCATCGTGAAAGAGGCAAAGGTTCTGCGCTTCGATTGTATCATAATCTTGAGGGTAAGTGTCTCGCGTAGACGTAGCGTCCTGAAAGAGTATAGTGGCCAAATGTGAAAAGTGATGTACAGATGTCAGCTCCCCGCTGGTAATGGACAATGGACGGTCTTTGCAGAGAAGCTGGACCTTTGCCCTGAAAATGAAAGAATGTTAGAAATATGTTACAATTCTATCACGTCGAGTAGAGCTTTCTCACCAAACTCCAATGATCTTGATAAAGGAACCGGGAGCGGTGAGTCGTCGGGTTCCGATCATTGAGGACTGAGGCTGTACGGAAATTGCGTGCCAATACTTATCCATGAGCTGATTGTAAGTTACTCTGTAGCCTTGCGGCCCAGAGGAAATAGAGCCTGGGAGTGGGAGCATGGCCGCTTCCTTCCACGCCGAGTCGACGTAGGGCTCCGGCTCCATTACAATGCACGTGGAAATCCAGCAAGCCCAGAAACACCGCCGACCAAATTCGAGTTCAAGCATCCCACTGGAACTATCATCTTCGTTGGGAAGTCTCTTGTCATATCCAAGTACTTGACATGACCGATAGGCAAGAGCTAAGCCCTTGTTAATGTAAAGCCCGGAAAAGGCGGTTGATCCCCACAAGAACTTGTCGCCAAGGCTGGACCAAATAACTTACCAAGGCACATATCTCCTGACTGAGGCTTACCGACACCGAACCAGTATAATTGTACGCATTGCAAGGCCTGAACCGCCATCAATGATGGGGATTGCGTGACTAGTTGCATGGATTCATTCAAGGCAGCTTTGGCCCACGCAAGCCCGGAGGGTTGATACACGCTCAAAATCCTGAGTTCTTCATTCGAAGTCGTTGTAGATGTGTTTTCCTTGTTCCTGGGATGAAGAAACCTGGAAGCTTTCTGTCAGCACAGCCCTCGACTCCTGCAAAGGCAAAACGTAACATACAGGGTGGCCATTGCAAACATGGCTCGCAGCAGAGCTACGTGGACTTTGCCCTCGATGTACTGCTGGAAGAGAAGAGGCTTGTGAAACATGACAGATGCGTTGTAAATACGCGCGAAATATATTTCAAGCAGAGCAAGACCGAGTGAGGTAGGCGGCAAAGGGTGTGGCTGATCTGACTCAAGCGTAGATTCACGCGCAAGCGACGTCGATTTACGTAGCTGGCATTGGTAAGACTATTGAGCAACCAATTAGAAACCGTGTACACGAAGAGGACTGCCTATCAGGTCTTTGAGCCAGTACTTACGCCAGATAACACAGGATAATCCGTCACGAGGCTAGGGGGTGTGTAGCCCACCGCATCATCGCTTGGGGCGACATCTTCCACAGAGTGAGGCCGGGGACCCTGAAGTCCAGAAGCAGAGGTTTTCGGGGCAGGACGTTCATTCAACATGTGCTCGCCAGAAACTGGCGTCTCCGGCGATGCAGGCCCTGCGTTGGGATGCTGACCAGGCCCAGTACTATCGCGACGGCCTCTCGCCCCCACGCGCAACGGCCTCTGCTTGCGCTTGCCGCGGGGACCTCGACGGTCTGGAGGGGCAGGCCAGGCACAGTTGGCACTGAGCCGACGGCATCGAGCGCACACAGGACGCACACGGTCACATTTCAGCTACGAATCATGTACTCTCAGCATTAGCAATGCCACGTCCAGACGCCCGATCGGGAAATGCACGTGCCTTTTGTTCGCGACAGCGCAAACAGGCTGTAATTGATGTAGGCGATGGCGGCGGGTGACGGTCGATTTCTTTGTCACGCTCAGACTGCATGATGGCTCGCATTCTCAATGTCTGTTCGGGCCGAACCTTGTGCTTCACTGAGACGAGAGGACGGGTAATTTTGTTCATGGCTGGCACCTTCGGACGAACGGCTCACGTGCAGGCCCCGATTATGTTCCGAATCGGGCCGACGACAAAAGTGCCAAAAACGGCGACCGTATCGTACAAAGATAATTCCAAAACTTCTGCAAGTAAGTTCGTTAAAGTGTTAGAAACTATTTGTTGGGCCTTGTTCATCGGCGTAAAATGGTGGACGGGGCTTGATGATAGCGGCATATTGCAGGCTGGCAGAAAGTGCGATAAAATGCAGCACAAATGGACAATCGAGGATTTGCAATGATTGAAACAATTGCGAAATATCATTTACATAACTTGGATTGCACTGATTGGAAAAAAAAATCCTCTTCAGTCCTCGGACGCCTCGAAACGGGGAAACACGCTCTCTCTTCTATCCCAAACCTCCCCACTCAGGCGTGCAGGCGCAATGTGCTCACAAAAACACTGCGAGAATGCTGAGGCAATGATGAATTGCAACTATATCTAGCAAAAATAAGGGATTTTGAATATGAACATGTTTGTCAGGGAAGATGTGATGCAACCCGAGATTCGTCGTAATCGTTCTTTCTGATAAAGTTATGTTACGCAATCTTGTACTCTGTCGTAGTCATGAACTCAGTATCAATCATCTCAAATCTCCCTCCTTTACTTCAATTCCAGTGAAGCCGCATCCACAGTAATCTCAAGCCGATCCGACTCGTACGAGCCCTGGTACGTCTTCGGTCTGTCGGGGATATGTTCCAAGAACTCCTTTGTAATCTCGCTCTTGGGCACGGTCATGACTGCACGCCACGGGCCCTTGATCCGCACATAAAACGTATCCCCCAGCTTCCCATACGGCACGTTGGCCGGTTTCAGGACAATGTCGTCCGATACGACAGTGCCGCCGCCGCCGGGCACCTCTTGCACAAACGCGACCTTGGGCGGCCACAGCCTCCGCAGCTGGACGAGATTGTCCAGCGCGACAGGCTCGGCGTCGGCGAGTGCGCCGCTCGGCGTCAGCTCGACCAGCCCGAGCGGCACGGCGAGCGAGTCCATGGCCGAGTCGTAGTCGAGAAAGGACACGGGAAACGGGTTGTGGTTGGTGATGGTGGCGCGCAGCGCGGGCGGCGAAGCGTCGGGGACCTGCGCCAGCGTGACGCTGAGCCGAGGGATGGGGTCGACGTGATTGCTGCCCGTCATGTTGGGGAGTCTGCTGGTAATGGTGGAGGAGGATGAAGGGTAGAGGTAGACGAGAAGGGTGATGACGGCGAGGACACCAATAGACAGGCGGACAAGACTGTGTGCTTTCGAAGTGGGCATTGGGTATAGATGGATGCCGAGGCCGTTGGAAGTCGCAAGGAGTGGTTTGTCGCAGTAGAAGATATTCAAATGAACAGATGGTAAATCCAGTCCCGCACACCAACAAGTTTTGAGGAAACTACAAGACAAACCACGTTGTTGCGAGGGGAAGGAGCGGAGAAGAAGCTTTTGGCAAGCTGTTTAATGATCCGGACCATGCCCGAAATAACAGTAACGTTTTACAAAGTCTAGCCGTTTCGGCAAGTCATATTCAGCGGGGTGCAAGCAACCAACCATCACGAAAAGGACAGCATCGCTCGCCACCCCGCCTAGTCCGCGTTTCACGGCGTACATCGAACTTGACGTAAACCTTGGGAGTTTTCATACTGCTTTGCTAGATGATCATCGATCAGCCCATGTTTTTAGTAATGACTCGACGTGTAGAGGTGTCGCCGAGTTTCGCCATCCTTGCAGATGCTGTCGATCCTCGTGGATCCATCGTCTCAAAAGTCAATGACCTTCCATATTAAGACAGGCTTCAAGCCAGGAGGAAATGCGACACTAAGAAACTAGGTCGATGCAATTATCGCTTAATATACGTGTTGCTGCAGTGCTTCGAACGTGCCAAATTAGGTGACCACGGGGTATCAAGTGCCTCGATTATAGTAATTGTGTTGTAATTCATCAGTCATTTCAAAATGCAGTAGAAACGTTGTAACTTCAGGTATCCAAAAACCAAGAAAAAAAAAGTTAAACATGCAACAATAGCTGTTCATAAATCAATTTCGATTCAATCCCCCCCCCCCCATCATGAGCCCTTCCTTCTATCCCTCATGTGAGGCTGGTTAACATGGCACGCAGCAGGCCAGGGTGCGGTCCTGGAAGATAACCAAAGTCAGCGGCCGGTCCGATGACGAAAGAATCGTTGATAAAGAGAGAAGAAGAAGAGAATACAAATGTATTTCAGGCGTTGCCTCGTAGATCCAACTCTATCTGTAGGCTGGCAGGCTAAGGGTGATCCTACCTTTCTTGTCCTTCTCGATTCTCGCTGGCTTGGGGTGGGTAGTTACGCGATCAACGCGCTCTTCATAGACGACCAGCTGACCATCCTCCAAACGTTCAGTGCGGACAATGTCGTACTCATCCTCGTCTCGGTCTCGGGAGTGGTGGCGATGGTGGTGTCTTCGCTGGCCTTCATACTCTCGTTCAAGCGCACGGATTTCGGCGCGAATGTCAGATCGTGCTCTGGAGCGGGAGCGAGACCGAGTTCTGACAAGAGGTCCAACTACCAGAGTATCTGATTCATAGTCGCCCCTGAGGTAGCGAGGATATTCCTCACGAATGACCGTCTTGTCCACAACCTCAACACTGCCATGACCGGAAGAGCGCGGGTGTGCGTCGACGATGATGGGCGCCTGCGGCGCGGGCGCGGGGGGCGGAGGGGCAGGAGCAGGAGCAGGGGGAGGCGGAGCAGGGGCCTGGATATAGATTGGCTGTGGTGGGGGAGAAATGATGACTTCTTGCTTGATGTCGTCATGGTGCGGGCTATGATGCTCCTCACGGCGCTCTCTGACAATTTCACCCACAGCGGACTTTGGCGGTGCTGGCACGGTGATTTCTACTTCAGCTGCATGAAATTAGCCCGGTTCGGTTGGAGATGAGACTCGAACTACTTACTTTTTGTGTACTCCTCGCTCAGTCTGAGGAGCTCATCAATGTGTTCCTGGCCAAGGGCCTTTTGAATGATGATTGTGTTGCCCTGTTTTTGTCAGTTTTTTTTTTCTTGGTTGTGAATTGTGTTGGTGATTGACATACCTCTTCGACATATGGATATCCCAAGTCGATGATGACTTTAGTCGACACGAGACGTGAGGGAATACGAGTCTTGCCCTTTTTGGGGTATTCTGCGCGGACACTGGTTCCACCGCTGCGGCGGCTGTGACTGGAAGTGCTCCGGCTGCGAGACCTGGAGTGGCTGCGGTGGCTGCGGCTGACTCGGGAGCCTGCTGGGCTACGGTCGCGCTCAATGGTGCGTTCACGTACCACCTCATGAAGATGCTCCGGGCGCTCGGAGCGGGGAGGCGGAGGAGGATAAAATTCTTCGCGATACGGGTCACGAAGGGGTTCGCGGACCGGCTCGCGATAGGGTTCGCGGTAGGGGTCGCGGTAGGGGTCGCGCTCGTCGTACTCATATCGGGACCTAGCAGGCGGGGGAGGGGAGCGGCGGACCAGAGGGCCTGGCTCAGGGCGACGATCGAAGATATCGGGTCTGGGCCGACGATATGGCTCCCTATCCTCGACAGCAACACGCCGCTCAAAATCACGAGCCAAGTTGTCGGCGTAGCGGGGTTCCTCGTAGGCCGGGCGGCGGCGGTCAATTTCGACGTCGTGCTCAGAGAAGCGATCACGTTCGTCTATGTCGCCTCGAGCACCGCGCATGTAGTACCGGTCATCCTCGACGACACGCTCGCGGGTGTATCCGCCGCGGTCGCGATCGCGCTCAGGTCCGCGCTCACGTTCGTAAAGGTAACGGTCTTGCTCGTAGCGATCGCCGCGGCTCATGATGGGCGAAGAATGGACGCTTGATGGCGTCGACGGCGTTGTGAGGCTTGGGTAGAGAAAGAGGAAGAGGACAGGCGGGGTTGAGCCCAGAGGGGTAGTGGCAGTATTAGTACCCGGGCGCAAACGGCCGCAGTACTCAAACGAGGCGTTGTTGGCACCTGAGTAGGCAAGATGGGCACGGGTACAGCCGCTAGAAAAGGTGGAAAAGAAAAGAAAAAGAAAAGTCAAGCAAGCTGGAAATAGACAAGGGGACTGATCAAGGCGGGAAAAGCTGCGTAATGTGGGCTCGTAAGAAGTGTGCGGGCTGAAGAGGAGCAGCTGCTACGAAAGAGCCGTTCGAGAAACGTAGCGACCAGCAAGTGAGGGTAGCAATAAGACTTGCTCAAGAGAATGCATGACGTGAAAGTGGCAGTGCGCACCCCGCCCACACCTTTGGCTGTGGCGCTTCGGCTCTCTGGCGTCCGCCTAGAGCGGGGGTCTGCTACCAGTAAAACCCCCTGATGCCCGCTAGAGCCCGCTGAAGCCCATTAAAAACCTGGAAAGTGCCGCCCCGTAAATTGTGGGCCTCAGGCCTTACCTGTTCCTGGGGTATAAATGAAGATATAGCGGTCTGACTCTGCCCAGCAGTCTCCTTGATGCCCTGAAGCAGGGCCCACAGGTCACTGGCCTTACCAACTGCACTCTCCCTGAAAGGCAAAAGGACGTCATGATGCACCAGCCACACCTCATATTGCTCCTTCTGGGGGCATCTCCATTTCCCTCCCACCAGAGATGGTTTCCATGTCTCCCAATCTCCCACAGCTGGGCGTGCGTGCCATCTTGGGCTGTCTAGTCGGGTTGCACGCCTCCCACAAACCTCCCGTCATCTGCCATCTCCATATCTTCCGACGCCTTTTGCTGCAGCTCGCACTCGCAGATAACTAGCCCACGCGCCCACCCACCACACACCTCGGCCTATCCTTGTGACCTGGTTGGTCGTTTGCCTGCGTCGCCTGGCCCTGTTTGAACATGATCAGATTCAAGGCTGGCCTCGCCATCCCTATGATGGCTATGCGGCTTTGATTTTTCCTTTTTTTCGTTTCAGCAGTCTATGACTACCCCATCGCCCTCGCCGAAGCCTGGCCCGACCGTTGGGCCGCGATGGCGCTACGAACCGTCGGGTTGGGAAAAAAAACCCAGTCTTCAGAGGGGAATAATCATGCCGAAACCTTGCCAAGCATCCAAGCTCCTGGTCAACCAACGGACCAACGCCCAGCCACCCAACCAACTAACTAGGTAGTGGAGAGGGCACCAGAATCGGCCCCCAACCTAATACAGACATGCCCTGCAGGAAACAAGACGCTATGGGCCGCTTGCAGATTCATCTCAGCTTGTGCCATTTCCTATAGTTCGCTCAGGCACAGACGCCTTGTATTGATGGCGATTTGGCCCAATCTCCATGCCGAACTCACGCCCAACCTTATATCATTGGGTAGCAACCTGGGGGCACTCCGCCGGATGTGCAGCCGGTGGCACATGCAGTATCCCATCACATTTGAGTGGCAAATAATTTGAAAGCCAGCTAAGAGCCATATTTGCTAACAGATTGGCCATGTATAATGTACTCGGCACACGCAAAGACTACTTGGGCACCCGCACCACGTAACAAGCTCTTGACCCAGAATACTACAATATGACTCAAAGAAAAGGGGGTCGGGAAGCATCAACGAGGTTTTCAAACGAAAAACCAGAGCAAAACATGCTGCTGCTTGTTCGGCTACTTCACAACCACGTCGACTTTGGGATCGCCACCCAGCAACCTCTCTAGCACTGGCCCGAATTGCGACAGCTATGTAGCGTCATCTCAAAGCGAGAAAAAGCAATCTTGGTTTTCCAAACATTTCGGCTAATTTCAGCGGCCGTGTATTGAAAATCTCGAAATGTTGTAATGCTGCCAGCTGACAGTAATATAGCGCGATTTTTACTGACTGGCTTGTCGATACAACAACGCGCTCGCTGTATGGTGGCAAGGATAACGAGTGCAAACTTGCAACGCAATCAAAGAAGCCTTAGCAAGGATGAATCTTCCACGGTACATTACAAAGAGTAAGTACATTAAGACATTCGTTCTAAATGTATGACTTACATTTCTTCCCGAAAATGGCAACTATGTCGGCCCAAATTTTCCTAGTGATTGTGGCCAGTTGCCACGCCCCAAAAATAGGCTACCCAGGCACCCAGAATGAGCGCAATTGTCGCTCCAAAGCAGCACAAGCTGACCTTGGTGTTCCTTTTGACATTTGTATCGTGTTCGAATTCGTCCTTTCTCTCATTAATCAAGTGCCCCTTCGCCAGCCTCTGCTTTCTCGACCACTGCAACCGGCCCATGATGACGTCCAATTGGCTCCAAACCAGCATGACCAGAGCTACCGCAACAGATCCCACGGACAAAAAGACGTATACGACAACGACCCGATCGTAGCTGTCGTCATCCTGGTCCTGGATGACACCCGTGATGATGCGGATGATGATGTTCATGCCGTTGTTGATGGCGTTCTTGATAGCGTACCCCGATCCAAACACTTCTTGATACCACATGGTCGTGCGGATACTGTCGATAATGACGGTCGGCCCGAGAGAAGCTGCAAAAGCGTACACGCCAAAACTCGCCGCTGTGCCGCCCACGGTCGGCCCCCACGCGGCGAGTGTCATGGAGACAAGCATGCCCACGGCGCAGACGGCCATGATGCTCACGCGCTGCCCGAAAACGTCGATGAAGACTCCCAGCAGAGGTACGAGGAAGAAGCCGAGGTACTGCGACATGGCCGAGTACCAGCCCGCCGTCTCGGCCGTGACGTTGAAGCGCTGCTGCGCCAACTCCGTCGCATTTTGAGTAAAGACCGACGCCGTCGACGTCTGGAAGAGCGTGAACGCCGCGACGAGCCAAAACGACCACGGCAGGCGCAACATCTTGCCCCATTCAAACTTCTTGTTGCTCTCCGTGAGGGCCTCCCCTGTGGCCGGGTCGGCCGAGGGGGCGTAGGTGCGGTGGCACCAGCGTGTGAACCACCAGAACGCCAAGGTCGCGGCGTTTGTAAACAGGTTCATGAAGACGGCACACCAGTACACCCAGGAGAAGTCGCCGGTGCGCCGAGCGATAATGTTGGCTGTCGCCTTGCCGACGAAGCCGCCAATCTTGCCGAGGCCGAGCTCGAGGCCGAGGGTGGAGGCGAAGCCGTTGGAGGGCGCAAACCAGGATGAGAAGACCTTGTACTGGGCGACCTGGGTGGCAATGTCACCGAGAGCCTGGATGACGACGCCGCCAATCATGAACTTGTAGCTGCGGACGGTGGTGGCGCCGGCGATTAGCATGGCGCCGACCGAGTAGATGGCGTTGCCATAAAGGAGAGCGTTGGCGCCACCGATGCGGTCGGTAACGGGGCCGCTGATGAGGATGAGGGCCGTCTTCATAAAGTCCTCACTGGCTTCGAGGACCGAGTACTGGGCATTGTTGATGTGGAGTTTCTGGAGGTGAATGTGTAAGTACACTGTTGAAGGGCAAAGTGTTTCGGATCATATCTCTGAGCTTGCCTTTTTGATGGTGCTCTTCATGGCTCCTGTGACGCCGCTGCTCCAGTGAGAGCCAAATCCGATGAGACTGACGAGAAAGACGGCAATGAGCTTGATCCTGAGCGGGATGACCGTCTCCCTGGCCGGCGCGGACGGCGCGCCATTGTCCGCCTGCTGCTCATGGTCGCTGTTGACATGGACAACGGCGGTCTGCACCTCGGCCTTGGTCTTAGACTTCATCGTAGGCAGGAGATGAAAAGGCACAGAACAAGGTGAGGAGGTATGGCCTGAGAGAGGGGCATGTGACGATCCTTATACACATGCTATGCATGATTTTTCTTTCCATGTATGCTCTTTCTAACTAATAAGAGATTGATAAGATGTGGATCTAGTGGTACCGGCAGTTTGTTTCGCCAAAGACGAGAAGAACAGGTGGCACAGGCTCGCAGTTAAGCAGGGTATCCTCGTGCGTTTTCGCGCCTTTTTGTGGAATAGCCATGTGGGCAGTGGGAATGAACAGGGATACTAAATCACTCAGGTCAGACGAAGCGAGCTCAACGGCGGGTGAGTTGCCGGGCCGAGAGAAACGCACGTGGTTCGGTGTATTTTGCTTTTAGAGAGATAAGTATGGAGTGCAGATTCTCGGGAATACGGAATTGCCCGCATTAACGACGGCCAATGTTATCAGATCGTATTTACGAGAGCTGAGGCCAGCGAGGCTGGACCCTTTAGCTGGAGAAGAAGAATCGTAGTCGCGAATTATCAGTAGGGCTGCAGAACTTGCCAAGTCTATTTCGGCCTAGCCACGGAGTTGCCATTGCCAAGAGATGTCGGTAAATAAATGTCTCGCGGATTTGGGAGCCCCATGTCGCAGCAGGTGGTAGATGAGGATGCATCCTTGTACCGGTCTCTGACAAACATACATGCGCAGTAGTAAGACCAGTCTCATGTCGGACAACCAACTTGTCTGGTTCAAATTTCAGATGCTGCCATTTTCGATTGACAGGTCGTTTCGTTCATCACTAGTCGCCTATCATTTTTGCCAGTTTCGTTTCGACTGGGGCACCAGGAAGCGTGAATGGGAAGAAGGTCACTTCCGTCGGCTAGTTGCTCAGAGCAAAACAAGAGGATAGACAAAAGGGTTCACCCTGACTCCGCACTAGATACGCGTTCATCCCATGACTGACAGCAATTGTATCAGAGAAAAAACTTTTATTAACTATAAATCTGCCTGCCCACTCGTCTACCGAGTGGATACTCTACGGGGTGGCCGTTCATAGGTCAAAGTCTAATAAAAGGTCGTATCTTTAGTGTCTCTGAGTCCAGTGGGGTTTAGCTGGGATAGGCGAGGCATCTTCAGTGGAGTCCCTCTGATTCATTTCTCCGAGATTCGTCACCTGGTATTTATTTGTCTGCCCCTTTGGTACGAACCCAATTCTTTGCAATTGAGATCATCTCGGTCCGTTTTTAGTTGGCTGCCTGGCGCTGTGTATACAGCACGCCCTAATTCACGGATATGGCAGTCAATTGACAGTCAATGGCAGTCGATGTTTGATTGAAAAGCCTAATGGAGCCCACTGTATTTTTCTTTTGACGGAGAAACGCCTATATGGTTGGGAGGCAAGCCGAAACCCCTCCCTCAATAATTTTTAAATCCTAATAGATTAATATATTAATAGTACACAGCGAAAATGCCCATAACTGCTCCCATAGCCCATACTGGGGCTAGCATGCCAGCGGCATTGGCACCGCTGGGAGATGCCGCCGTCTGGGAGCTAGTGGACGAGGCCGTCGAGGAGCTGGAGGCCGTTGAGCTGCCTCCGCTTCCCCCGCTTCCCCCGCTTCCAGCAGATGAAGTTCCGTTGTTGCCGCCGCCGCCGCCGTTCTGGCAGTTGGAGGTCGAAAAGTACTCCTGCGTCTGCTTGAACCCGTTGGTAAACTGGGACACGAAGCCCGACGCAATCGACTGCAGCCCCTTGGGGATCTTGCTGACGGCCGCGTCGACCAGGCTCTGCGCGCTGGTGTTGATGTCGGCGAGCGCCGAGCGCACAGCGTCGCACTCGCCCGCCTGTTCCACGTCGCCGCGCTTGTCCTTGAGGTCGTTGGTCAGCGTCTGGCTCTTGGCGCTGAGCGAGGTCAGATCGCCCATCAGTGGGCCCGCGTCGCCGGCGGTGAGGTTGTCGAGGCCGTCAATGGTTGTCTTGCCGTCGTCGAGGGCCTTGACGAGCGCGTCGGACGCATCAATCACGGGCTGCTTGTCGCCGCCCGAGTAGTCTTGCACGACCGAGTCGAGGTTGTTGACGGCGGTGGTGATGGACGCAATCACCTTCTTGTACGGCCCGGCGTCGCGCTCGGCAAGGGACGCAGAGGCCGCTGCTGCGAGGCCGAGGGTAAGGACGGATGCGTACTTCATGGCTTTTTTTTCTGTTCGCACTTGGGGGGTTGGTGAAAGGAAGAAGAAGCTTGCGTGTCGCTGCCAATGCAGCCGAGCCACTAGCTTTAAACTTAAACAAGAAGTCCAAGCCCTCGAAAGCTTGATGATATAAGCAATGATGACATAAGGAAGACTGCTGCTCAAGGTTTAGATATTCAATGAAGAATTACTCAATTGATCAATGTCTACCTGTTTTCAGATCGCCGTTCTGAACAATCGCCGGTTACTTTGTTGCCAGTATCTGCTGTAACTAGAAGCCGGAAATCTGCTGAGTCGCCCGCTTCCCCACATGTCGTCATGCACTGTCCCGTAGTCAGCGCACCATTGCTCGTTGAAATCTGGGGGGGGGGAGATCTTTGGTAGATTGCTTATGCATATCAACGGCCGAATCAAGGCGGATTCCGAGCCGGCCATCAAGCGTCTACCGCGATTCGCTAAGCCGCTACTCTAGCCGCTGAAAGGCAACCTCCCCAAAACTACAACGGCTGTCAAGCGGAACGGTGCAGAGGCAGTGCGAAGACCCGTAGAATGACAGGCTGGTGATGTCAACCTGGTCTGGTTTACTGGAGACTGTGAGTGCTTAGCCTGTCTATCTGATGGGTTGACATCACGGTCACATCACAGTTCCGTCGTGCGTGGTCCACATGTACGCAACTGACTGCAAGCAACAGAAATATAAAGTGCAGCAACATCTCCATCAAAGCATGTCAAATTAGTCTTACCATCCTTCATCTTCCAAACAATAAATCATGTCTGCATCGAAAAACGCCGATTCCGTCGTGGCTGAGCACGCCGAGATTCACAGCCGAGTGCCTCCCTCCGAGCCTCTCACGAGAAAGGGTGTACGTTTACTACTGCGGTCCCTGGCGAACAATTCCATTACTAACAAATCACACGCAGCACGCGCCTGGTGTCTTGGTAGGAAACGACCGCGTTCCTGATTTCGAGGCGGAAACATACCCACCTGGCACCGCGCCCGCCAGCCAGACTTTCAGACCGAACCCCCAAGGCCAAATACCTGCCGGTTCCGAAGACGGCTCCAACGGCGCGAAAGCGTCTTCCACCATTGCCGGGGCCACCTCTGCCGATGTGCACCAGGGCCTAGGTCACCCGGGCTCGGGCCAGACCTCCAAGGAGCTGCACGGCGGCCACCGTAAGAAGGAGGGTCACTTTGCCGCTCCGGCCAATGGTAATCTTAGTATGGAGGATTCAATCGGGTCTCGCAAGCTAGACGTTGGCCGTGAGGGTCGTGGCAAGGCCTCGGAAAATTATCCGACCGCCGGAGAACGGGTTCCTGAAAGTGCTGAAACCGTCGCCGCTGAGAGGAATTGATGTATTCGAAAAATTTGTTTGTCAGGCTACGCAGATAGATGTCAAAGTCAAAGTGACCTCTTTGGTTTCGTGCAGAAATTTGCGATTACTCAAACTCATTTCAATATATTCTTGATGTATTGTATCTCTTGTCTATTGATTGTTCATGTACACGTGGCTAATCGTACCATCTATAGTCTATAATTCATCCATTCTTAGTTGACGTACTTGAACGTCTCACTGGCAGGCAGCTTGGGAGGTACAGTGGCACTGTGGGCGGCAGGCTCGTCGCCGTAGTTGAGGTGAGCACGGAGCTTGTAGCTGGCAGGGACGTCGAGGAACTTCTTGAGAGCCTCCTCGACGGGGGGGATGCCGTTCAAGTGCTGCAGGTTGGCGCCGACACCCTCGAGCTCGAGGGCAGTCCAGACCAGGATCTGGTTCATGCCAGAAGCATGCTCGCCAAAGGAGTCAAACAGGTGGGCGTACGAGGCGTGAGCCTTCTTGGCCTCCTCGGTGATGTTGGTGTCCTCCCAGAAAACAACCTGACATACGGTGTTAGTGTCGCGGCTCAATTTCTTTTTTTTTTTCAAGCATGTTTTAAAAGGTAGGCTCGACATACCGAGCCGTAAGAAGCCTTGTGCGACTGCAGAATGCCGCTCATCTTTTCCCAGACCTCGGCACCGGCAGCCTTGAGGATGGGCTCCGCAATGTTGATGACAATGTCCCAGAATTGGGTGTGCTTCTCGCCAGTGACGAGGGTGACGCGGACGGGCTGGGTGTTGTAGGAAGAGGGCGCAAAAGCGAGAACCTCTTGGACAATCTCCTTGACACGGCTATCAGGGACCTTGGAAGTGTTCTTGAGGCCGTAAACAGAGCGGCGATACTTGGCGGCGGCGAGCCAGTCGTTGGTGGAGACCTTGGGGGCAGACATTTTGATGTTTGATTGCGAGTAGAGTTGTGAGAATGAAGAAGGAAGATGTAAATCAATGTGGAATAGCGAGATATTTTTTTCGGTTCCTGTCCAGCGGTCCCTGCCCACTACTTATACCTTTGTGCCATGCCTCTCTCTCTCTTGGCGGAACCCTTTCGGAAATGGGGGTCTGTTGCGACGGATCGCCCACAGGGACCGCAAGTGCCGCTTTTGCTGGATTACAGATCAGGACCAGCGCAAGATAATCGACTCATTCGTAGAGGGGGTCTCCAAACTGGATGGCGTGCCAACCGCGCGCTAGGCAGGGTGCCTGGGCGGAGTTCGAGTTTTAGCTTTTGTCATGCTTCTGTAATCAGAAAAGAATGCCACATTCTCCCCTTTTCCCCAACAAAGGGGGTTGGCTCTTTTGAGGTTTCGGTGCCGAGTTCGCTTGCCATGACGAAACTCCGCTGACATTGTTATCCCTCTTTCTTCGAACCCCTCATTCCCCTTGTCTTCGCCGAGTTGCCTCACCTGCAAAGATCTGATAGCCTTCAGCTTGGACGAAACCCCACCTCTGCCACCCCCACCAGTGCCCTGCTGTTTTTATTAGTAAGCTCTCAGTGGTTATTATGGTAGAAGGCTTTATCCAGTCTCTTCATCGGCGATCCCGCAGCACTTGTTCGCTCCCCTTCTGCGTAATTCTGTCATATTCTGGAACAATTTCTAGAGTCTTCCTCACGGTTACCTCTTTGAGCGCTCTGTAGCTGCCTCATTGGCTGCCACTATTCCCGACGTCGCCGGCCGCTACCCTTGAGCAGGCCGACAATGAATTCAACGCCCTGTTCTTCAGCATCGACAGGTCGGGTGTCTACAAGTTCGGGTCAGGACAAAATCTGTGTAGGTTTCTGAACCATGTAGACTCGTTACTCATTCTTCTGGGTATGCTATAGCATGAGCTCTCATGGTCAGGAAGATCAAGGAATCCTATCATGGGAGATTTTACGATAATTGCACCAACCATAAAAAGGCTCTCAGACGGGAATAAAACAAGAAAGGCTACGCTCGCGTCTCGCTCCGCGCCGAGCTTATAGGTATCCCTAACAGACGTAAAAATTATCTACATTAGTCCTCAGCGTCGACCGCCACGGCGTAGCCTAGCCTGCGAGCGAAGCTATCGCGACGGGGATCTTACCCAATTTTGTGGGGTGGCTGGTGTAAAGCTCCGACAGCAGGGCCGATTTCCATAATTCCGTTACTATGCTCGCACTTCTGAAGCTATCGCCATTCTTTTTTCAGAAGTTGAGGCAGCAAGCTTTGCTCTGTCCGGCGCCTGAAGTATCGTCTTCAGCAGGCTTCTCACAGGCTAGCGCGTCTTAAGGCGGCGCCTCTCAAGGCTCGTCACAGGCCGGCTCTTCGCAAGCGGCGCCCTTGGCCTCGCGGCCGATAACGATAATCCGTACGTACTGGGAGCATTTCCGCCTCGGGCGTATCAGAACTCCACGGGGTCTTTAGGGGACCAAGATACAGGGTCCAGACGTCGAGGAAGCCAAAGCCTCTGGCCGCCACTACCACCCTTACAGAGGGCTCGTATGACGCCAAATCTAAGAGAGGCAGAGATCGTGAAAGCCACACTTTCTATAGATTAAAGTTATTGTATAACTATTTAGTAAGTGCATCATTAAGCCTAGCCACATCCTAGCCCACAAATCGGTTGATATTTTTCAGTTTTTTGTCGTGGTTGATAAGTAGACCAAACCGCCACACAGCGAAGCTAGAGAGAACAAACCCATCGTCTTCATAATCTCTATCCTCCTTCGACTCCTCATGTTTTCGAGCATCATTCAATCCTGATGCATATCTCGACCATTTCTCTCCTAGCGGCATTGGCCGGTAGCACTATCGCTCACCTCGCTCTTCCGTTTGCTTTCCAGAGCGCTGATGCTGCCAAACCGCCTTCGTCACATCAACCCATCGGCGGCCACGGCTGCTCGGTGAGCAGCCGTGCACCTGGACCTCAGAGCGCCAAGCGCGGTCAGTACACTCTCAAGTGGCAGGATGGCGCAGTGTGTCCCTCGCACGGAGAACAGCAGTGGACAGGCACCATCGACGTGAGCAACCACCGCCGCCTGTTTTTCTGGGCCTTTGAGAGCCGCAACGATCCGGAAAACGACCCCGTCATCTTCTGGATGCATGGAGGGCCTGGTGAATCGTCCATGGCCGCCGTCTTCACAGAAATTGGCCCTTGCATGTTCCGCGACGACGGCATCGATATCCCCGAGCCGAACCCTTGGTCCTGGAATAAAAATGCCAATCTAGTATTTATCGACCAGCCTGCCGGTGTCGGATTTTCCAGCATTGCTCGAGGTGGAAAGCTACCTGCCAGAGATATGGACGGCGCCGAAGACTTTCAAGAGTTCCTCAACATCTTCTTCCGCGATGTGTTCCCGAGAAAGGCGCACCTGCCCATCCACATTGCCACCGAGAAATATGGTGGCCATTGGGGTCCGACTTATATTGATCATATTCTGACATCTCGCCAAAGAAATACACCGACTGCGTTTTGGGGCAACATTACCTCCATGATTCTGGTTAATCCTATGATTGATTACGGGGGGCTCATCCCAGGCTTCTTCCAGCTGCTATGCAAAGACAAACGTGGCGAGGGCATTATGTCAGAAGATCAGTGCGTGGACATGCTTGAAGCTCTACCAAATTTTGAGGCATTGGCTCGTGAATGCCGGCAAACATTGGATGTCGAGAAATGCGCAGCTGTTCCCGCTTATGCGGAGACAAACATCACGGCTTACTATCGTGACCTAGTTGAACAGGGCGAACGCAGTCCTGATCACCGTAAGTCCTTACACTTGTCAAAGAGACTGAAAACTGCGAATAGCAACTTGTCTAGAGATATGTGTTGCTGACTGTGCTCTGCTTCCTAGTCTACAACCCTTGCATGGACCCCCCAGACTGCCATCGTCCAGAGATGGGCAATATAACGGAGTATCTGAACCGCAGAATAGTGAAGTTGAAGATCGGGTTTCCTGAATGTTTTAATTTTACCGAAAAGAATGATTTTATAGAATCGGCTTATTTCTTTGCTGAGTCCCCCTGGATTCCTACTACACAAAAGGTCGCGGCCATTCTCGATGCATACAAGAGGCCCAAAATAATTTTCGATGGTTCGAGCTTCGGCGATGTTCGTGTCCTGGTCCTCAACGGAAATTTGGATCCCTTTGGCAATACTCAGGGCAACATGGATCAGTTCGACAAGATAAACTGGAGCCGCAAGATCGAGTACCGCATTGCGGCCTGGCAAGCTCTCAACAAGAAAGAATTCAAGTCAACGGGATTATGGAAGGGAACCAAGGATGGAAGACTTGTGTTTGTGGGTGTCGACAATGCCGGAGGCATGGTGCCAACAGACGCCCCAGAGACGAGCTATCATATTCTAGATCGATGGCTGCGCAACGATTGGTGAAGAGGTGGGCTGCTCAATCAACAACAGGTTTGAATGTTCAAACAACAAAAGCCTACTCACCAGCTCTGATCAATCAAAGCGCGCCGCAGCCAGCCTTCTGATCACTCTTTTATACCTTTAGAGGAATTCTTCCTAGGTACACAGCTACCTCCCAGCCTTTTCAGGGTCGCTTTCAGGGCTCTAGCGGGCGCTGCTGGTGGAGTATCACTAGGTACCTACGCGGGCGAGGAGATCTAGTTATGGGCATGGAAATATACATGATGTTTGAGTAAAACACATGTCTCCATCAACATCATCCCGAGATAGTATGGGTTTTATCAGTAAGCCTTACACGTCTTAGTAGGCAGCGTATGTTGAGAGATATGGCTCGAGTCATATATTCATCGGCGGGTTACTGTTTGTGATATTTCTAGATAATGTGGAAATCACCCCGGATTTACAGCGATGCCACCCCTCGCCCTCTTGGAAATAACGGCCCAACTTTTGAGATGGCCCGGCGCTCCACCGTAGAGAGGCACGGGTAGCGGCCGCCATCGAACGCAACCTCTTTGATGTGAGGATTCTGGTATTTCCCTTTAATCAGTACATCTATGGTTATGAATGGTGTCGCCTTCGTCTGGTCTATTCAACCTTGCCATAAATGGCGCATGCCAGGCAACGTTCAAGGCAGCGCATGGCCATGGAGGCTGTGTGGAAACAGATGGCAGTGACACACAGCCCGCATGCCCTCGAGCTTGTCGGCAGCCAGCTGGGCCAATTAATCCTTTGATGGCTGACCTCACTCATTCACATCTATCTGGACACGCTCGCACCTGAATTCTCCTTGATCATGGGCATCATAAACTACGACCGATGCAGCCAGCGTAATACTCTCAATTCCGCCCAGTTTTTTTTTTCTCTCCCCTTTTGACATCTAAAACCAGTCCAATCTTGTTCGCCGAACCGTCGATGCTGGCCGGAATTTCGGCAAGTTGGGCGCTTAATACTCAACGGAGATTCGTCCCGAATAAGTGGGCAGCCTGGACATCTGCAGGCAAGTTGGCAGCGTCCGGGTGTCTTTGGGGCTGTGCAGGAGGGGAGCGAGAAACACCAAGAGCCAAACAAGGGTTTTTCCGTTCTCTCATTGATCAATGATCAGAGCAACTGCATTCGATGAATTGAGAGTGGGACCTGTCTTGCATCGGGCGCCTGCTCGATGCACCCGCCCAACCGTCTTTTGCGGGTGATGCGTGATGTGTGTTGTGTGTGTGTGTGTTTGAGTGGCTGCGGCCGACTGGATCATTGAAAAAGGTCCTGGCTGGTGCCGAGAGTCCCTGAAGTTCTTCTCATCCTCGCTTCTCTCTGGAGGCTCGCTGTGCGAGTTACGGAAATACACTCAGAGAATTTGGACAAGGTCTGCAAATACGTCAAACATTGCGCGGGACAAGTGAAGCTCGACCGGACACGAATACAAACACCCAATCACCATGATTCCCTTTTCCCACGCCACCAGCCTGTACGCGGCAGCGACGGCCCTCGACCTGGGCACGTTCTTCCTCCTTGCACTCGTAACCGTCTTGCAATTCTGCTTCGTCCGCCGCCACCGCGACGCTGCCCGGACCTGGGTCAAATGGGCGCGCTACTCGCTCGCCCTCTTCACCTTGTATGTAGCACCCCAACGAGGCTGCTGCTTCCTGCTGCAATCCCAGTTTTCAGAAAAGAAAAAAAAAGGAACCAATGTGCTGACCACGGAACGCTCGGCGAACTATAAAAACAGCACCCTGTTTGTACTCTGCGCCCAACTAATCATCGCGACCGTGTACAGCCGCTTCGCCGACCGTGGCATTGAATTCTTCGCGTCGGAAAAAAAGGGCCTCTGGCAGACCCGCGGCTTCCTCGACAGTATCTGGCAGCTATGTGAGGCCGTCCTCCGCGTGTTTCTGCTTGTCACGTTTGCCATGCTCGGCGCGGGCCTCGCCATGGCGCGCTCGTCGTCGTCGGCGCCGGGCACCGTCGGCGGAGCTGCGCCGGCCGGGTGGACCAGGACGCCGGGGCTGGCATGGGGCGCCGGCGGCCTGACGCTGGTGCTCGCGATCGGGTTATTTGGCCTGCGCTGCTACTTTTGGGCCCACGTCTACGATGAGAATAAAGCACATTCGGTGACGGCCCGGAGGTCGAAATCCCGGGACGGCGTGGTGAACCTGGCGACGATTGAGCGGGCGACGATTGACATGGACTTTGCGCTGCACTGCGTCTGGCTGGTCCTATCGCTGCTGGTCTTGGGCCTGGCGGTCCGGACGCGGTCGCTGAGCCGGGCTGCGCCTCATACAATAACGGTAAGAATCCGAGTGGAAAATAAATGGCCAAGAATTCTCGACTGATCAAGCTGCATTCCCTCAAGGCTTCAAAATATTTCCTGACGTGCGCTGTTCTGTTCGTCGCGCAGCCCCTCTACAACATCATCATCTCCATCATGTTTCGCCTCGGCTCGTCCTCAGTGTCCGGCGTCGAGGCCACGATTGTCACCGACATCGTCTTCCGTACATGGCCGTACGCGCTGATCCTCGTCGTCCTGTTCGTCCTCGGACGCAGAAAGATTGGCGGCGTATGGTCGACCCAGCAGCCGTTCCAGACAAAGGACGCCGCCGCGGGCGAGACGGTGTACCAGACCCCGTGGGGATACCAGGTTACACACCAGAGGGCACCGCCGCAAGCTCCGGTGTACGATTCGCAGGCGCAGCTCAATGATTATTACGCACAGCCGCCTCAGCAAGGCGCGCAGGAAGGACAGCACCACCAGCACCAGCAGTACCATCAGCATCAGCAGCAGCAGCCGCAGCAGCAGCCGCACTATGGCTAAAGCGACAGAAGAGGTGACGTGCATCCAGGAGAGAGAAAGAAGGAAAAAGAACCGTTTCATCCTACTTCCCAGGGATGGATCAAACGGAAGAAGTCATGTACATGCAGATCAATGATACCAATTTGACACAAAGGCTGCCCTCATGGCGGCGACAGATTGTGCTACCTGGTACTGACAGGCGCATCTTGTTCCATCATCGAAAGTGGCTAGAGTATTTAGTAAAGAGAATTGCTAGGGACACAGGTGCACGTGACTAAAAATACCTAGGTTTATATAGGAAGCCACATATAAATAGAAGTACCTTTTAGCCCCCACGCTGCCGCCGCCACTACCACTAACACTTAGGTAATTTTCCCGCTCGCCGCCAGCGCTATCGCTAGGTAGGCTTCTTATAGCCTATTAATACTCGCTAGGTCGCTAAGAGAACGCCTTCTTCGCTATTTTTAAAGTATATAATGAGAGCTTCCTTCTACGGCTATAGAAGCCGTTAAGAAGCTTATTAATCCATAGTGGTGGTGGTGGTAGAGAGGAGGAAAAAGCAACCTATAAAGGTACATAGATTATAGTAGGCGTGCACGCGAAAAGGTAGGTACCTCACATCACGTGCACCTGTGTCCCTAGCAATATGTCGCTGTGTCCCTAGCAATACTCTTAGTAAAACGTCTGGGGATAACTACAATGTCCCAATATACTTATTCCATCAAGGACCGCCAATCTATCGTCAGTGACGGTTTGATTCTCATCATCGTGGAACTCTTCGAGATGACAAACATCGGAGAGCAATTGCCATGTCGCACTCGACAAGCGTACAGGTATCGCTATGTCGTCACAAATTGCTCGGCAAGGTGTCTTGTACATAGAAAACTTGCGGCCGTCTACCGGATATTGCCAGAGCCTACGCCCTGCAATACGTAGCCTATTGTGCAATCTCCACACAGTTACGATTTTAGGTTGTTGATTGATGTTCTAGTGCGTGGCGTCCAACAACACATGAATAGTTAGGCTTAATCAATCACACGCTAGGCTGCGTCGAGTCTAAAGTCTGGGGGCACGGAACCTCGTATCGGCAGGTAGTTATTCTCAGACTTCACTGACACAATGAGATTGCGCGTCGCCGACCGCAGGCTAGCAAGGGGGCCTTCGCGTCAGGAAGCGAGCTCCGGAGCGCCATCTAATTATGTCATGGAACAGGAGAGGAACGGAGGTGGTGGTGTGCTTCGGTACGGAATGGGGTTCGGAGGAGCGAGTCAATATCCGTAGGCTGCCGAAAAAAAAAAAGAATCTTGGGCAGCATGACTTCTGCGAGAGCATGTTCCCATTTTGGTCATATAGCCACACAATGTCAAGCCACAGTGGCTATGGGAAACAACAAGGTTTACCAGCAAGTCAGTGAGGAGAGGCCGAGGTACGGAAAAACGGTCGAAGCATGCCTACACTACGTGTGGCTGGCAGCATAATAAACAACTGCTCACGAATTTATCTACTCTATCGGATGCAAAGCAGTAAAGCAAAAGGTTTTCGCAAACGAAACAAAACAAGGGCAAAATAGCCAGTTCCAAACTTCCAATTGCCTAGCGTTGGTCAGGGCGGGTGCACGAATCCTCTCGCCAAGAGAAATTCTGGAGCCGGCCCCTCTCTGCAGCACGAGGGATTGGAAGTGGTCAGGTACAGGGGCTTTCAGTGGGCAGACAGCAGACTTAGCAGCCTGGTTGCGCCAATTGCCGTTGCCGTCCGGCATGCTAAGTAGAGGAGGGATGCAGCACATGTGGCACCGCTACGGCGCTACCTATCTACAGTGGGCCGCTGGCATTCGAAGCAAATCAGTCAACCCATGTACAGTCTCCAGCCTGACCCTCCTCTCCTCCCTCTGGCCCTCGAGGCGCAGCAAGTCGTCCCAAAAGGCTGCTGGGGAATTATCGTCCTTCTAACGCACCGCCTGATTGCACATCTCCCACAATTATCT